AACCCAGGTTAATATTACCTTAAAACCAATAAAAGGGTAAATAAACAATAAATGTGATGCAGCCAAATAAATAACATTAGGCATTAATTAAGTAATTTCTGTGAGTTTATTTTGTGTGCTACTCCTTTAATAAGTGCAGCAGTAACAGCCAATCAGAGTGATTCTAGCGCCGCTTGCTGGAGAGAGAGAAAAACAGAGCGAGAGCAGTAGACCGTGAGAAGTAAAACAACAGAGAAGTCCGAAAACCGAGTGAGGAGAGACTGAGATAAAAGAGTAAAAAAGGACTGTAAAACCTAAATTCTTTTCCATATTTTGGAGGATCTTTGTTGCTTTTTGGTCCACATTGCTGGATTCTGTTTTTGTTGCTTTGAACAAGGATTTGGTGAGTGAAAACTACTGTTTATAACGTGCAAATTAGCATGCATTTCCTTGTTGGTTTTTTTTGCAGCTGAATGTAACGTTATGCCTAACGTGCCAGCAGCTAAACTAAGAAAGTGTGAATTATGTTGTGTATTTTGTGGGTTTAATTGTGTAAGCAAATTGAAAAGCTACGTGCAATAGGCATGGTCAAGTTGAGCCTTGTCGGTGAATGGAGACGAACGCCGCCACCATTTTAGGGTGCTGTTCTGATTTAATTTAACATTTAGCCTGTGTTTAGGTGCTAGTCCTCCTCAGGTAATTTTTGTTGAATATATAAAAGACTAAACTGTGTGAATGTGTATTGCCCTGTTGTGAAACAGGCCAGGTTTTTTTGTCGGGAGGAGCTGCTTGGTGTTTATGCACGTGGAGCGGGGAAAGAAGATGGCGAGCCACCCATAGGAGAAACTGCGTCGGATACGGATCTGTTTCCACAAGACCAACATATATTCGAGGGACACTGATTCATTCACCTGAATCGTGGTAGGACTGAAACTTTATTATTTTGCTGCAGTGTGCAGTGAAGCTCATCTGGACTCTTAAAGGACTTAACAAAGGGACTAATTTAAGTTGTGAGATTGAGTTGTAGATGATTGCTGATTTGTGAAGTTGTGTTCCAAATCTGAATTTTGTGGTATTGTAATTTTCATTATTTTGCCGAATTGGTGATGCAAATGTTTTTCTTTTGGTTTTTTTGTAAACTAAAACCCAAAAACCTATTGGTTAAGTGGACTAAAGAGAAGGTGAGACAAAAACTCTTAAGATAGGCCTTACTAAGATAAAATGGGAACTTAAAGCTGAGTTAACTCAATGAGAAAACGAGGGACTAAATAACAACTTAAAGGATTCTAAGTTGAAAATTATTTTGAACTCAACTAGATTTAACGCAAACCAAAGAGAGGTAAAAATAGGAGGAATAACACGTCTCCTGAGAGCTGGACATTATAAATGTGAAATATTTCCAAGAAACTGAGGGTATATTTTCTTTTTTCTTTTCGTGTATGTGTGTGATTTGGTGCCACCTGTGTATGTTTACTACTAACTCTTCTATATAAATAAGCCGGCAGTTCAAACTTACTTCTTGGTCTGTGGTCTGTTATTACTGAGGTCTAGTTACAAACTGCTCCTCCGAACCTAGACTCTGGTCTAAGCAATCACTAATATCTAGTGTGTTACAAAGTGGCGAGCCAGCCAGGAGCAGTTGCTAGGTAAAGTAAATAAGTAATTTTCCAGACCACGCAGACCTAAAATACTTCAAAGCCGACAAAAATGGAAGTAGTAGAGAGAGAGAATATTAAAGTGCCTAACTCAGTTATTGTTACTGGGCTTACTGATACTGAGTTAGATGAGGAATTAACTGATTTCCTGAACAAGTATGGGCGCATAGCGAGAACAGTTAGAGTAGATGACCCCCAATCTCCGTACCACAAAAATGTTATTGTGGAGTATGACAGTGGAGCTGCAGTGACCACCCTGGAACCTGTACTCCCACACAGCTATGAGAGCCCCAGTCAAGTCACATACCAGATCAGAGCCCTGTCAAGTGAATACCTACCGATTGTGACCAGTAGTGTCACCCAGAGCTATTTGACTGAACTAAAAAAAATTGCTAAACTCAGTGGCAGATCTTTTGAAGAAATCCTCCAAGAGCAGTTGCCTACATGCAGTAAATCAACTGTTGAAACAGAGCTCAGGAGTGAGGCTGCAGCTGAGCCTTTCACTACACAGATTCAAAGCGAACCAGCACAACCCTCAGTCACAGAACCGCAGGTGACTCACCAGGCTTTTCCAGCTAGGACAATGAAACTGGGTGAATCTTCTTTGAGTTCCACTGAGTCAAAGTCGTCCAGCCAGACTGAAGGAGGTGAGACACCTAGGGTTGCCATGAGTTATGTAAATCCTCCAGAAGTGCAAAGAATGGTTGTGGAACACATAGTGAGAAGTGAATCACCAGTTTCACAAGCGAACGTGTCATTCAGACTTAGAGGGTTCTCTGGCAAAACTCCTTGCCCCAGTCATGAGGTAGACTTCGATACATGGCGAAACAGTGTTGAGCTCCTTCTGCAGGATGCAGCTCTGCCAGATTTGCAGCGCTCAAGGAAAATTCTAGATAGTCTATTGCCTCCGGCAGCAGATGTTGTTAAACCTTTAGGGCCACAAGCCTTACCTACAGCTTACCTTGAACTATTAGACTCAGCCTTTGGCACTGTAGAGGATGGTGATGAGCTTTTTGCCAAGTTCCTTAACACACTCCAAGATGCGGGGGAGAAGCCATCCCATTACCTACACAGGCTGCAGACAGTTCTTTCCAAAGCATTGAAAAGAGGAGGTGTATCTGCTAGTGAAGCTGGCCGACATCTTTTGCGGCAGTTTTGTCGAGGATGTTGGGATAATGTGCTCATAGCCGATCTTCAGCTTGAGCGTAAAAGAGACAACCCGCCTCCATTCTCTGAGCTACTGTTACAGTTGCGCGTGGAGGAGGATAGACAAACTGCAAAAGAAAACCGAATGAGAAAGCACCTTAGTGTATCGAAGCAAAAAGTCAGTGCACATCTCGTAACTGCTACCTCCCTTGAAGGCGACACATCATTGGAAAGTGACATCACCCAAATGAAGAAACAAGTCACTGAGCTGCAAAGTCAGCTTGCCCAACTAAAGACACAGAAAGCAGAATCAAATGTGCCTTCTCAAGACAGAGTTGTCGCCGAGTTAAAGAAACAGGTTACTGAGCTTCAGAGTCAGCTCACAAGCATTAAAACCCAGAGACACCCTAAGACAAAGGCCAATGTGACTAAAATGAACACAAAACGTCCAACTAAGTACGAAACATCTGAATCTCCTTCTACTGCAGACCAAATGCCTAATACCAGACCAAGACCATGGTACTGTTTCCAGTGCGGCGAGGATGGTCATATCGCATCCACATGTCCTAATGATCCCAATCCGCTGCTAGTAACTGCTAAAAGGAAGCAACTTAAAGAGAAACAATCCATGTGGGACAGTCAAAATGGCTCAGTCCGTCCCCAGTCTTTAAACTAGATCCTGCTCTCGTTGTGGGACAAACGAGAGCTAAGGACCATGACCACAGTCCCACTGATGCTGAAAACCCTTTCAAGAAAAAGTCCTCGCGTAGAAGATCCACCTCGAGTAGAATACCCAAAGGTCTGATCGGAGCCAAATATACTGCTAATGTTCTCATTGATGGACAGTCTTGCAACTGCCTCCTTGATACAGGGTCACAAGTTACCACAGTATCACAGTCATTCTATGACAGCAACCTCTCCAACTTGGACCTTCACCCTTTGAATGAGCTGTTAGAAGTAGAGGCTGCAAACGGTCAAACTGTACCCTATTCAGGCTTTGTAGAAGTGGATATCACCTTTCCTAAATACTGTTTTGGCTCTGAGATCATCGTGTCTACTTTTGCATTAGTTGTCCCAGACACACGTTCCAATGCACAGTCCAAACTCCTGGTAGGCACAAACACCTTGGATTTGGTGTATGAGAGTTATGCCCTGACAAACAATGACCTCCAAGCCCTACCATATGGTTACAGGGTTGTTCTAAACATATTGCAACAGAGAAATAAGCAAAAAGAGAACAGCTGCATAGGGCTAGTGAGACTGTCAGGAAAAGACCCTGAAGTTGTCCCTGCAGGTCAAAGCCGTGTTTTGGGTGGGTCAGTTCATGTTAACAATCAAACCTCAGACAGATGGATTGTAACCGAAGCCCCTTCATCATCTTCCCTGCCTGGAGGTGTGTTAGTTACAAGCTGTTTACTCAGTCTCCCTGAAAATTCCTCTCAAAAGTTGCCAGTGGTGCTGCGTAATGAAAGTGAGCATGACATCATCATTCCAGCAAAAAGTGTCATAGCTGAAATTCACGCCTTGCAGGAAATTGTCTCAAGTAAGCCGAACACTCACAATGTGGCACACTCAGATGACTTTTCAAAGTCCCCTGAACATTCAGAGTTAAAGTTTGACTTTGGTGACTCTCCACTTCCAGCTGAGTGGAGGGAGAGAATAGAGCAAAAGCTGAGTGCTATGCCGGAGGTGTTTGCCCAACATGATTCTGACTTTGGTCGAACAGACAAAGTTAAGCATCAAATCAAGTTGAGTGATGAAACTCCCTTTAAACACAGACCTCGACCTTTGCGTCCACAGGATCTTGACGCTGTGCGGAGACACCTGCAAGAGCTGAGTGAGGCAGGAGTAATCCGGGAGTCTGAGTCGCCCTTCTCTTCACCCATAGTGGTGGTTAGGAAGAAAAATGGAGATGTAAGACTCTGTGTCGATTACCGTAGATTAAATCTGCAGACCATCAAGGACGCTTACGCTCTACCTAATCTGGAGGAGACTTTTTCTGCGCTGACAGGTTCCAAGTGGTTCTCTGTCTTAGACCTCAAGTCAGGATACTACCAAATTGAGGTAGATGAGGCTGATAAACAAAAAACTGCCTTTGTGTGCCCATTGGGGTTCTGGGAGTTCAACAGGATGCCCCAGGGCATAACTAACGCTCCCAGCACATTCCAAAGGCTGATGGAGAAGTGCATGGGTGATATCAACCTCAAAGAAGTCCTGGTGTTTTTGGATGATCTGATAGTGTTTTCAGAAACACCTGAAGAGCACGAGAACCGCCTTCTCCATGTACTCAACCGTCTTAAGGAATACGGATTGAAACTGTCCTTGGAGAAATGTAAGTTTTTCCAAACTTCTGTGAAGTACTTAGGCCACATTGTGTCCCAGCAAGGTGTTGAAACTGACCCCCAGAAAGTCGAGTCCCTAAAGACCTGGCCAAGTCCAAGAAACCTCAAGGAGCTGCGCTCGTTCTTGGGGTTTGCTGGTTATTACCGCCGGTTTATCCAAGATTTTTCCAAGATAGTGAAGCCGTTAAATGACCTCACTGCTGGGTACCCACCACTTAGGAAGAGTAGTGGATTTAAGGATAACAGTGGTCAGTACTTCAAACCAAAAGAGCCTTTTGGAGGGAGGTGGACAGACAGCTGTCAGCAAGCTTTTGAAGCAATTATTGACAAGCTCACTACAGCCCCAGTATTAGGTTTTGCCAACCCAAAGCTACCGTATGTATTACATACAGATGCAAGTACAATTGGGCTAGGAGCAGCGCTCTATCAAGAGCAGGAAGGGGAAATGCGTGTTATTGCATATGCTAGCCGTGGACTGTCGAAGAGCGAATCTCGCTATCCAGCTCACAAACTCGAGTTTCTGGCACTAAAGTGGGCTGTAACTGAGAAGTTTTGTGACTATCTGTATGGAGGCTCTTTCACAGTGGTCACAGACAGCAACCCACTGACATATATTCTGACCACGGCTAAGTTAGATGCAACAAGCTACCGCTGGTTGTCGGCCCTTTCCACCTTCACGTTCCAACTTCAGTACAGAGCAGGGAAACGCAACCTCGACGCTGATGGCCTTTCACGGCGTCCTCATGCTGAACCTGTTAATGATCTGGTTTCTCAGAAAGAGGAAGAGCGAATCAGTCAGTTCATAAAACACCACTTGCCTGAGTCTGATGATTGCACTCGTATCTCCCATGACACTGTGAGAGCAGTATGTGAGAAACACCTAGTCTGCTCACCTGTGAACACCAATGAAAAGGGTTCAGGTGTTCCTCTTGTAACCTCTCTTGCTATGTCGGCAGAAGCAGTTCCAGACAGCTTTGAGCAGTTCGATGGGTTTCCTGTCATTTCCAGCATATCTGAAGAGGATTTGAAACAAAAGCAGAGAGCCGATCCGGCGATCTGTGAAGTTATTCATCAGTTAGAAACTGGTGAAACCTCTCCTCCAGCTGTAAGAGGGGAACTGCCAGAGTTTCCCATCTTTCTGCGAGAGATAAACAAACTTGAGCTGCGGAACGAAATTCTCTACAGGAAGAGGCAAGTTGGTGAAGAAACCCATTATCAGCTAGTCCTGCCCAAGGAGTTGAGAGGCATGGTTATGCAAAGCCTTCATGATGACATGGGTCATTTGGGTATTGACCGGACCCTTGGCCTTGCACGACTCAGATTCTTTTGGCCCAGAATGGCTTCCGACATTGAGAAAAAGATTAAGAGTTGCAGCCGATGTGTCTTTCGAAAAGCACTTCCAGAAAAGGCAGCCCCCCTAGTGAACATTCAGGTGACCAGACCCCTTGAGTTAGTGTGTATAGACTTTCTGTCAATTGAGCCAGACCGAAGTAATACAAAAGATGTCCTTGTGATCACTGACTTCTTTACTAAGTATGCTGTGGCAATTCCAACTCCTAATCAGAAGGCTAGAACAGTAGCCAAGTGCCTATGGGAAAACTTTATAGTCCACTATGGCATCCCTGAGAAACTGCATAGTGACCAAGGGCCAGATTTTGAGTCCAAGACGATTAAAGAGCTCTGTGATCTTGCGGGGATCCATAAAGTCCGGACCACACCATACCATCCAAGGGGAAATCCTGTGGAAAGGTTTAACAGGACACTTCTTAGTATGCTTGGGACTCTGGAGCATGAAGACAAAAATCACTGGCGAGACTTTGTGAGGCCGTTAGTGCATGCATATAACTGTACAAAACACGAAACAACAGGTTTCACACCATATGAGTTGATGTTTGGGCGGCAACCTCGTTTGCCAATTGATCTTGCCTTTAATGTCCCATTGAATCATAGCCACCAAAGATCTCACTCTCAGTATGTTCAAGCTCTGAAAACCAAACTACAAGAGAGTTACCAACTGGTTGCCAGAAATGCTGCAAAAACAGCTGAAAGGAACAAAACCAAGTTTGACAGACATGTCATTGAATCTACATTAGATGTTGGTGATCGTGTGCTAGTGAGAAACGTACGCCTAAGAGGAAAACATAAGCTGGCTGACAAATGGGAAGCTGTTGTTCATGTTGTTGTTAATCGGAAGGGTGACCTTCCAGTTTACACAGTCAAGCCAGAAAACAAAGATGGTCCCCTTAGAACCCTGCACAGGGATCTTTTGTTACCATGTGGTTTCTTACCAGCCCTTAAAGAGGAAACTCCTGGTGTGTCAAGCAAACCTCGAAGGCCGAGCACACGTCAGCATCCAGACCCAAATCCTGATGAGCAGGAGCCAGAGTTGAACTCTGATGAAGAGGATGACTATTTGTCATATTCCGTTCAAGACCCAATCTTGACAACCATAAGGTCCACTCAGGAAAATGAAATGATTATACCTCCAAGAGAGCAGTCTCATTCGTCTGTTGAGCAAACCTGTTCAGATATAGTAACATTTTCTGACATCACTCCAGAGATACCTGTTGAAACCCTACCTGGAAATCCAACTTTTCTGGAAAGAGACTCCTTACCTGAAATGGATATACATACAATGGACAAACCTGGAGAGGAAAACCTACCTGAACAAACATCTGACGAACCTATGGAAGGAACAGAACCTGAAACAGCTACTGCCAGTGCTGAAGAAGTGCCTGGTTTAGTGAATGAACGGAGTACAGAGAGATGTAGTGAATCTGAACCTTTGGAAGATGGTGAGGTAACGCCTCAAAAGGGAGCAAGAAACAATGAAAGTGAAACACAATGTGCATTGAGAAGATCCTCAAGACAGAAAGAAAAATCAAAAAGGTTGACATATCCAGAGCTAGGAAATCCTTTAGTGACCATTGTCCAATCACTATTTCAAAGTTTGAGCACAGTTATCACTGATTCACTTGTGGAGCCTAATTTCACAAAATTACCTGAACCCGAGATAGTGTAACCCATTAATGCTATGCACAGGGACTTGCATAGAGTTAAGGGGGGAGGGTGTAACCCAGGTTAATATTACCTTAAAACCAATAAAAGGGTAAATAAACAATAAATGTGATGCAGCCAAATAAATAACATTAGGCATTAATTAAGTAATTTCTGTGAGTTTATTTTGTGTGCTACTCCTTTAATAAGTGCAGCAGTAACAGCCAATCAGAGTGATTCTAGCGCCGCTTGCTGGAGAGAGAGAAAAAACAGAGCGAGAGCAGTAGACCGTGAGAAGTAAAACAACAGAGAAGTCCGAAAACCGAGTGAGGAGAGACTGAGATAAAAGAGTAAAAAAGGACTGTAAAACCTAAATTCTTTTCCATATTTTGGAGGATTTTTGTTGCTTTTTGGTCCACATTGCTGGATTCTGTTTTTGTTGCTTTGAACAAGGATTTGGTGAGTGAAAACTACTGTTTATAACGTGCAAATTAGCATGCATTTCCTTGTTGGTTTTTTTTGCAGCTGAATGTAACGTTATGCCTAACGTGCCAGCAGCTAAACTAAGAAAGTGTGAATTATGTTGTGTATTTTGTGGGTTTAATTGTGTAAGCAAATTGAAAAGCTACGTGCAATAGGCATGGTCAAGTTGAGCCTTGTCGGTGAATGGAGACGAACGCCGCCACCATTTTAGGGTGCTGTTCTGATTTAATTTAACATTTAGCCTGTGTTTAGGTGCTAGTCCTCCTCAGGTAACTTTTGTTTAATATGTAAAAGACTAAACTGTGTGAATGTGTATTGCCCTGTTGTGAAACAGGCCAGGTTTTTTTTGTCGGGAGGAGCTGCTTGGTGTTTATGCACGTGGAGCGGGGAAAGAAGATGGCGAGCCACCCATAGGAGAAACTGCGTCGGATACGGATCTGTTTCCACAAGACCAACATATATTCGAGGGACACTGATTCATTCACCTGAATCGTGGTAGGACTGAAACTTTATTATTTTGCTGCAGTGTGCAGTGAAGCTCATCTGGACTCTTAAAGGACTTAACAAAGGGACTAATTTAAGTTGTGAGATTGAGTTGTAGATGATTGCCGATTTGTGAAGTTGTGTTCCAAATCTGAATTTTGTGGTATTGTAATTTTCATTATTTTGCCGAATTGGTGATGCAAATGTTTTTCTTTTGTTTTTTTGTAAACTAAAACCCAAAAACCTATTGGTTAAGTGGACTAAAGAGAAGGTGAGACAAAAACTCTTAAGATAGGCCTTACTAAGATAAAATGGGAACTTAAAGCTGAGTTAACTCAATGAGAAAACGAGGGACTAAATAACAACTTAAAGGATTCTAAGTTGAAAATTATTTTGAACTCAACTAGATTTAACGCAAACCAAAGAGAGGTAAAAATAGGAGGAATAACACGTCTCCTGAGAGCTGGACATTATAAATGTGAAATATTTCCAAGAAACTGAGGGTATATTTTCTTTTTTCTTTTCGTGTATGTGTGTGATTTGGTGCCACCTGTGTATGTTTACTACTAACTCTTCTATATAAATAAGCCGGCAGTTCAAACTTACTTCTTGGTCTGTGGTCTGTTATCACTGAGGTCTAGTTACAAACTGCTCCTCCGAACCTAGACTCTGGTCTAAGCAATCACTAATATCTAGTGTGTTACACTGTTCTAAAGAAAGAGCAGAGAAGTGTGTAAGACAGCAGCTCTGCTTCCTGGTCCTAACTCTGGACTGTCAGGTTTTAGAAATAAACTTCGCCATATTTCTAGATAAGAGAGCCGCTCCATCCAAAGTGGGATGGATGCCGTCTCTCCTAATCAGACCAGGTTTTCCCCAAAAAGGCTTCCAGTTATCAATGAAGCCCACATCGTTTGCTGGACACCACCTCGACAGCCAGCGGTGGAATGACGACATGCGGCTATACATGTCATCACTGGTCACATTGGGCAGGGGTCCAGAGAAATATACGGAGTCCGACATTGTCATCAGTCACTACTATTAGTGTAGTTGTTGCTACTGTTGTTGCTGTGCACCTGTCTGTCTATCTCTGTCTGTCTGTCTGTCTCTCTCTCTCTCTCTGTCTCTCTCTCTCTCTCTCTCTCTCTCTCTCACCCCAACTGGTCGAGACAGATGACCACCCACCTAGAGCTGAAGGATCTCACCTAGGTTTTTGCCTTTTAACAGGCAGTTTTTCCTTGCCCCCATTGCCAAGTGCTTGCTCATGGTGGTACTGTTGGGTCTCTGTAAATAATGTTTTAAAGAGTTCGGTCTAGACCTGCTCTATTTGAAAAGTGTCCTGAGATAACTTCTGTTATGAATTGGCGCTATGCAAATAAAATTGAATTGAATTGAATTGAATAGAATCAGTAACTGTTGATTATGAGGAACATTATTGATTATTATTAGTTACATTATTGATAACATTAGTTTTATATCCAGTAAACAAACTGTGTCTGGTCCTGTGGTAGTACTGAAGTTCTGTTTACCTGTGCAGCTGGCTCCCTCTGCTCTCCAGGTGTATCCACGTAGGCAGGAGTCACAGCGGCGCCCTGCTGCTCCGGGTTTACACTGACACAGACCAGAGTCAGAGCAGTGAGGAGAAAGACTGCGCTCCATGTCACAGTCACACTCTGAGGACACACAGAAAAATCATCATCATCATCAACATCATTATCATCACCACCATCATCATCATCACATTGCTCTGAAACCAGACTGAAGCTCATACAACATTCTGTTCAAAAACAAGATGTTCTGGCCTGTAATTTCCAACATTTGATTTACTTTTTTTCTTAAAAAGCAAGCTCTCTTCAGTTCACAGGGAAATTTACCCTGACTTATAGATACATTTCCTATATGAGTAACTACACTAGACATTACACCGGCACTATCCCTCAGAAATTGGGCTGGAATAAGATCCAAGCCAGTTGCTTTGTTTGTGGGAAATGCAGCTACACACACCCTAACCTTTTCCACTGAGACAGGACTTATTTCAAATTCATCGCAAACTAAAATTTTGCCTTTGTAATATGAATTTACAAATGACAAACCATATCTCCCTGAACTAGTGATGGGAATTCCGGTTCTTTTTAGTGAGCCAGATCATTTGGCTCTTTCAGCTCCCAAACAGCTCTTCATTTTACCACTTATACCTTTTTCAAGTCTGCCAGATTTAATTCAATTTAATTCAATTTTATTTGTATAGCGTCAATTCAGAGTTCTCAGGACACTTTTCAAATAGAGCAGGTCTAGACCGAACTCCTTAATTAATTTAGAGCTGTTTTTGACTTATGATTTGTATGTATACACATATATGACAAATTATTCAATAAATCCTTTGTAGTATTCAAAATGTAATTTTTACATTTTCTTATATCAATAAATTGTTGTAGCCAATTGTTTTCATCCATTTACAGACCCTGTAACTCTCTGAAACCCTCTAGTGAATGCACTAACCTGCCTGTAGACCCACTCTGCTACACAAAGCAGAAACACAGAGAAAAGCTGAAGTATAGAAATTTAAAAAAAAGGTTAGCTATTGACATTTTCAATGGTAAATGGACCTGTACTTGTAAGGTCTTCTGACCACTCAAAGTGCTTTTACACTACAGACACATTTGTTCTTCACACACATTCACTCAGTGATGGCAAAGTCCATCGAACAGAAACTAACTCATTCATACACATTCACACACCAATGCATTAGGAGCAATGAGGGTTCGACATTTGGTGAGAGGAGCCTGGGATCGAACCAACAACCTTCCGATTAGGAGAGAACCTACTCTGCCTCTGCACCACAGATACTTTGTCTTTGTCACGTGATTGGTTGCACAGCACGCACATGACATTCAGTCACTGCGTGTATGCAGCACCCATAGTGCAGAGATCATCATATCATTCTGAATTGTATCACTTAACAAAAAAAAAGAAACGCTTGCGGATGGGAGCCATCGTTCACTTAAAAGAGCAAGCTCTTCTTTTATGGATAAAAAGTCCTTTTAGATTATACAAAACATCAGGATGTTTTCACATATCTAGCAAACCGTCCTCAGAACAAGAAGATTCTACTATTGAGCACATCCATGAGACACATTCCTTCAAACAGCATCCATTTCCACATTTTATGTGAAAAAATATATCACAAAAATCACAAGAGCCTGCTTTAGCATCAGCTCTCACTGCTTTCCCAAAGTTAGGGCAGCAGCTTTGCGTCTCCTGAAAGCAGCAGGCAGATAGACAGCATGATGTCGCTAGCGTCAGCCTATTGCTTGCTTCTGGCTCTGCCTCTTGGTGTCTAATGATGAATTTAAATAAAGTTATGAGTTTCAATAGTGTGTGTGTGTGTGTGTGTGTGTGTGTGTGTGGTACTGACCGACACAGACGTTCTCGTCGTTCAACATCAGTGAGGCATTTCTATAGTAACCAAGGCGACAGTACTGACAGTTCTGTCCTCGTGTATTGTGTTTACAGCTCACACATGTGATGACGTTGATGAAGTCAATGTAGCTGCAGCGGTTGGAGTGACCATTACACTCACAGTCTGACGGAAACACAGACACATAGTTATTAGTGTCATCTTTTCCCTGAAAGAAATGTGGGTTCTTCTCATAAGATATCAAATAATGTTGATATTTACTCCAACGTATGTTTGTAATAAACTAACCCCTTATAACAGTTAACAATGAAACTCCACCCACTCAACATAACCCCGCCCACAGTCAAACATTCAGACAGGTTAGACAAACATGAATACTGATGGAAGATGGCAGCAGAGGAGAAGAGAGGTCTGTGACGTTCATCATTCTGACCATCCTTTGTTTGTTTTGCTTATTATTTTATTGTGACCTCTGACCCTGACAGGAAGAGGAGGCAGCATCCGTTAGCAATTGTCTACTGTCTAATGTTTGTGGGAAGCATTCAGTTTATATGGGAGTGGACATTTGTACAGGGGGAGGGGTCAGGTGGTTGGAGGTGGTCTTACCCTGGAAGGTGACATAGGCGATTTTGGACAGCTGACTGAACTTTGGTCCTCCTGGAATCAGAATCTTCTGGGTCGCTTTGGACACAAAACAAGGAGTGTAACCATGGCAACAGCCAGGTAACGGCAGAAGTGAGCAGTACACTAACTACCAATTGGTGAGGGCCATTGGAAGTACTGTTACTATAACTGATACTAATACTAATCAAATTTATTGAACCAGGATGAAATCGTTTTCAAGGGGGTCAACTACCTACTATTACTACTACTGCAAACTAGTTCTACTAGTTCCACTACTACTACTGTTACTAATAGCCAGTAGGTGCCAGGTACCTTTTTTCTCGTATTTTTTTTTGTCTTTGTCCTTCCCTCCTTCCTCTTTAGTCTCCTTTTTTGCTTCTTCTTTGGCTTCAGTGACTGTTTGGTTCAACAGAGACGTAAAATATTCAAATTTGTGTGACAATGTGAAAGACAGAGTTTTTAATCTATCACAGTGAATGAGTCCAAGGTCCAACTTACTTTTGGTTTCTGAAGCTATCAACCAAATCCATTTAGGTCATATGATATCAAGTAACTCCATGACAACTGAATAACTCCATCTGATGAAGGCCACAATATGTGGTTGAAAGGGTTATTGACCTTTTTTGGGAATCTTTTTGGCAAGCTGATTTTACTGAGGTCAAGAGTGAAGCACAAGGCCAGCCCAGATGTAAAAGTAAAGTAAAAGTAAGAATCTCTGAATGTGCGGCTAACATTGTCACATATATTGTACACTATTATAATCTGATTGATCAGTGCCTCATTTCATACCTTTTTCCTTTCCTGTCGTCTTTTGTTCAGAGTCTTCCTTTTCACCCAACTCTGAGCCTCCTTCTGGTCCTCTGGCAGCTGAATCCTTTCCAGAAGACTTTGCTTCCATTTGAGCTGCTGAAGGATCTACTCCTGGATCATCTACTACTTGAGGAAAATCTGGTCTAGCATCTAGACCAGGACTTGCACTATCTGGTACAAGGGAATCTGATCCAATTGCTTCCATTCCACTATTTCCTGTTTCCACTATATCTAGCCCTTGTGAGACCAGTCGAGAATCAACTGAATTTGGTCCAGTAACATCAACAGATTCAAGGGAATCATATGAAATGTTCCTGGGATCAACAGAAATTGGATCATCTGGAAATGGGTAGGTGAAGTCCACAGGGGCCAAATCCCCAGCAGAGTCAGACCGATCTAAGGTGGTGGACCTTGTGTCTGGTGCAGTATCACCTCCTCCTCCTACAGCAGGAGGCAACAAGGATTCTACAGAGGCATTAGGAGGAGATACTTCAAGAGGTATTCCTTCAAGAGGAGGTAAATCTATCAGAGTGTCAGGAGTCTTAGAGGAGGGCACTTCTGGGCGAACATCTGGTGGCGGTACATCAGAGGGAGGTACATCTGGAGGAGTGTCTGAAGTCCAAAAGAAGGGTGCTTCTGGAGGAGATACATTAGAGGGAAGTACATCTGGAGATGGTTGATCAGGAGAAGGTACATCAGGAGGAGGTACATCTGGAGGAGGTACATCTGGAGAAGGTTGATCAGGAAAAGGTACATCAGGAGGAGGTAGATCCGGAGGAGGTACATCTGGAGGAGGTAGATCAGGAGAAGGTACATCAGGAAGAGGTACATCTGGAGGAGGTAGATCAGGAGAAGGTACATCAGGAAGAGGTACATCTGGAGGTACATCTGGAGGAGATACATCAGATGGGGGTACAGCTGCAGGAGGTACATCAGAGGGGAGTACATCTGGAGGAGGTAGATCAGGAGAAGGTACATCAGGAAGAGGAACATCCAGAGGAGATACATCAGAGGGAGGTACATCAGATGGAGCTTCATCCAGAGGTACATCAGGAAAACGGACATCCGGAGGAGAACCATCAGATGGAGTTACATCAGGAGCAGCTTCAGCTGGAGATGGTATATCAGAAGGAGCTTCATTGGGAGGTGGTAGATCAGGAGGTACATCAGGAGGAGCTTCATCAGGAGGTGGTACATCAGGAGGAGCTTCATCAGGAGGTGGTGCATTAGGAGGTGGTAGATCAGGAGGTACATCAGGAGGAGCTTCATCAGGAGGTGGTACATCAGGAGGAGGTACATCAGGTGGAGCTTCATCAGGAGGTGGTACATCAGGAGATGGTACTTCTATTTGTGTGTCTGGAGGAACATCAGGAGAAGTCGTGTCAGCGTCTGCAGGTCGAGGATCTCCAGCCTGATTGGTTGGGGCCAACCTAGTGGGTGGAGTATCTCCAGATGGAGCACCTTCACTGGGCGGAGGTATTTCTGTGATGGTTGTAGTTGTTGGTGTTCCAGTTGATGTTGTTGTAGTACCATCAGCAGATAGGGTAATTATTAAGTTGGTCATACCAGTTCCAGATACAGCGAAGTCTGTGCTGTCTGGTGAGGAGGTGGAGTCAGAGGGCGGAGTCACTGGGTCAGAAATAGACACCTCAGAGTCAGTACTGCGGCTTGGGGTAGTGGGGCTGTTTGTACTGGTGTAACTGGTGGGACTGTAAGTGCTAATAGTGGTAATGGGAGTGGTGGTGGTTGGTACTGTGGGAGCTGGTTTGTACACAGTGTCTCCAGTCTCCAGAGTTGGACTGCTTGTTGGGGCTGGGTCTGCTGTAGGTCCTGCTGTACTGCTAAAGTCTGGAAATGCACCAGGACCTTCAGTACTAACAGTACTACTGACAGTAGTAAAAGCTGATGGAGTAATAGAGTCTACACCAGCTTTAGGAAAGTCACTAGTACTAATGAAGTAAGTTGTAAGGCGAGTATCAGTCATGGTGGTACTGATAGTAGGAACACTGTCAGTGTCAAATATAAAGGTAATATTATTAGTACTTGTTTCTGCAGGGGTAGTGGAAGTACTGGCTGGAGGACTTGCTGTGCTTGTAGAAGCTACATCAGAAATCATTGTGTACATAAATATAGTTGTAGTACTGTCTGTAGTAGTAAGGTCAGTAGTAGAAGTAGTCATGTCAATAGTAGTACCAATGCTGTTTGGGGTAATTCCATCAGTTGTAGGAATATCAGTACTTACAATACTGTCAGTAGTAGCTGAAGTAGTAGTGCTGTCACTAGTAGAGGTGGCAGTACTGTCAGCCATGGTAGTAGTACTCTCAGTAGTGTCATTAGTACTGTCAGTGGTGGTAGTGTCAGTAGTGTTAGTAGTACTGTCAGTTGTGGTAGTAATAATAGTAATAGTGTCAGTAGTACTGTTAATAGTTGTACTGTCAGTTGTGGTAGTAGTAATAGTAGTTATGTCAGTAGTACTGTCAGTAGTGGTACTGTCAGATGTGGTAGTAGTAATAGTAGTAGTGTCAGTAGTACTGTCAGTAGTGGTACTGTCAGTTGTGGTAGTAGTAATAGTAGTTATGTCAGTAGTACTGTCAGTAGTGGTAGTGTCAGATGTGGTAGTAGTAATAGTAGTGTCAGTAGTACTATCAATAGTGGTACTGTCAGTTATGGTAGTAGTAATAGTAGTAGTGTCAGTAGTACTGTCAGTAGTACTGTCAGTAGTGGTACTGTCAGTTGTGGTAGTAGTAATAGTAGTACTGTCAGTAGTGGTACTGTCAGTTGTGGTAGTAGTAATAGTAGTAGTGTCAGTCACTCCATCTGATGAGGCAGAGGGTCTATCAGATGCTGCTGTGTTAGAGTCACCAGCCGCTGTCAGAGAAGAAGAGTTACGTCTCTTTAGTGAAGCTCAGCTTTCTGTTCTCTGCAGCTACTGACTGAACTCTCTGCAGAACATTGGGAGCTTTTCAGTTTACTCAAATGTGAATAAAAGGAATCCTAGAATCCCCCACCGACACCCTCAGGCAGGCAATAGACTCCAAAATATGTATTGTAAAACTTGTAGCTAATAAAGGTGTTATTTTGCTCAAACAAAGAGCTTGTTGGATGATCTAAAACCTATTTTCTTCATGCAATCTTTCAAAACATCCTGATCCTCCCCCCAGACCATTATCTGTGACTAATCCTCATCCTGAACCTCAACATCTTTATCCTGCTGTTCATTATTTGTTCTCTGAGGCAGCTCTAGGATAACCTTGAAAGGCAGCTGGATCACAAAATCAGAGATCACAAAAATCCATCTTGTCAGGCTTCAGTCTACGTGCTCAGTCTACCGTATTAACTCTGCTTCTTGAACTGGTTCCATTCAAGATTCCTGACCTTGTTTCTATCTATCAAACCAGCCAGCATTTCCAGCAGTTTTGTAATAAAGCATCAACAGAGGGTAAAAACCTGTAGAATATGAGATGCCCACTTTGGTTCCCAAGGAGAACTTTCTTCAGATTCCAAACCAATCTATTGTTGGTTGAAATGTTTAAGTTTTGTAAACTAGTGCTGAACTGGAACGAGCCAGCTCCCTGTTGATGGACAGCATCTACAGTTCCTAACAACAATAAATCTAAGTTCTGTATATCAGACCCAGATATACACACTCTGTCCAGCAGGTGTCAACTCTTTCATAAGTTACCTGAACAGTACCTGCTGACACACCTGTCCCTCATTATATAAATATATAGTTTTAGTGTACCCTGACCTACCTTGGCCAGCATGCACATACTGATGAGTTCTTGGTTTACCTTTATATATATATATTTATATATATTCTTAATATATTATATGTTGTATGTACATCTGGAGTTTGTAACGAAAGTAATTTCCCCCGGGGATAATTAAAGTATTTCTGATTCTGATTCTGATTTTGGTGGTCGTGGTTATAAATACTAATAATAGCCTATATAATGCCTTCAAAGCCCAACCAGCCAATAACAAGCTTGTAAACATGTGATTTGGAAACACCCAGTTCTGTTCTGCAGAGACCTTTAGTGGAGTCAGCCACCAAATCCACACACTGCCGGACCTCCTCATTCAAATCCAGAGTTTCACTTTAATTATAAATACATTTTCAGCAGAACAGGAGATCAACTTTCACTCGTTTGAGATACTAAATATCAACTTTGTGTCCATATTTGAGTTGTATGGATTCAGTCGCTGGTACATCTCCTGTGTCAGATTGTTCTATGGTTCTATGATTCTATGGTTCTATTATTCTATTGTTCCATGGTCCCATGGTTCTATGGTTCAATGGTTCTTGTTCTCTGCTCTATTATACTCCTACTGTTTTGATCATTGTTGCATCTATAGGATCTCTCTGGATTCCTTTGTTAGAAGATGAATGTTTGAAATGTTTCTGCTTGTCACAGTTACAACAATTGACATTTAAAAGATAACATGACAGCTCCCTGATAGTGAAGCCAAAAGGTATTGATTGTCACTGTAGGTCATAAACCCTCCATGTTAGCAGATGAGACGGGCAAAACTAAAACAGTTTTAATCATATTCAATCTGTAAACTGTTATTATATAAATGTTATGTGTATATGTCTGTGTGTGTGTGTGTGTGTTTGTGTTTGTGTGTGTGTGTGTGTGTGTGTGTGTGTGTCATTGACAGGTTAAAACAGACTAACACAGATTAAACACACACACACACCATCTGTCAGTGTGTTAACGACAGATTAACATTCAGACTTTATTCCCAGGTCAGTCCTGAACTATAGGCCCACTGCCGGGGGACTCCCACGAAGTAAAAAAACACTTTAGTGTTATTTTGTAAAAAATGCAGAAATATTTAAAACTGTAAAATATGAATGATGCAACACTGACCATGTTACTCTAGTTTTTAAGTGTTAAGATGAGTGAGGGGGGAATAACAGACAGGTGAACAGACAGACAGGTGAACAGACAGACAGGTGAACTGTACTTACAGGCTGCTGTTTCTGCTGCTTCACCTGAAAAGACATAAACATAGATAGATTGATAGATTGATAGATAGATAGATACTTTATTTATCCCGAGGGAAATTCAAGATGATGGGTTAGGGTTAGGGTCAAGATATGAGTGTGCTATTCAGTGTGTGTAGAATAATGTGTGTGTCAGTGGAAGTTATTAATGCATCAGTTTTAAGACATAAATATAAATACTATGATAATAATATTAAAAATAATAATAGTAATAATAATAATAATAATATTAAGTATGGTTAACGGCTGAACACAGAAATCAATTATTAGAAACTTTCATGTGTGTGTTTGTGTGTGTGTGTGTGTGTGTGTGTGTGTGTGTGTGTGTTCAGGTACGTACAGGTGTTGGCAGTGCCTTTGGGCAAGGGCAGGTATGATCCTGGTCTCCAGCTGCGGGATTTGAATCCCTGGCTGCAGCGTTGACAGTCTTGTCCACTCGTGTTGTGGTCACATTCACACTGCAGTGTTGCATCACGTAACACACACTGAGCTGCATGCATGTTACACTTACACCTGCAGTAAACACACACAGAAACACACAAGTCAGGCGACTGGAACATTTTTTGCCACACCTTTATGACATCAGAACTCTGGTCTTGAAACATCACACCCACCTTGGCTCAGCTCTTCTCATCCCAACCTTCCTTAAACTAATCCTTTTCCCCTCTACATACACATAGACACATTCCACATACGCATGCAAGAAAACAAGATGGTGACTTCAAGAAGAAGACAGGAAGGTTGTTTCTCTGGATTAATTTGGTTTGTTAGTGGATGTATCTTGGTGTTCAGTTGTAGTTAGAAGTTAGCAAGTGTATCTGGTTGTTAGCAGGTATAGGTGGTTCATAGCAGGTGTAGGTGGTGGTTAGCAGTTGTTCGTTACCTGGCCGGTACGTCAATGTTGGAAATAGCATAGAAGTATTTCAGCAGGTTGTCTCTCTGGACATAGGTCCCACCCAGTGCTGGGCGGAGGAGACGCAGTCGGAGGTTGGTGAAGGTGAAGAAGTCCCTCAGACCTTTCATGGTCTCCATCCGGGTGTACAAGGCATCAATGTTGATCAACTTTGGACCTGCAAACACCCCGAACCGAGCCCGCACCTCGAACACCACAATCTTCTCCTCCTGTTGTTAGTTAACATGCTTTTCAGCCATTGGTCAAGTACAGCACAGATTTCTTATTCAAACATTGATTTTTACTTGTGATGAAGAAAATTCACATTTAGCAGACTAACCAAGTGATATCTGGCAGCCGGTTCTTTTGTATCCATTGGTAGTGACATTCCGTTCAATTACTGCCCTTTGCTTTATTTCCCTTTGACGCTAAGGTTAATCATGTAACGTCTGGTGATCAATTGCCCTCATTTAGATACTTTCTAGTGTATAAAAACACTTCATTTAATTTGCTCTGGGTCAGCTTACCGAGTCAGATCTGCTCTGGGTTTGTAAGTTCACCAGGAAGTGAAACTTACACCACCACAGCAAACCTCAACTACAGGTAGGTACACATACTAACACTTACTAATCAATGTCTAGTTTAAGTTTCACAGATAATTCAAATAACAGTGATCTATAATTGGATAGAATTACACCTGTGTAAATGTCTTCCTGTACACTGTGTTCCATTAGCGTTTATTAACCAAGCAACCAGTGTTAGGTCCAGTTACTCACCTTGGCTCCGACCCAGCGGGAGTACTGCTCAGTACAGATAACCCGGGTTAAGTTACTTGGTGCTAAATCAGAGACTCGTTTAGGAGACATACCAAATGCCTCCAGGCAGTCATCAGCATAGTACTGATACGGCTGCCATGTTACACCTGAAACACAAACACAACACAGATTAATAACAGTTATCCCTCAAAACTAGTTAATAACACAACACTACAGTTATTGTTACACAAAAACCAACACTGTTAGGCAAAACCTAAACCATTTTATTTAACGGGTCACATTTTGTCCTGTTTATGAACAATTAATCTCAAAATGTACAACCTGTACACAAAAACTTTTTAGTAAATCTTAATCTTAATCTTAGTTAGAAAGATCACTATAGGAACACATTGTGTGCTTGTCTCTGTGGGGTGGGAACTGTTTCTGTTGTGGGTCTGTAAAGCACTTTTAGATTCTTGACAATAGAAATTAACTTGACTTGATTTGACACAAACAAGGTTCTGAAATAGTCCCAGCAAAAAGTGTCTGTGATTCACATCTGAAGATCTGTCCTGTGTCTACCGCACTGACCTCTGTCCTGTATCTATCCTGACTCTTAGGTATTAATGTCTTTGTACTTCTGTCTTTACCCCTCTACCCCCCTCTCTCTCCATCTGACCCCAACTGGTCGAGGCAGACGGCCACCCTCCTAGAGTCGAGGTCTGTCGTAGGTTTCTGCCTCTTAAAAGGACGTTTTTCCTTGCCGCTGTTGCTAAGGTCTTGCTCATGGTGGGAACTGTTGGGTCTCTGTAAATAATTTTATAAGGAGTACAGTGTAGACCTGCTCTATTTGAAAAGTGTTCTGAGATAACTGTTATGAATTGGTGCTATACAAATAAAACTGAATTGAATCGAATTGAACTAAAATCTTTCTTAACTGTCAATTAAGAAAGACAATTACGGTCAAATGATTGGACTTTACTCAAACTTGAGAAATAAAGTTAATATTAATAATATTATTGTTATTATTATATACTATTACATCAGTCCAATAGGCAGTACAGACCTCTGACCTGCATATTCAGCACTCACCTATGCCCGGTATCTACAGTAACACAATGATGTTTTTGTACACTAATAAAGCTGTGTTTTAGAATGAGTAATAAGTTGTATTTTTTAAAACTGATTAGGTTTTGGTGGCATGGTGGGACAGTGGTTACGAGTCTGATGTTACTTCCACTGTAAGAGGGTGTTAGGAGCCAGTGCAGATGTAAAATAGCTAACTTTAGGTCATAGTGGTCTGAGAGTCTCTTTTAGTGACACTGCTGTATGAACTCTATTAATTTCTTTTCTGCAGATGAATAGCTTCACTAGATCAGATATCTGATACAGATCACATGTTAGTAGCAGCTGGTGTTCCACACTCAGTGCCTCACAGACCAATCACCTTTGTCCAGAGATTTCTCCAGCACCATGCTGGTTGGTCGGCCGTACTCGAAGGTGACAATGATATCGTCAACCACCTCGAGACTCTTGTTCCAGGACAGAGTGATGTTGGCCAATAGAGGCTCAGGATACCTGGACCATGTGACTGTTTGCCAGTAGGTGATGAGCCCTCCCCTCTCCCTGTCTCCCATCAGCTGAGGAGGGTGAGACAGGTCAGGGCTGGACGCATCACACTCATCACTGCACAGGTACGGGTTCTCCTGCAGAACATAAACAGAGTCTAGTTCATATAAAGTTACTGTTACTGTGGAATATTTATTAAAATATTCTGATCAGGTTGTAGAAACAATGGGACAGTTCAGGTTAAAACAGGTAAGAAGAACATATACTTTATTAATCCCCTAGGGGAAATTGTTCTTTTCACTCCTTTTTTATACACACACACAGGCTGAAATGCACACTTCATGCACTTGTGGACATTGTTAGGTTGCCTTGCTCAAGGGTACCTTGGCAGTGCACAGGAGGTGAAACTGGCACCTCTCCAGCTACCAGTCCACACTCCATGTTTTGTGGTCTGTGTGACTTGAACCGGTGACCCTCCGTTTCCTAAGCCAAGTCCCTACACATAGAGCTACTGCCGTAAACCGATCTGTGAGGGGGAAGGACTTAGTCAGTCTTGACACTTATTGTGTGATAACTTGAATGCTCAAAGACTTCAGTTATACATAAGGTGATGTGTCTGAAATGTTCATCATGCTAAGTCTGTCAGATCTGTGAATAAAATCAGTAGTCTAAATTCTACATCAACACTCTGAAAGTCCACAGACAGGAAGCCACAGGTCCATCATGGTGCGCTGAAATATAGCCTATTGTAATGTATGTATTGTTAATGCCTTAAATTGTTACAGGTTCTATATGTGAGATAGAAAGCATTTTTCGTATTATTTTTATGTATTATCACCTTGGAACCATCCCAGAGCAGGTTACGCTTTATAAAAACCTTCTTTCATCATGTGACTATGTTGCAGTCAAAGGTAAAAATAAAACTTCTATATAGAAATCTGTCAAACCAAAGATGTTGAAATGAAAATACTTCCATTCTTTGATTATGAAGACATATTTAATTGATTGACCCAATTTATTATTCCGATTTGCTATGAATCAAAACCTACCACTGTCTTCTGTGTTCATTGTGGTCAAATGGCCCTCTCTGCATACTAACATACTTTTATTCATGCTTATTTATGAAACTCTTCACATAGATAACATCAAAATTGACTCAATATTAATCACAATCAACTCACCCAAAGTTGAAATATGGACACATCTGGTTTCAACGTCGATTTTGTATTTTGAAAATGTCAAATGGATTCAGTGGCCTCAATAACCCCCAAACCTCCTTTATTGTCCAAATCAACCAATCAGCTGCTGAGATATTGTCCATATTGCTGATTATTAATGCTAATTATGCTAATTGTCCAACATATGCAGGTTAGTATCTGTCAGTGTGTAACTGATGGAGAACCAGACTGAACATTTATAACATAAAACTTTGGTACTCAACAGTTCTAGGAACACAGTGGAAAAAATATTGTCTACAGAAAATAGACTATAATGAAAATATATCTATGAATATTATTTTCTGTTTTGGACAATAGATCCTCCTCATAATTACACACTAATTAGTGTCAGTTACCAACAGTTACAATCAGTGACAGTCTCCGACAGTCAGTTACAGTCAGTTATAGTCAGTTAGTTTGATTTTGTTCAGTTGCAGATTAACTGAATCTGCAGTGTGACAGTTGGCAGCTGCGGGTAAAGTCAAATGATAAACCGCTAACACACACTTACACACACTGATCAGATTAGTGTTAATCCATCACACACATATGTTAGTAGGACACACAAAGTTCGGTTAACTGTGTTATATGACGTAATCTGAGGTTGTAGTTTGTAGTGATGACATTTTTAATGCTGCAGATTTCTACATTAGCTAACTACAGTAGTTCATCAGCATACAGAAATATAGATACATAATTGGTCATTGCTGTAGGCTGCTGCTATACGTTTGTGCGGTCACTATATTGGTCAGGAGGTAGCCAGAATCCACTGTAATTTCATTCTGATCACATTTTCATGAAGTTTGGTTTGTAATAAAGGTGAGTCACTGAAGTACCAGGTTCAGTTTCCCATATTTATTTCAAACCAAACTTTGTTAAGGCGCATTAAATTGAGAACTCTGTATCTGTGATAATGACTGAAGTAACTGCACCTGTTTCTACCTGAACTCATAGAAAGGAACTATGACAATGTATCTGTGAGGTCAGACAATATTTAATTAGTTAATAATATCTCAATATGGCACTGAGTTCATCGTTTACTCGCATTAACAGGGTTTAAATATCTCTACTGACTTATTTATTTATTTTATCTTATGGGAATTCTTATTGATCAATTATTAACTTCAAATTTTTGCTTCATTACAGCTCTTACATTTATCAATAATTCACATATGACTTTAGTTTCCCAAAGGAACAATTAGACAGACAGCAGGAGTGTGTGTGTGTTCAACCTGCGAGTCAGGACCCTCCAGGAGGTCAGCAGACAAATCTGAGGGGTCAGGAGGTGATTGACAGGACTTTATTCTGTTGCATTATGGCTTGATCAAGTGCTCAGTTAGTGAACTCATTCTGATCACAGACCAGGTCCTCCCTGAACCACATAGTCATCTGATGGTTGTCAGTTATGGATACAGAGATAATCCTTGTCTTCTAGCTGGGTGTCACACACCAAACCCTAACCACAAGTCACAATGTGCTCTTCACCAAACATAATGCCAACCGAAGCAAAGAAAAATGAGGTTTGTTTCCATTATTAATAATGCTTTACAGAGAAAACTGGATGTAGTTTCATATATTTTATTTTCAGAATGTTTCTGTGTTATAATCAGGCTGCTCTCTCATATTAGGTTCATTACAGTAATTTCATTCAGTCAAGTTATTGAAATGAAAAAATGTTCAGAGAGAAAATGTCTGCTGACATTTACAACCTGACCACCCAGAGTTCATTTTAATATCCACAAATGATTTATATTTCACTGTGTGTGTTCAGGTGTGTTCAGGTATGTGTGACTGACCAGAGTGCAGAATCTCTCAGGTGGGTTTCCACAGGTGATGCCGGGGGGGTCGACTCTGATCTGCATCACCTCCTTCATGTTGGCTTGTGGAGGTTGACAGGCGTAAAACTCCCATCCCGGGCCCGCCTCCGAGCTGCGCAGAGACCGACATACGTCAAACTGACTGCCGGTCTGACACCGGCCCACCACCGGCAGGAGGAGCAGGAGGGGGAGGAGGGGGAGAGGGTGAGACATGGTGGACTGACAGTCAGACAGACAGGAAGTCACATTTCAAAGTCACCTCCCCGTTTTTAATCCACAAGTTCAGTTCTGTTCGACCTTCTTCAGACAGATGATTGTCATGGTTACCAGTTAGTTATCTGGTGGTTGTCATGGTTACCAGGTGATGGTCATCTCCTGAGATCTTCAGTCAGTCCTGAGGAGACTTTGTCCACCAACACGCTGCAACAAAACGACAATCAGACACACACCTGGCTCAGTTAGACTGAGGATTGCACAACCTGATTGGCTAATAATTGATTACCTTAAAGCTCCAGTGTGTCACATTGATATAATCTATATATATATGTAATGTATTCATTAGTGTTTAATCAGCTGATAATAAGAATCATTGTGTGTTTGTTACCTTAGAATGGGACATTTTTATCTACAGAGGGAGTGTGTCCTCTTTTGGTGGAGTCGCCATGTTGGATCACCATGTTTCTACAGGATCTCAGAACGGACAAACCAGATCTAGATAGAATTTACTGTAGTTTATCTATCTATCTGAGCTGTATTTAATTCAATTCAATTTTATCTGTATAGCGCCAATTCATAACAGAAGTTATCTCAGGACACTTATTTACAGAGACCCAACACTTCCAAAAATGAGCAAGACCTTGGAGACAGCAACAAGGAACAACTGCCTTTTAAGAGGCAGAATGCTACACACTGGGCTTTTAAATGTACAGTCTCTCACATCAAAACAATAAAAAAAAGAGAAAATAGGAAGTTTGAGCCCAATTACCCACAGAGGTCTCCTCCTCTCAAAAACAAACAGACCCGCTGATTAAAAGCACTAAACACACTGAATAAAGCAGTTCCACCTTAACAATCACTGCTTCTCCCACGCTGTTGGACAGACAAAGGACGTCCCGGAGGGACTGCGAGCCGAGCTGCTGCTAACGTTAGCTCAGCTTGTTTCTCTGATAACTTAAGATCCAGACGTCCGATGACTAAAATCCTTCAACAGGTTCAAATCTAGAGTTAAAAAGCACCAAGATCTAAACAGTGGATGGTAAACAGTCAATGTATGACAGCTTCTGATTATTGATTATTGATTGAATCAGCTCCATATAGAACCAGCTCTAGAGTTTATACCCTGATTATAAATGATTGATTGAATATGTTCAGTTGAAGATGTTGGTTTCAGACACTGTTGTTAATATAAAGTATTGTAACAGGTATAATCTTGTATCAGCAGGTGAATGAACTTCCTGTAAACAGGCACCAGATTCCTCCGGAGAAATAATGTCAGATATGAAAATGTTTCTGTTCCCTTCATCCTGTCTGTCTGCCTGTCTGTGTGTTTGTTTGTGAATTGATGATTAAACTGAGACTCAGAGACTCAGTTTCTGTTCTTTATTAAAGTCTGGGATTCTCTCAGACCTTCAGAGGTCTCATTTAGTAAAACAGAATCTAATAACGCAGAGCTTCTCCCATTGTGTGTCACTCTGTTATATAGACGAGAGTAATGTTAGCACAGCGTTGCTCACAGACAATGCCGTCATCGCTGACAATGCCGACATGATTTACAGAGAACCATCAAATCTAAAAGCTAAAGTTTGGGAGACATTTGGAAGGAAAGTTGGACAGAAGTCTGTCCATCGGTCAGACAGTCGTAGTAGCTGAGAGCACTGAGCTGTATCACATTGGTCCACATTCAACTGTACCTGAGTCGTATTATTATTATTATTATAGTCTTATTATACAGTCAGTGGACTCTCTACAGTCTAACGTGTCTTTATTGACATAATAATGTTGTTTACATTAGTTGATCAGAATATTAGGAACATGTGTCTGTCTGTGTTACTCACCTGTCTTTCTGTCAGTGTGTAGTTTGTGTCTTCAGGTTGATTCTTGATAATCTGATTAAAGAGACGATAAAACACGTCCTCATCATCCCTTCTTCTTATTCTTCTTCTTCTTCTCCTCCTTCTTCTTCCTCCTTTTGCTCCTTACCCCTCTTTCTCCTCCTCTGTCTCTCTTCTCTCTCTCTTCCTCTATTTCTTCTGTTTTCTTCTTTTCTAATCTCCTTCTGTTCTTTCCTCCTCCTCCTCCTCCTCCTCCTGTAGATAAACCTCTCAGAGCTCTTTCTCTCTCTCTCTCTCTCTCTTCCTCTGTCTCTCCCTCTCTGTCCCTCTCTCTGTCCCTCCCTCTCTCTCTCTCTCTCTCTCTCTCTCTCTCTCTCTATCTCTGTATCTCTCTCTCTCTCTCTTTCTCTCTCTCCCTCTCTCTCTCTCTCTCTCTCAAAATTCAATTCAAAATTCAAATTCAAAATTCAAAATGGGCTTTATTGGCATGAACGTTTTTAAAAAAAAAAACAATATTGCCAAAGCAAAGCATCAAAATACAATACAATAAGTTGAAATATTCAGACAATACACAATATGAAAGATATATACATTATGAACATTATTTTAGTTATATACAGTGTGTGTGTGTGTGTGTGTGTGTGTGTGTGTGTGTGTGTGTGTATCACTCACTGTCCCTCAGGTTGTGGCATGTTAATACATACTGGGCAGCAAGGTGTGCCTGCTCTCCTTCTCCAAGGAGTATTTTTAATTTGGAGAGATCGTTCAGCTCTTTGAAATCTGGAACCAAAGAGCTGAACTTGTTCAAATATATTTTTCTCGTATCATTTAATTTTGTACATTGTAGGAGAAAGTGCATCTCTGTCTCAACCTCACCTGTCCAACAGTGACCACATTTTCTGTTTTCTTTTGGTTGCCATGATGTTTTGTGTCTTCCTGTTTGGATTGGCGGTTTGTGGTCACTGAGCCTGTACTTAGGATCTGTCTCTGCTTTCTATCTCTGACAGTAGAGAGATATTCTGCTCATTCATAATCTCTTTTAAGGGCAAGATAACATTCCAATCTACTTTGGCTTTTAGTTGTTTCTTCCCAATGGTCCAGATAGCGTTCTTTACATTGTGCTATAATTTGCTTTACTCTGATTACTGTTTGTAGAGCAGTGTTATTGTGAGGCTGGTCACAGTGTGTCTGAGAGGGGGCAGTTAGCCTCAGTACCAACTGACATAGGGGACTCTTTTCTGGGCTCAGCTCTTGGGTCTGGAGGGCTTTGGAGTGGAGGGTGTCTCTTGCGCTGGATTTCAGGTGGTTAAAAAAGTTGAGCGTTCTCTTCTGAATGTTAATTATCAGTGGGTATCTGCCTAATTCTGCTCTACATGCATTTGTTGGTGTGTTTCTGTGTACGTGTAAAATGTATCTGCAGAATTCTGCATGTAGAGATTCTGTTGGATGTTTGTCCCAACGGGTAAAGCTCTGGTGACTGAGTGGACCCCATACTTCACTACCGTACAGCGCAATGGGCTGGATGACACTATCAAATATTTTAAGCCAGATTTTTATTGGAATATGGAAATTATAAAATGTTCTCTTAATTGCATACAGAGCTCTTTGAGCTTTTTCTTTTAGTGCATTCACTGCCATGTTGAAACTCCCTGATGTTGGTTATACCAAGGTAGGTATAACTCGCTGTGTTCAATGACATGATTATTGATGGTAAATTGGTATTTATTCTCATGACATCTGGGGCGTTTTTGAAAGATCATGACATTGGTTTTCTTCATGTTTACTGCCAGGGCCCAGTTCTGACAGTACTTTTCTACTATGTCCAGTTGTAGCTGTAGTCCTTGTTCAGTAGGAGACAGTAGAACAAGGTCATCAGCATAAAACAGAGACTTCACCTCTCTATCTAGGAGGGAGAGGCCCGGAGCAGCACATTTATCTAACAGCCAGTTCATTTATATACACATTAAATAAAGTCGGACTTAGATTGCAACCCTGTCAAACGCCTCTTCTCTGGGGGAAGAAATCAGTTAGTTTGTCTCCAATTTTAACAGCACACATGTTTTCCAAATACATTGATTTAACCAAATCATACATTTTGCCACCTATACCACAGTTTAAAAGTCTGTAATAGAGCCCTTCATGCCAAATACAGTCGAAAGCTTTCTTGAAATCAATAAAGCAGGTGAATATTTTTCCATTCTTAGTTTGTTGTACAAGTTTGTTGATTAAAGTGTGAAAGGTATATATATATTCAATTCAATTCAATTTTATTTGTATAGCGCCAATTCATAACAGAAGTTATCTCAGGACACTTTTCAAATAGAGCAGGTCTAGACCGAACTCTTTAAAACATTAATTACAGAGACCCAACAGTACCACCATGAGCAAGCACTTGGGGACAAGGGCAAGGAAAAACTGCCTGTTAAAAAGCAGAAACCTAGGACATATCCTCCGGCTCTAGGTGGGTGGTCGTCTGTCTCGACCAGTTGGGGTGAGAGAGAGAGAGAGAGAGAGAGCGAGAGACAGACAGACAGGTGCACAGCAACAACAGTATTAGCAATGGCAATCTAGCAGGACCATGGCAGGAGGCTCCACCAGGATCAACAAGAACCTGCGAGACGAGAAAGCACAAGAACTCCGGGGAAGAAGTGAAGTTAGTAACATGCATTAATGGGACATGAATGAGTGCAGAAAGAGAGAGGAAGGGAGGAGCTCAGTGCACCATGGGAAATCCCCATAATAGTCTAGGCCTATAGCAGCATAACTAAGGGATGGTTCAGGACTCACCTGATCCAGCCCTAACTATAAGCTTTATCAAAGAGGAATGTCTTAAGCCTACTCTTGAATGTGGTGAGGGTGTCTGCCTCCCGAACCACAAATGGAAGCTGGTTCCACAAGAGAGGAGCTTGGTAACTGAAGGCTCTGGCTCCTGTTCTACTTTTAGAGACTATAGGAACCACAAGTAGCCCAGCATTCAGAGAACATAGTGTTCTAGAGGGGTAATAGGGTACTATGAGCTCTTTAAGATATGAAGGGGCCTGACCATGAAGAGCTTTATAGGTGAGGAGGAGGATTTTAAATTCTATTCTACATTTTACAGGGAGCCAATGCAGAGAAGCTAGTACAGGAGAGATGTGATCTCTTTTTCTAGTTCCTGTCAGTACTCGTGCTGCAGCGTTCTGAATTAATTGGAGCGTTTTAATGGACTTATTGGGGCAACCTGATAATAAAGAGTTGCAGTAATCCAGCCTTGAAGTAACAAATGCATGGATTAGTTTTTCTGCATCTGTCTGTGATAGTATGTGTCTAATTTTTCTAATATTACGTAAATGAAAGAAGGCAGTCCTAGAGGTCTGCTTTATGTGGGAGTTAAATGACAAATCCTGATCAAAGATAACTCCAAGATTCCTGACAGTGGTGCTAGAGGCCAAGTTGATGCCATCTAGAGTAACTATATCTTTAGACAGTGAGTCTCTAAGGTTTTTGGGGCCAAGAACAAGAATTTCGTTTTTTTCTGACTTTAACATCAGAAAATTGCAGGTCATCCAGGATTTTATGTCCTTAAGACATGTTTGTAATTTAGATAATTGATTAATTTCATTGGGCTTGATTGATAGATATAACTGCGTATCATCTGCATAACAGTGAATGTTAATGGAGTGAATCCTAATAATGTTGCCTAAAGAGAGCATATATAAAGTAAATAGTATTGGTCCAAGTATAGAACCTTGTGGAACTCCATGACTAACTGTAGTATTTATTGAAGATTCATCGTTAACATGTACAAACTGCGAACGATCTGATAAATATGACTTCAACCAGCTTAGTGCAGTTCCTTTAATGCCAATTTGATGCTCAAGTCTCTCCAAAAGAATATTATGGTCAATGGTGTCAAATGCAGCACTAAGATCTAATAATACAAGTACAGAGACAAGTCCATTGTCAGAAGCAGTCAGAAGGTCATTATTAACTTTAACCAGAGCTGTCTCTGTGCTATGATGAACTCTAAATCCTGACTGAAAGTCCTCAAATAAACTATTGTTATGTAGAAAGTCACACAACTCTTTGGCGACTACTTTCTCCAGAATCTTAGAGAGGAAGGGGAGGTTAGAAATCGGTCTATAGTTGGCTAAAACCCCTGGGTCAAGAGTGGACTTTTTAAGAAGGGGTTTAATTACAGCTACTTTAAAGGACTGTGGTACATATCCTGATAATAAAGAAAGATTAATCATATCCAGTAAAGAAGTGCCAATTAAGGGAACAACTTCTTTGGGCAGCCTAGTTGGGATCGGGTCTAATAGACAGGTTGATGGCTTCGATGAAGAAATGATTGAAGTTAACTGATGAAGATCGATAGCGGAAAAACAGTCTTAATATATATCTAAGTTTACATTGACAGAAGTCCCTGAACTTGGAGAGCCACTGATAACTGTTGATAGCAGTTGGTGATTAATTTTTTCTCTAATAGTAATAATTTTATTATAGAAGAAGCTCATGAAGTCATTGCTACTTAAGTTTATGGGGATATGTGGCTCAATAGAGCTGTGACTCTGTCAGCCTGGCTACAGTGCTGAAGATGAACCTAGGGTTATTCTTATTTTCTTCTATTAGTGCTGAGTAATAGGCTCCTCTGGCATTACGGAGGGCCTTTCTATAGGTTTTAAGATTATCTTGCCAATTTGAGCGATATTCTGATAATTTGGAAGAGCGCCATTTCCTTTCAGATTTCCTAGCTATTTGCTTTAACTGGCGGGTTTGGTGGTTATACCAAGGTGCTAGTCTCCTATGTTTTAATAATTTCCTTTTTATAGGAGCGATAGAGTCTAATGTTGATCGTAGTGAGCCTGTAGCACTATCGACAAGATTATCAATTTCAGAGGGACTAAAGTCGTTATAGGACTCTGTTAAATTCAGACATGGCATTGAATTAAACACTGAAGGAATCTCCTCCTTAAATTTAGCTACAGCACTGTCAGATAGACATCTGCTGTAGGAAGTTTTGCCTAATGGCTTATAATCTAATAATATAGATTCAAAAGTTATTAAATAATGGTCAGATAGGAAAGGATTATGTGGGAAGACTATTAAATGTTCAATATCAATGCCATATGATAAAACAAGGTCAAGAGTGTGATTAAAACAATGAGTTGGTTTATTTACACTCTGACAGAAGCCAATTGAGTCTATTAATGATATAAATGCATTACTAAGGCTGTCATTGTCAACATCCACATGAATATTAAAATCACCTACAATAATTACTTTATCTGATTTAAGGACTAAACTTGATAAAAACTCTGAGAATTCAGATATAAAATCAGAGTACGGTCCAGGAGCACGGTACACTATAACAAATAGAACTGGCTGCAGTGTTTTCCAGTTTGGGTGAGAAAGACTAAGAACAAGGCTTTCAAATGAATTATAATTTAGTTTAGGTTTAGGGTCCATTAAAACGCTCGAATCATATATGGCTGCCACTCCACCTCCTCGGCCAGTGCCTCGAGGAATGTGAGTATTAATATGACTGGGGGGGTGGATTCATTTAGGCTAACATACTCCTCGTGGGACAACCAGGTCTCAGTAAGACAAAGTAAATCAATATCATAATCTGATATTAATTCATTCACTAAAACAGCTTTAGAGGACAGAGACCTGAAATTTAACAGCACACATTTCATTCTCTTATTTTGTGCTACTGAGGAGTTAGTTTTAATTTTTATTAGACTTTTATGTTGAACTCCTCTTGTTTTTATTTCTTTAAATAATTTAGGTGGTCGGGGGACAGACACTCGTCTCTATGGGGTTTTGGGTGGGTGACTGTTCTAAAGAAAGAGCAGAGAAGTGTGTAAGACAGCAGCTCTGCTTCCTGGTCCCAACTCTGGACTGTCAGGTTTTAGAAATAAATTTCGCCATATTCCTAGGTAAGAGAGCCGCTCCATCCAAAGTGGGATGGATGCCGTCTCTCCTAATCAGACCAGGTTTTCCCCAAAAAGGCTTCCAGTTATCAATGAAGCCCACATCGTTTGCTGGACACCACCTCGACAGCCAGTTGTGGAATGACGACATGCGGCTATACATGTCATCACTGGTCACATTGGGCAGGGGTCCAGAGAAAACTACGGAGTCCAACATTGTCTTAGCATAATTACACACCGACTCCACATTAATCTTAGTGACCTCCGATTGGCGTAAACGGGTGTCATTACCGCCGACGTGGATAACAATCTTACTGTATTTACGTTTACCTTTAGCCAGCAGTTTTAAATTTGATTCAATGTCGCCCGCTCTGGCCCCAGGGATACATTTAACTATGGCCGCTGGCTTCGCTAACTTCACGTTTCTGACTATGGAGCTGCCAATAACCAGAGTTGGTTCCTCAGCGGGTGTATCGCTGAGTGGGGACAATGTATTGGAAACGTGAATGGGTTGGTGGTGAACTGTGGGCTTCGGTGTTTTAGTCTTCCTTCGCTCAGTCACCCAGCCTCCCTGTCTTCCCGGCTGCTCGGGAACTACCGGGGGAACTAGTGGGGGAACTACAGATCCAGCAGAAGCTACCTTCGGTCGGACCGTATCGGCTACTGGGGGCTGGCTAACTATAGCGGCTAAAGATATCTCAGTGGTGCGGTACCGTTCCTCTAACTCACTAAGCCTCGCCTCCAGCGCAGTAAATAAACTACACTTAATACAAGAACCATTATCATTAAAGGAGGCAGAGGAATAACTGAACATCTGACACACTGAGCAGGACAGAGGAGAGGGAGAGGGAGAAGCCATAGCTAACTGCTAATGCTAATGAAGCTAGCGTGTATGAAAAACTTTTGAAAGTAGTGAAAAGTCGCTAAAAGAAGGAGTAACTCCGAATGTGTAGGTAGAACTAGTCTACGTTTAAATGTTAAGCGGGAAAATAACCGCTGTAACGAGTAAAACAAATTTAGATTTAGCGTTCACTGACAGCACCAAACAGTGTACACAGAGCAGGAAGTAAACCGGAAATGAGTCAGTACGCTTACCGTAGCACGTCACAGTTCAGATCATGTCTAGATCTGAAATCTGAATATCGATTCTGAATGTAGATTACAAACTGTTCACATCCATTATCCCTAAAAGACTGGAGTGCTTTCTGCCTGACCTGATACACAAAGACCAGACAGGCTTTGTAAAAGGACACCAAACACAGGATAACATCAGGCGCACCCTTCATATTATAGACCATGTTAATAAACATCATATAAGTGCTGCGCTGATCAGCTTAGACACTGAAAAAGCGTTTGATAGGGTCAGCTGGGATTTTTTGTATAAAGTACTAGAGAGGATGGGATTCAATGATAAATTCATTAAATGTATAAAGGCATTGTATACTGACCCATCAGCCAGAGTTAAAATCAATGGACACCTGACAGACACTTTTAAACTGTACAGAGGGACACGACAAGGTTGTTGTGCCAGCCCCGCCCTCTTCGCGATTTTCATAGAGCCACTTGCTCAAATAATTAGACAAGAGGACAAGTTGACAGGAATCACGATAGCAAGAGATGAACACAAAATAGGTTTATTTGCTGACAATATAATTACCTTCCTTCAGGACCCAAATACAATGTTTACTAAATTAGTAAAGATAATGGAAAAATATGGATTGATGTCGGGCTACAAACTGAATATGTCAAAAACCCAGGTTTTAACTTTCAATTACAAGCCAAATAAAGAAATCAGGGAGAGATATGATTTAAATTGGAACGCTAATTCAATAAAATACCTAGGAGTGATAATATTTGGTCGAGACAGACGACCACCCACCTAGAGCCGGAGGATCTGTCCTAGGTTTCTGCCTTTTAACAGGCAGTTTTTCCTTGCCCTTGTCGCCAAGTGCTTGCTCATGGTGGTACTGTTGGGTCTCTGTAATTAATGTTATAAGGAGTTCGGTCTAGACCTGCTCTATTTGAAAAGTGTCCTGAGATAACTTCTGTTATGAATTGGCGCTATACAAATAAAATTGAATTGAATTGAATTGAATTGAATTAATAACTCAGAAATTCGACAGAATTTACAAGACAAATTACAAACTAATAAACGATAAAAATTCAAAGAGATGTGGCAAAATGGTCAACACTAGTAATGGATATAGCTCAAGAATTGAGGTGGTCAAGATGAACCTCTTGCCTAGGTTGTTATATCTTTTTCTGTCTTTCCCAGTTAAAGTGCTAGATTCACAATTCTCAGCATGGGACAAGTTCATTTCCAGGTACATCTGGGCAGGAGCCAGGCCTAGGTTAAGACTCAAGACCCTTCAGCTAGACAAAGAAAATGGAGGATTGGCTTTGCCAAACTTTAGAGAATACTACTATGCTGCACAATTAAGATACGTAGTATATTGGTGCTCTTCAAGTTATCAAGCCAGATGGAAGGACATTGAGATGGGCCTGGGTCTGGGTCCTCCACAGTCAAGGTTAAGTGGAAAAGAACATATGGATCTTCTTAAGGGTGAAAACTCGATTATGAGAGAAACATTTGAAATATGGTATGATGTGGTTAAAAAATATAAGTTAACAGGAGACTGTAAGCTGTTGATTTGGCCTTCTCACACCTCCAGGTTCAGACCAGGAACATTAGACAAGGCCTTTGAAAAGTGGAGAGACAAAGGAATAACACTTGTAGATAAGCACCATTTAAAACCATTTAGACAACTTAAAAATGAGTTTTTATTGGAAAATGGAGATTTATATAGATATCTGCAATTAAGACACTTTTACGAGACAGAAATTAAGAAGGAAATCTCATTGGAAGGGAATGATGTGATTGAGGTGCTGACAGGTGCGTATAAGCAAACTCCTTCAAGAATTTTCTCTGAACTGTACAAAGGTCTATCGAAGCAACAGGGAAGAAATACAGTGTATATAAAAGTGAAATGGGAAAAAGAATTTGACATTGAGTTGTCTGTGAGTGATTGGCAATCCATACTGAAGACCCAACATACATCAACAAGCTCTAAAAGATGGAGGGAGTTTGGTTGGAGAAATTTAATATATTTTTCTATTACACCAGAAATTAAAAATAAACAATTAGGTCAACAACAATACTGTTGGAGACAATGTGGGCAACTGAATGCCAAGCATTGTTCGATTGAAGAAAAATAAAGTTTTAAAAAAACCAAAAAAACTGCAGGGGACCGAAACGGCCTTTTGAAAAAGTGCAAAATTTCCCCCCCCAAATTACGTCCGTACATGGCTCATTTGAATATTTAAATTAGCCATGTATTGATAGGTCAGGACACGAAAATGTAACCAATGAAATTACTTATTTTGACACACATATTTAGCCAATAAGTATTAAACTAACAAGTTAATGTGTCAAAAGGCGGACCTTTTTTGTTATTTTCTCAAAAGGAGGACAAATGAGTGTCCGGCTGAAGGCTGCGCCTGCATCTCCTGGGCACGAGATACCCCCCCCCCCAATGTCCCTTTAGGGGCTCCGTAGACAATAACTCAGTGACTTAAAGAAATAAAAAGGGAGATTTAGGGCAGCCTTGTTGGACACCTCTGTTAATTTGAAATCTTTTAGATGTGTTCAAATTGATTATCACAGAGCTGCTAATGTCTTTATAAAACATACTGACAATATCAACAAAGTTATTCCCAAATCCGAATACTTTGAGGGACTGAAAAAGAAAGTTGTGCTCAATTGTATCAAGGGCCTTATAAAAGAGCCTTTTTAAAAAATTATTATTCAAAAGAGCCTTTTTTTATTCAAAAGAGCCTTTTTTTATTTTTTATTTTTTTTATTGAACAATTTAAATGTACAAAACTACAAGGTATACAATAAGAATCAGCACATTGGTGACATAATTAATAAATAAATAAAAGATAGAGTACAAATAAAATGAATAAATAAATAAACAATAATAATTAAAATAAATAAACAATAGATAGTTCAAACAGGGGCTTCAGGGAAAAACTTTTCTTAATGACTCAGTAAGGTATTACTTTTTTAGTTTTTTAAGAAAATCTGAGATTTAAGCAAAGAGCTCAGTTTCAGGAGAAATGGAGTAAATGTGATTTTGCAACTTTTTGTTTGTGAATAAAGGATTTTGTATTTAGGATAACAAAGTTCATCAGCTGTTATTCAGAAGAGCCTTTTTTTTTTTACGGCTCCTCGGCGTGTGACGTCATCTGTGCGCGCCAGCAGCAGGCAGAAGGAGAGAAGATGGCGGACGGGGTGAATGTCGGGGTGAATCTGGACGCTTTCTCTCACGCGATCAGCGGCATCCAGGCGCTGCGTTCGAGCGTGAGCCGCGTGTTCGAGTCCCTGAAGGACGGCATGAAGAACCGGGAGACCCTGGAGGGCCGAGAGAAGCAGTTTATAGCCGAGTTCCAGGACAACCTGCAGGCGGTCAACAGAGACCTGAAGTGAGTCCACCGCACCAGACCCCATTCAACTTTCAGCCCATTTAAATCAGAACCAAGTCCCACCAGACTACAGTCAGATTTGACCGGTTTTAACTGTATATAGTCTGTAGTGTTCCAGAGCATATTCCCTTTCGGTATAAGTATATCCTGTGAATTTAACTCTGTAGGCTGTGTGAGCAAGTACAAACACACTCACTGTCTGTATACTTCCACTGTTGTCTGTACGTGGAGTGAAACCTCAGTACAGTTAATGGATAAAGACTGTGTACAAATGAGCTGAATCCTAAGTGAAGTTTGGTGGAGAACTTCTACTTCAAACTGTCTGACTGTAGTGAAACAGACTCACAGAGGACGAGTAGAAGTAACAGTTACCCTAACCCTATTTACATTATATTTATATAATCTATGATCTATATTCAATTCAATTCAATTCAATTTTATTTGTATAGCGCCAATTCATAACAGAAGTTATCTCAGGACACTTTTCAAATAGAGCAGGTCTAGACCGAACTCTTTAAAACATTAATTACAGAGACCCAACAGTACCACCATGAGCAAGACCTTGGAGACAAGGGCAAGGAAACACTGCCTGTTAAAAGGCAGAAACCTAGGACAGATCCTTCGGCTCTAGGTGGGTGGTCGTCTGTCTCGACCAGTTGGGGTGAGAGAGAGAGAGAGAGAGAGGCAGAGAGAGAGAGCGAGAGACAGACAGACAGACAGACAGACAGACAGACAGACAGACAGACAGGTGCACAGCAACAACAGTATTGGCAATGGCAGTCAAGCAGGACCATGGCAGGAGGCTCCACCAGGATCCATGAGAACCTGCGAGACGAGAAAGCACAAGAACTCCGGGGAAGAAGTGAAGTTAGTAACATGCATTAATGGGACATGAATGAGTGCAGAAAGAGAGAGGAAGAGAGTAGCTCAGTGCACCATGGGAAATCCCCCGATAGTCTAGGCCTATAGCAGCATAACTAAGGGATGGTTCAGGACTCACCTGATCCAGCCCTAACTATAAGCTTTATCAAAGAGGAATGTCTTAAGCCTACTCTTGAATGTGGTGAGGGTGTCTGCCTCCAGAACCACAACTGGAAGCTGGTTCCACAGGAGAGGAGCTTGGTAACTGAAGGCTCTGGCTCCTGTTCTACTTTTAGAGACTATAGGAACCACAAGTAGCCCAGCATTCAGAGAACGTAGTGTTCTAGTGGGGTAATAGGGTACTATGAGCTCTTTAAGATATGAAGGGGCCTGACCATGAAGAGCTTTATAGGTGAGGAGGAGGATTTTAAATTCTATTCTACATTTTATATTATATTATATCTTTAATCTACAATCTATATCTACATTATGTATAAATAAAATCTATAATCTATATTTACTTTATATATAATCTATATCTACATAATAGATATAATCTACCTCTACATTTTATATATATATATATATATATATATATATATATATAAATTATATAATAGTATAGATATCTACATTATATGTATAATCTATGTCTAAATTATATGTATAATCTATATCTACGTTATATTTATATAATCTATAATCTATTTTATATCTATCTACATCATATCTATAATCTACATTGTATCTATAATTATCATCTATATTATATCTATAATCTATCTACATTATATATATAAATATATATATATATATAATCTATAGATTATGTTTATATAATATATATATATATATAATCTATAGATTATGTTTATATAATCTATATTATATCTATAATCTATCTACATTATATATATAAATATATATATAATCTATAGATTATGTTTATATAATCTATAATCTATATTATATCTATAATCTATATCTACATTATATCTATAATCTATATTATATCTATAATTTATATCTACATTATATCTATATCTACATTTTAGATATCTATAATCTATATCTACAGAATATCTATAATCTATATCTACAGAATATCTATAATCTATATCTACAGTATAGATATCTATTTCTACATTATATCTATAATCTATATCTACATTATATCTATAATCTGTATCTACATTATAGATATCTATATCTACATTATATCTATAATCTATATCTACAGAATATCTATAATCTATATCTACAGAATATCTATAATCTATATCTACAGAATATCTATAATCTATATCTACAGAATATCTATAATCTATATCTACATTATATCTATAATCTGTATCTACATTATAGATATCTATATCTACAGAATATCTATAATCTATATCTACAGAATATCTATAATCTATATCTACATTATAGATATCTATATCTACATTATAGATATCTATATCTACATTATATCTATAATCTATATCTACATTATAGCTATAATCTATATCTACATTGTAGATATCTATGTCTACATTATAGATATCTATATCTACATTATATCTATAATCTATATCTATAATCTATATCTACATTATAGATATCTATGTCTACATTATAGATATCTATAATCTATATCTACAGAATATCTATAATCTATATCTACATTATAGATATCCATATCTACAGAATATCTATAATCTATATCTACAGAATATCTATAATCTATATCTACATTATAGATATCTATGTCTACATTATAGATATCTATAATCTATATCTACAGAATATCTATAATCTATATCTACAGAATATCTATAATCTATATCCACTGAAATAAATATTGAAAATAAAATGAAAAAGGATAAAGTACCCTGAGTGACAATGCACAAAAAAATATAATAATAATAATTATAAATAATGTTTCTCCTATTGCGTCACTGTTTGAACACTGAAGAGGTCATATGAAAATAATGTAAATGTATATATGTAAACAAAATATACAATAGTAAACCTTAACATTCTGATAATGGATAGGTCTAAAACTTGTACCTGACTTCTTTCGTTTTTAGATTTTTGAGTAGAAAGAGAATCTGACCAAGGTGCTCCTATTGTGTCACTGTTTGAACACTCAACAGGTCATATGAAAATAAAATGCCTATGTCTATACATATTATTACATACATGCTTGTCACTGAACACACTGAGCTGAAAAGTATGAGGAAAAGAAAGTGTACATAGTCTTCTTGTAAACAAAATAAATACAATAGTAAACCTTAACATTCAGACACATGGATAGGCCTAAAACTTGTACCTGACTTCTTTTGTTTTTAGGTTTTTATTTAGAAAGAGAATCTGATCAAGGTGCCCTGGGGTGAGTGCACTCCTCTGTGCAGTGATAATGTCCCCCGCAGTAGAGAAAACTCTCTCAGAGGATGCACAAATACCTCTTTGCAAGTTTTGACAGGAGAGGATACTCACACTTGTGATCCCTCCACCAGTTCAGTGGATTGGCCCCTTTCGTAATTGGCATCGGAGCAGTCTTTGAATCTTCCCATCTCCTCTTGTGCCTGGTTCTCTGGCGTCTTTCAACTTCTTTGCAGCCCCTGGAACAGTGATCACAAAAATTAGCGATTTCTTTAAGACCACCCAAAGTCGCTACAGTTTAATGTTGGAGATTCATGGTGCAGAATAAAGTATGTGCAGTTTGGTTACAGATCAAATCGAGACTCCTTAGAAGATGATTTGTGCATGTGTAACTTGAATATTGGACAAATATCAACCTAACACAAGTGTAATATGAAACTTTAAGCATCGAGTAATGTACATTACACATGCTCTGAAGAATGTGGTTTTTTAAATGAGAGGAAATAAACTTTACACTTTGAGTGGAAAAATCTGAATAAGTCTTTTAGTGTCAAACTCTGAACAAACATTCAGCATAGTGAGGCTGAAATATTCAACTGCAGGGATAAGAACTAAAACTAACTGTTGACATTAAGGGGTCTTTCCTATACTGACCTGAAGCGTATGTTTGACCAAGAAGGTCCGCAAGGCCACAAGAATCCTTGGATCTCTTCTTAGACGTGGACAATGCTGTAAAGCTCTCCTCTTCCTCGGGACCTTGGCTGCACCCTTTGTCCTCCTCACCTAGAACCTCCAGCCTTGCATCCTTATCTTCCTCCTCTTCTCCATCAGCCTGAGTCTCTGGCTCATCTGTTACATCCTCTCCAGCTCCTCCATGCTGAAAAACAGCATCACATTACGTAAATTAAATAAGCTCAAATGAAATAAATTACAATTAAATGCTGACATTATCTGTTGTTCATGTAATATAAACTAACATTCACCAGTGTTTATGTATTTTAAACTTTTAGTATTTATGCATTTTAAAATATTTATGCAATATTTGTATTGACTATCTATGAAAAATATTGAAAGAATATTTGAAAGCAGTCTAACAGTCTAGCTCACCTGAAACAGCCCCTGGGTCCTTGCAGCCTCTGTGGTGACTCTATCATAGATGATCTGGCGTTCATCCTCAGTCAAGAACGACAAGGTCTTAAATCGGGGATCCACAGCTGCACACACGAAGAGTCTCCCTCTGCTCATCTAAGTACCTCTTCTTGAGGTCCTGGCATATGGCAGTTTTGATCTCTTTTATCATGTTAAAGTCACCTGGGCTCTCCTGGAGTTCTTGGATCAGGTGGGCATGGACTGGTGCAACTGCTAACAGTGTGGGAGTTTTCTCTTCTTCCATGACCACAGTGGCAATCTTCATGGGCTTCATAGCAGCGACTATTTCTTCTGCAGCTGTAATGTCGACCTCTTTTTCATTCTTCCTCACCTCGTGTGACAGCAGGGCAGCAGTGACTGCCAGCTGCTGCTCCAGGAAGCGCTGGAGCATGTCATGTGTGCTAATCCATCTGGTGACCACATCGGTCTTGAGTTTGTGCTGTTCCAGATTCAGCAACTTCTGTTTTTCTTTCAAGACATGATTGGCAATGGCGCTGCGTCTGAAAAAGTTGGTAATCCGCCTCACTCTTCCCAACAAGCGCTGGACAGCTGGCAACTTTAGTGCATGCTGAGAAGCCAAATTTAGGGTGTGCACGAAGCATTTAAAATGCAGCATACCAGCCAGCTCTGCTGCCCAGGTCATGTTTTTAGCGTTGTCTGTGACTATGGCTGGGTCCTTGTCCTGTATGCCCCATTCCTCCATTGCCCTTTTCAGCAAATCAGCAATGTTACTGCCGGTGTGGCTCTCATGCATTGCCCTTGTCTGCAAAACTTGTGTAACCATTGTCGTCGGATATGTAGTGGGACGTTTTGGTCACATACGACTGCGTGGCTCTGGACGTCCATCCGTCACACGTCAAGGCAACTCTTTGTGCAGTGCTAAGAGGTGTTTTCATGACTTTCTTCACATTATATCTATAATCTGTAATCTATATCTACATTATATCTATAATCTATATCTACATTATATCTATAATCTGTAATCTATATCTACATTATATCTGTAATCTATATCTACATTATATCTATAATCTGTAATCTATATCTACATAATATCTGTAATCTATATCTACATTATATCTATAATCTGTAATCTATATCTACATTATATCTGTAATCTATATCTACATTATATCCAATCCAATCCAACTTTATTTGTTAAGCACTTTAAAAACAACCAAAGTTGACCAAAGTGCTGTACAGGAGAATAAATAAGACATCATAAATGTAAACAGTGATGGTGATGATGATGATGATGAAGACCACTGTGAGGAATATAGACAGTGATGGCGATAACACTGGAAAGTTCCCGTGTCAGATAACACGGACGAAGTCCGACGGCGACGAGCTCGATGTCCGGGCTGCAGGCGTTCTTTCACACAGACGTGCCCGGCGTTACACCACCTGTTGTTGATGAGCACGGACAGTCCCCCTCCTTTCTTCATGCCAGTCGCGGTGGTGTCCCTGTCGGCTCGAACCTTCTGGAAGCCGGGAATGGTGACGATGGAGTCCGGTATCTGCTCGTGTAGCCACGTTTGTAGGGTTTAAAGCTCCTCTTCTTCATCCTCCGTTTAACCCCCGCTCTGAAGCCTCACCGTCTCCTCCTCAGCTCCTCCGGTATGGAGGGTCTCTCTCCAGTCAGGATGCTCGGGTACCTCAGGGCGATCATCTGGTCGCGGGTGTAAACAATGAGATTCGCCGTCGCCATGGAGACCTGTGCAAACAAAAAATAAAAAGTGCTCAAAAATGCCAAAAAAAGTATTTAGGCGTTGTGAACAAAGTAAGAAAGTAAGAAAACAGTTAAAAATAGCTAAAAACACACTGAAAACACACTAAAACTACAACAATGATAGGAGCTGCCATGACAGGCTGCCGTTGTCGCCGGCGCCGTTCCATGGAATGTATATATATAATATATCTCTAATCTATATCTACATTATATCTATAATCTATCTACATTATATCTATAATCTATCTACATTATATCTATAATCTATCTACATTATATCTATAATCTATATCTACATTATATCTATAATCTATATCTACATTATATCTATAATCTATATCTACATTATATCTAGAATCTATATCTACATTATATCTAATCTATATCTACATTATATCTAGAATCTATATCTACATTATATCTATAATCTATATCTACATTATATCTAATCTATATCTACAATATATCTATAATCTATATCTACATTATATCTATAATCTATCTACATTATATCTATAATCTATATCTACACTATAGGTCTACATGTGGCTCAGAGGCAGAGCGGGTCATCCACTAATCGTAAATTGGGGGTTCGATCCCCAGCTCCTCCTGCCACATGTCAAAGTTGAGCAACTGATGCATCACTGTCCCCCTGTCTGTCTGTCCCCCTGTCGCAGTGAGTTGGAGCGTCTCAGTGGTCTGGTGGGTCGTCCCTCAGAGTCTCATCCTCTCCACAACAGCGGCCTCCTCAGTCTGGATCCGGTTCAAGATAAAACCCCATTGTACTCTCAGCTGCTGCAGGCCTACAAATGGTCCAACAAGGTAAACAGGCTAATGTGCTAACGGTGTGAGGAGGATGATGATGGTGTTGTTGATGGTGTTGATGATGATGATGAAGATGATGATGGCGGTGGTGATGATGTCCCCTGCTCTGCTGTCTTTGACCAGTTTGAGCCTGTGACTTTTTCCTTTTTACAGGATGTTGTTGGTCATTTGAAGCCCTCAGGTTCTCCAAATGATGCTGTCCCTCCTCAACTATTTAAGGAGGTTTTCCCCACTGTAGGACCATCTGTTATTGCAGTCATAAATAGCAGTCTGACCTCAGGTGTGGTCCCTGAAAATTTCTAAACTTAAATTTCAATGATAAAAAGACGGAACTGATGGTTTTTGGTGGCACCACTGGGACCCCCCCTGTAGATCTGGGTTCCTTGGCCCAGTATATCGTCTTTTAACTGGCACACGTAAACATGAGCACATTTCCCCCATTTTAGCCTCACTCCACTGGCTGCCTATTCAGTTTAGGATCCCGTTTAAAATTCTGTAATTTGCTTTTAACTCTACCCTACCTCTCTAAGCTTCTACACCCCTATATACCAGTCCGCTCTCTCAGGTCAGATGATCAGCTGCTCCTGAGTGTGCCTAAAACTAAGCGGAAGCTCAGAGGGGACCATGTCTTTGTGTCTGCTCCTAAATTATGGAATGATCTGCCTCTGCACATTAAACAGGCCTCTTCTCTGTCAGTTTTTAAAACCCGTCTTAAAACCCATCTCTTCTCTGTGGCCTTTGACACCTAGTAAGATGTCGAATTTATTTACTTGATTTCATTTCTTATTTTGATTGCTTTTTATTGCGTGGCTATTATTTTTACTCATGTTTTATGTCTTTTCATTTTATTGTTGTATTTTATATGTAATTTTGCGCCTCATGTGAGCTGTTATGTTTTTTATTTATGTTGTCTTATTTATTCTCCTGTACAGCACTTTGGTCAACTTTGGTTGTTTTAAAGTGCTTAACAAATAAAGTTGGATTGGATTGGATTGGATGATGATGGTGTTGATGATGATGATGATGATGATGATGATGATGATGATGATGATGGTTGTGTGTGTGTGTGTGTGTGTGTGTGTGTGTGTGTGTGTGTGTGTAGTTGCAGTATCACGCAGGTTTAGCCTCCAGTTTGTTGAATCAACAGTCACTCAAACGATCGGCCAATCAGATGGGAGCTTCAGCCAAGAGGCGACCTAAAGTCCAACCCAGTACCCTGGTACTGCCTCCTCAGTGAGTACTGCAGTAATACAAGTATACAATACTATAATACTGCTATAATAATACTACTATAATACTGCTATAATAATAATACTCTTATACTGCTATAATACTATAATAATACTGCTATAATAATAATATAATAATACTATAATACTGCTATAATAATACTATATACTGCTATAGTAATACTATAATAATGCTGTAATAATACTATAATACTGCTATAATACTATAATACTTTAATAATACTGCTATAATACTATTATACTATAATAATACTGCTATAATACTATAATAATACTGCTATACTATAATACTATAATACTGCTATAATACTATAATACTATTATAATACTGCTATAATACTATTATAATACTGCTATAATACTATAATAATACTGCTATAATAATACTATAATACTGCTATAATAATACTATAATACTGCTATAATACTATAATAATACTGCTATAATACTGCTATAATAATACTATAATACTATAATAATACTGCTATAATACTATTATAATAATACTATAATACTATTATAATACTGCTATAATACTATTATAATTCAATTCAATTCAATTTTATTTGTATAGCACCAATTCATAACAGAAGTTATCTCAGGACACTTTTCAAATAGAGCAGGTCTAGACCGAACTCTTTATAACATTAATTACAGAGACCCAACAGTACCACCATGAGCAAGACCTTGGAGACAAGGGCAAGGAAAAACTGCCTGTTAAAAGGCAGAAACCTAGGACAGATCCTCCGGCTCTAGGTGGGTGGTCGTCTGTCTCGACCAGTTGGGGTGATAGAGAGAGAGAGAGAGAGAGAGAGGCAGAGAGAGAGAGAGCGAGAGAGAGAGGCAGAGAGAGCGAGAGACAGACAGACAGACAGGTGCACAGCAACAACAGTATTGGCTCCACCAGGATCCATGAGAACCTGCGAGACGAGAAAGCACAAGAACTCCGGGGAAGAAGTGGAGTTAGTAACATGCATTAATGGGACATGAATGAGTGCATAAAGAGAGAGGAAGGGAGGAGCTCAGTGCACCATGGGAAATCCCCCGATAGTCTAGGCCTATAGCAGCATAACTAAGGGATGGTTCAGGACTCACCTGATCCAGCCCTAACTATAAGCTTTATCAAAGAGGAATGTCTTAGGCCTACTCTTGAATGTGGTGAGGGTGTCTGCCTCCCGAACCACAACTGGAAGCTGGTTCCACAGGAGAGGAGCTTGGTAACTGAAGGCTCTGGCTCCTGTTCTACTTTTAGAGACTATAGGAACCACAAGTAGCCCAGCATTCAGAGAACGTAGTGTTCTAGAGGGGTAATAGGGTACTATGAGCTCTTTAAGATATGAAGGGGCCTGACCATGAAGAGCTTTATAGGTGAGGAGGAGGATTTTAAATTCTATTCTACATTTTACAGGGAGCCAATGCAGAGAAGCTAGTACAGGAGAGATGTGATCTCTTTTTCTAGTTCCTGTCAGTACTCGTGCTGCAGCGTTCTGAATTAATTAATAATTGATTAATTTCATTGGGCTTGATTGATAGATATAACTGCGTATCATCTGCATAACAGTGAAAGTTAATGGAGTGATTCCTAATAATGTTGCCTAAACGGAGCATATATAAAGTAAATAGTATTGGTCCAAGTACAGAACCTTGTGGAACTCCATGACTAACTGTAGTATTTATTGAAGATTCATCGTTAACATGTACAAACTGTGAGCGATCTGATAAATATGACTTAAACCAGCTTAGTGCGGTTCCTTTAATGCCAATTTGATGCTCAAGTCTCCCCAAAAGAATATTATGGTCAATGGTGTCAAATGCAGCACTAAGATCTAATAATACAAGTACAGAGACAAGTCCATTGTCAGAAGCAGTCAGAAGGTCATTATTAACTTTAACCAGAGCTGTCTCTGTGCTATGATGAACTCTAAATCCTGACTGAAAATCCTCAAATAAACTATTGTTATGTAGAAATTCACACAACTCTTTGGCGACTACTTTCTCCAGAATCTTAGAGAGGAAGAGAGGTTAGAAATCGGTCTATAGTTGGCTAAAACCCCTGGGTCAAGAGTGGGCTTTTTAAGAAGGGGTTTAATTACAGCTACTTTAAAGGACTGTGGTACATATCCTGATAATAAAGAAAGATTAATCATATCCAGTAAAGAAGTGCCAATTAAGGGAACAACTTCTTTAAGCAGCCTAGTTGGGATCGGGTCTAATAGACAGGTTGATGGCTTCGATGAAGAAATGATTGAAGTTAACTGATGAAGATCGATAGCAGAAAAACAGTCTAAATATATATCTAAGTTTACATTGACAGAAGTCCCTGAACTTGGAGAGCCACTGATAACTGTTGATGGCAGTTGGTTATTAATTTTTTCTCTAATAGTAATAATTTTATTATAGAAGAAGCTCATAAAGTCCTTGCTACTTAAGTTTATGGGGATATGTGGCTCAATAGAGCTGTGACTCTCTGTCAGCCTGGCTACAGTGCTGAAGAGGAACCTAGGGTTGTTCTTATTTTCTTCTATTAGTGCTGAGTAATAGGCTCCTCTGGCATTACAGAGGGCCTTTCTATAGGTTTTAAGATTATCTTGCCAATTTGAGCGATATTCTGATAATTTGGAAGAGCGCCATTTCCTTTCAGATTTCCTAGCTATTTGTTTTAACTGGCGGGTTTGGTGGTTGTACCAAGGTGCTAGTCTCCTATGTTTTAATAATTTCCTTTTTATAGGAGCGATAGAGTCTAATGTTGATCGTAGTGAGCCTGTAGCACTATCGACAAGATTATCAATTTCAGAGGGACTAAAGTCGTTATAGGACTCTGTTAAATTCAGACATGGCATTGAATTAAACACTGAAGGAATCTCCTCCTTAAATTTAGCTACAGCACTGTCAGATAGACATCTGCTGTAGGAAGTTTTGCCTAATGGCTTATAATCTAATAGTATGAATTCAAAAGTTACTAAATAATGGTCAGATAGGAAAGGATTATGTGGGAAGACTATTGAATGTTCAATATCAATGCCATATGATAAAACAAGGTCAAGAGTGTGATTAAAACAATGAGTTGGTTTATTTACACTCTGACAGAAGCCAATTGAGTCTATTAATGATATAAATGCATTACTAAGTCTGTCATTGTTAACATCCACATGAATATTAAAATCACCTACAATAATTACTTTATCTGATTTAAGGACTAAACTTGATAAAAACTCAGAGAATTCAGGTATAAAATCAGAGTACGGTCCAGGAGCGCGGTACACTATAACAAATAGAACTGGCTGCAGTGTTTTCCAGTTTGGGTGAGAAAGACTAAGAACAAGGCTTTCAAATGAATTATAATTTAGTTTAGGTTTAGGGTCCATTAAAACGCTCGAATCATATATGGCTGCTACTCCACCTCCTCGGCCTGTGCCTCGAGGAATGTGAGTATTAATATGACTGGGGGGGGGTGGATTCATTTAGGCTAACATACTCCTCGTGGGACAACCAGGCCTCAGTAAGACAAAGTAAATCAATATCATAGTCTGGTATTAATTAATTCACTAAAACAGCTTTAGAGGACAGAGACCTGATATTTAACAGCCCACATTTCATTCTCTTATTTTGTGCTACTGAAGAGTTAGTTTTAATTTTTATTAGATTTTTATGTTGAACTCCTCTTGTTTTTATTTCTTTAAATAATTTAGGTGGTCGGGGGACAGACACAGTCTCTATGGGGTTTTGGGTGGGTGACTGTTCTAAAGAAAGACCAGAGAAGTGTGTAAGACAGCAGCTCTGCTTCCTGGTCCTAACTCTGGACTGTCAGGTTTTAGAAATAAACTTTGCCATATTTCTAGATAAGAGAGCCGCTCCGTCCAAAGTGGGATGGATGCCGTCTCTCCTAATCAGACCAGGTTTTCCCCAAAAAGGCTTCCAGTTATCAATGAAGCCCACATCGATCACTGGTCACATTGGGGAGGGGTCCAGAGAAAACTACGGAGTCCGACATTGTCTTAGCATAATTACACACCGACTCCACATTAATCTTAGTGACCTCCGATTGGCGTAAACGGGTGTCATTACCGCCGACGTGGATAACAATCTTACTGTATTTACGTTTATCTTTAGCCAGCAGTTTTAAATTTGATTCAGTGTCTCCCGCTCTGGCCCCAGGGATACATTTAACTATGGGCGCTGGCTTCGCTAACTTCACGTTTCTGACTATGGAGCTGCCAATAACCAGAGTTGGTTCCTCAGCGGGTGTATCGCTGAGTGGGGAAAATGTATTGGAAACGTGAAGGGGTTGGTGGTGACCTGTGGGCTTCGCTGTTCTAGTCTTCCATAATACTGCTATAATAATACTATAATACTGCTATAATACTATTATAATACTGCTATAATAATACTATAATAATACTATAATACTGCTATAATAATACTATAATACTATTATAATACTATAATACTATTATAATACTGCTATAATACTGCTATAATAATACTATAATACTATAATAATACTGCTATAATACTATTATAATACTGCTATAATAATACTATAATACTGCTATAATACTATTATAATACTGCTATAATAATACTATAATACTGCTATAATAATACTATAATACTATTATAATACTATAATACTATTATAAAACTGCTATAATACTATAATAATACTGCTATAATAATACTATAATACTATTATAATACTATAATACTATTATAATACTGCTATAATACTATAATAATACTAAAAATAATACTATTATACTATTATAATACTGCTATAATACTATAATAATACAGCTATAATACTATAATACTGCTATAATAATACTATAATACTATAATAATACTGCTATAATAATACTGTAATACTGTTATAATACTATAATACATTACATACATACAATTCATACTGTGTTCTCTTTGTTCTCTGTGTACAGGTATGTGGATGATGTCATCTCTCGGATAGGCAGGATGTTTCCTGATATGACCATCGAACTGTTCAGACCCAACGGGACGTCGGCTGTACTGCTGGTAATAATACACTGTACAGGTACAGGTGTGTTCACACAGTCACACAGTCTCAGGTGTTTTCACAGTCTCAGGTGTGTTCATTCTCAGGTGTGTTCACACAGTCATACAGTCACACAGTCACACAGTCATACAGTCACACAGTCTCAGGTGTGTTCATTCTCAGGTGTGTTCACACAGTCATACAGTCACACAGTCTCAGGTGTGTTCATTCTCAGGTGTGTTCACACAGTCATACAGTCACACAGTCTCAGGTGTGTTCATTCTCAGGTGTGTTCACACAGTCATACAGTCACACAGTCTCAGGTGTGTTCATTCTCAGGTGTGTTCACACAGCCATACAGTCACACAGTCTCAGGTGTGTTCATTCTCAGGTGTGGTCATTCTCAGGTGTGGTCATTCTCAGGTGTGGTCATTCTCAGGTGTGTTCACACAGCCATACAGTCACACAGTCTCAGGTGTGTTCATTCTCAGGTGTGTTCATTCTCAGGTGTGTTCATTCTCAGGTGTGTTCATTCTCAGGTGTCTGTCTGTCTCACCTGTCTCCCTCTCAGGTGACACTGGGAAAGGTGTTGAAGGCCATTGTCGTGATGCGTTCGCTGTTCATTGACAGAACCGTTGTTCGAGGATTCAATGAGAACGTTTACAACGAGGACGGAAAGGTCAGAGGTCAAACTTACCCGACAGGTAATACCTGTCTGTCTCTGTCTCTATGATAACCTGTCTTTCTGTCCTCCTCAGCTGGATATCTGGACCAAGTCTCAGTACCAGGTGTTCCAGAAGGTAAGACTCACCTGTCCTCACCTGAAGTTGCACACCTGAGCTCAGTGTGCAGCGTTCTGATTGGTTTTGTTGTTGCTAGGTGACGGACCACGCCACCACCGCCCTGCTGCACTACCAACTGCCCCAGATGCCCGACGTTGTCGTTCGATCCTTCATGGTAAGTGAGACACACTCAGTCCCTGACCTGTCTGTCTCTGACCTGTCTGTCTATCTCTCTACCTATCTGTCTCTGACCTGTCTGTCTCTGACCTGTCTCTCTGTCTGTCGCTGACATATCTGTCTCTGACCTGCCTGTCTCTCTGTCTGTCTCTAACCTGTCTGTCTCTCCATAGACCTGGTTGCGGAGCTACATTAAACTCTTCCAGTTGTCCTGTCTGTCTCTGACCTGTCTGTCTCTCCATAGACCTGGTTGCGGAGCTACATTAAACTCTTCCAGTCGTCATGTCAGCGCTGCGGTCGTTTCCTTCAGGACGGTCTTCCTCCAACGTGGAGGGACTTTAGGACCCTGGAGGCTTTTCACGACACTTGTCGCATGTAAAGAAACACTTCCTGTGTTTTGTTTTGTTTTGTTTTTATTTTGTGTAAAAAGTCTGAATAAAGTTTGATTTAAATTTTTTACAGTTGTATTTGTTTGTAAATTGATCAGTTTCAGTTTCAGTGAGTGTGCTGTAGTTTCTATTCAAAGAAACACGCTCCAGGTTTCTCTCTGTGATTAACTCTCTTTTGTAGGCAAAATTTATGCTGGGAGTTGTAGTTTCTATATTACGCTTCTTTAAGGAAGAATTCAAAGACTGCAGCAGGACAGATCTGATCAATTTTCAATAAATCTGAAGTGATTAAATTCAATTCAATTTTATTTGTATAGCGCCAATTCATAACAGAAGTTATCTCATGACACTTTTCAAATAGAGCAGGTCTAGACCGAACTCTTTATAACATTATTTACAGAGACCCAACAGTACCACCATGAGCAAGACCTTGGAGACAAGGGCAAGGAAACACTGCCTGTTAAAAGGCAGAAACCTAGGACAGATCCTTCGGCTCTAGGTGTGTGGTCGTCTGTCTCGACCAGTTGGGGTGAGAGAGAGAGAGAGAGCGAGAGACAGACAGACAGACAGACAGGTGCACAGCAACAACAGTATTGGCAATGGCAATCTAGCAGGACCATGGCAGGAGGCTCCACCAGGATCGACAAGAACCTGCGAGACGAGAAAGCACAAGAACTCCGGGGAAGAAGTGAAGTTAGTAACATGCATTAATGGGACATGAATGAGTGCAGAAAGAGAGAGGAAGAGAGGAGCTCAGTGCACCATGGGAAATCCCCCGATAGTCTAGGCCTATAGCAGCATAACTAAGGGATGGTTCAGGACTCACCTGATCCAGCCCTAACTATAAGCTTTATCAAAGAGGAATGTCTTAAGCCTACTCTTGAATGTGGTGAGGGTGTCTGCCTCCAGAACCACAACTGGAAGCTGGTTCCACAGGAGAGGAGCTTGGTAACTGAAGGCTCTGGCTCCTGTCCTACTTTTAGAGACTATAGGAACCACAAGTAGCCCAGCATTCAGAGAACGTAGTGTTCTAGAGGGGTAATAGGGTACTATGAGCTCTTTAAGATATGAAGGGGCCTGACCATGAAGAGCTTTATAGGTGAGGAGGAGGATTTTAAAGTCAATTCTACATTTTACAGGGAGCCAATGCAGAGAAGCTAGTACAGGAGAGATGTGATCTCTTTTTCTAGTTCCTGTCAGTACTCGTGCTGCAGGGTTCTGAATTAATTGGAGCGTTTTAATGGACTTATTGGGGCAACCTGATAATAAAGAGTTGCAGTAATCCAGCCTTGAAGTAACAAATGCATGGATAAGTTTTTCTGCATCTGTCTGTGATAGTATGTGTCTAATATTTCTAATATTACTGTAGCAAGCCGTGCTACAGACGGGGTTCCCCAGCACACAAAACTCCCGGACCAGACTGTCGGTTCACACAACTCTTTATTTAAGGCACAAAATGCAGCTGCACCGCTGCTCGGCAGCTTCCGCCCAGAGGCCTGTCTTTCGGTGTGTGTCTTTTTCCGGATCCAGCACACTACTGCCAAGATAAAAGGTAGAGTCATCAGACAATCATTGGCAGGTGAGGTAATCAACTCACCTGGTGCCACTCTCCCAGGCCTTCCCCACACCTCTCCCTCCTGCAGCTGAGCGCGAACCACGCCCACCTCCACATACCCCCACCGCCCGATTTAGGCCGGGGCGCCATCCGGCCTAACCTACTCCCCCCCCCCCCATAGGAGCGGGAGAGAAAGTCGGCCACGGCCATCTGCGCCCCCGGTCTATGGACCACCCTGAATTTAAACGGCTGTAAGGCCAGATACCACCGAGTGATCCGGGCGTTGGCATCTTTCATGCGGTGGAGCCACTGGAGGGGGGCATGGTCCGAACAGAGGGTGAACGAGCGCCCCAGCAGGTAATAACGCAGAGCCTCGACCGCCCACCGGATCGCCAAGCACTCCTTCTCGATCGTGCTATACCGAGACTCCCTCTCCGACAGCTTCCGGCTGATGTATAACACCGGGCGGTCGACACCCTGCACCTGCTGGGACAGAACGGCCCCCAGCCCTCTGTTCGAAGCGTCAGTCTGCAGGATAAAGGGGAGAGAGAAGTTAGGTGTGTGAAGAAGAGGCTTCCCACAGAGGGTTTGTTTTACCTTCTCAAACGCCAGCTGACACTGCTCCGTCCACTGGACCGGATCTGAGGCACCCTTTCGAGTGAGGTCGGTCAGGGGGCTGGTCAAGTCTGCAAAGTGCGGAATGAACCGCCGGTAATAACCTGCCAGCCCCAGGAACCGCCTCACCTCCTTTTTGGTCTTGGGCCGTGGGCTGGCTGCAATTGCTGCTGTCTTGTCTACCTGAGGACGCACCTGCCCACTGCCCAAGTGGTACCCCAAATACCGTACCTCCCTCCGTCCAACTGCACACTTCCTCGGGTTGGCAGTGAGCCCCGCCTGCCTCAGTGACTCGAGCACCGCCGCCACACTCTGCACATGCTCCCGCCAGCTGTTACTATGGATGATAACGTCATCCAAGTAGGCGGCCGCATACGCAGAGTGCGGACGCAGGACCCGGTCCATGAGACGCTGGAAAGTGGCTGGGGCCCCAAACAACCCGAAAGGAAGTGTGACAAATTGGTACAATCCATACGGAGTGGAGAAGGCCGTTTTTTCCTTAGACTCTGGAGACAAGGGAATCTGCCAATAGCCCTTGGTTAAATCCAGTGTCGTGAAAAAGCGAGCAGTGCCTAACCGATCCAGGAGCTCGTCGACCCGAGGCATCGGATAAGCATCAAACCGTGACACATCATTCACCTTGCGATAGTCCACACAGAACCGAATAGACCCATCCTTCTTAAGTACCAGAACAATGGGGCTACACCAGGCACTGTTGGACTCTTCTATTACCCCCATCTCCAGCATGGCCTTCAATTCCTTCTGAACCACCTTTCTTTTGTGTTCAGGTAACCGATAGGGCCGTGAACGCACTGTCACGCCCGGGTGAGTCTCAACATGATGCTGTATGAGATTTGTGCGTCCTGGCAGGGGGGAGAACACGTCAGCAAAACGCTGTTGCAACGCTGCAACGTCTGCTCTCTGGGACGGTGTGAGATGGTCATCACAATGGAGTGAGGCAGGATTGGTGGAATTTGGGACCTCAGGCCCCAACTCATCTCTCTCTTTCACCGTGGTCACCACAGAAACAGGCTCCGCCTCTCTCCACGCTTTAAGGAGATTGAGATGGTAAATCTGTGCTGCACCTCCCCTGTCAGAACGCCCAACCTTATAATCGACATCACCCACTCGCCGTGTGACCACGAAGGGCCCTTGCCACTTGGCGAGTAATTTAGAGCTGGAAGAAGGGAGTAATACAAGTACTTTGTCTCCCGGTGCAAATTGTCTGAGCCTAGTTCCTCTGTTGTACAGGCGCTGTTGACGCTCCTGGGCCCTGAGCAAATTCTCCCGTGACAACCGGCCCAATGTGTGGAGTTTTGCTCTCAGGTCCAGGACGTACTGAACCTCATTTTTACTTGGGCTCGGACCCTCCTCCCAGCTTTCTTTAACAAGGTCCAGAACCCCCCGTGGTGTCCTGCCAAACAGCAGTTCAAAGGGAGAAAATCCCGTTGAGGCCTGGGGCACCTCACGCACTGCAAACAACAGAGGATCTAGCCACCTATCCCAATTACGGCCGTCATCGTGCACAAACTTACGGATCATGGGCTTCAGGGTTTTGTTCAGACGCTCGACAAGGCCGTCGGTCTGAGGGTGGTACACACTAGTCCGAATTGACCTGATGCCCAATAACCCATAAAGTTCCCGGAGTGTACGTGACATAAACGAGGTGCCCTGGTCCGTTAGGATTTCTTTTGGGATCCCAACTCGGGAGATGACCTGGAACAGTGCCTGTGCCACACTCTTTGCAGAGATTGTGCGCAGAGGCACTGCTTCCGGATATCGAGTTGCATAATCCACTAGGACTAATACAAAGCGATATCCTCGTGCGCTCCGGTGAAATGGCCCGATGAGGTCCATGCCAATACGCTCAAATGGAACCTCCATGAGTGGTAATGGGCGCAAAGGCGCTCTCGGGATGGCCGGTTGGTTAACCAACTGACATTCCGGGCAAGATGCACACCAGCGGCGTACATCTGCCCTAATGCCAGGCCAATAGAATCGGGCCATTATCCGGTTAAGTGTCTTCTCATACCCCATATGCCCCGCCATTGGGTTATAATGAGCCGCCTGGAAAACTGTTTCCCGGCGGCTTTCCGGCACCAACAACTGGGTGATTTCCTCTGCTGACTGAGTGTCACGACTCACTCTGTATAACCTGTCCCTAACCAATGCAAAATGCGGATATGTCTGCGCTGCGTCAGGGTGCACCAATTGACCATCAATTTTTATCACTTGGTCAAAGGCAAAGCGTAGAGTATTGTCGCGAGACTGCTCGAGTGGAAAATCTTCCGTGGAGCGCAACATGGGGACCTGTGGAGCCTCTGGCGGAGGCACCACAGATCCCCCCTCCCCCTCTGCAGCGTCGGACAACCTCGCGTCACCACTGAGCACAGCGCACATATCCCATGTCCCTACCGGCCGTGAACGCACCCCCGCACACTGCCCCACTAATCGATTAAACCCAGGCCAATCCGTGCCCAAAATCAGGGGGTGCGTCAGGCGGGAACTAACCGCAGCCTTAACAATATGCTTTTTACCCATATATCTAATTTCCACGGGTACAACCGGGTATCTGTGAATATCCCCATGTACACATCTAATGTCCACCCACGATGCCTCTACCAAAGCCCCGGGTCGAACCAGGTGCTGATGAATTATAGACTGCGTGCAGCCCGAATCCACCATTGCCTGATGTATACCCCCTTGGATCCTTACCGGGACGCTGTATGTCCCTCCTGGACCGGGGGAGGGTGTTGGTGGGCCAGCAACCCGGACCACCTGTCCGACCTCCATGAGAGGGCACTCCCTGCGGAAATGCCCGGGCTGCCCGCACCGCCAACACTCCTGCCCTGACGCCTGAGGAACCCTCTGTGGGCCGAGAGCGGCACCCGTAGCGGCTGGACCCTGGGAAGGAGAGAGAGAAGAGGGTTGGTTACTGCGTGGCAGAGGGAGAGGCCGGGCAACAGTTTCCAGTCGGGGGGTAAGCGGGGGTGGGGGTCTCCTGCGGGGCGCCGGCACGGGTCGGGCGGGTGCAGAGGGCCGCCTCTCCGGAGCTCGGTCCCCACCGTGGACAGCCAGATGATCCTCTGCGAGGGTGATGGCGGCCTCCAAACCCGCCGGTCGGTGGCACCGCACCCACTCCGCGGTCCCGGTCGGGAGCCCCTCCACAAACTGCTCCAGCACCACCTGCTCCAGCATCAGCCTCTCGCCGCTGGATCCCCCCGGCTGCAGCCACCTGGTGGCAGCGTCCTTCAGCTGCTGCGCAAAGACGAATGGACGGTCAGAGGATCCCAGTGTGGCGGACCGGAACCGGCGGCGGTGATCCTCGGGGGAGAAACCCATCCTGTCTAGGATGGCTCTTTTGACGTTCTGGAACTCCCCCCGAGCAGAAGCTGGCAGGCCGAGCGCCGCAGTCTGGGACTCTCCCGACAGCAGGGGAAGCAGGCGCACGGCCCACTCCGCCGCCGGCCAGCCACAGGCCTCCGCCGTCGCCTCAAACATTTCGAGGAAGGTTTGGGGGTCATCCGCCGCTGTCATCCGGTGCATGGTGATGCCGGAAAAGGAGGAGCATGGAGGGGATGGAGACTGTGCCCCCGACCGGGCCAGCAGTCCCTCCAGCAGCTGGTTCTGCTTCCCCGCCTGGTTCTGGAGTGCCTCCAGATGCCGTCTATTTGTTGCCGTCTGCTGGCTGTGTATTGCCGTGATCTGCCCCAGCATCTCTCCCAGCAGTGTGATCAGCTGTGATGGCTGCTCCGTAGGCGGCTGCGGGGCCGGCTGCGGAGGTGGCTGCTGTGGAGGCTGCTGCATGGGCGGTAGTGGATCGGACATTTCCGTGTGCTGCCCCACGGTGGGCGCCAGTGTAGCAAGCCGTGCTACAGACGGGGTTCCCCAGCACACAAAACTCCCGGACCAGACTGTCGGTTCACACAACTCTTTATTTAAGGCACAAAATGCAGCTGCACCGCTGCTCGGCAGCTTCCGCCCAGAGGCCTGTCTTTCGGTGTGTGTCTTTTTCCGGATCCAGCACACTACTGCCAAGATAAAAGGTAGAGTCATCAGACAATCATTGGCAGGTGAGGTAATCAACTCACCTGGTGCCACTCTCCCAGGCCTTCCCCACACCTCTCCCTCCTGCAGCTGAGCGCGAACCACGCCCACCTCCACAATTACGTAAATGAAAGAAGGCAGTCCTAGAGGTCTGCTTTATGTGGGAGTTAAATGACAAATCCTGATCAAAGATAACTCCAAGATTCCTGACAGTGGTGCTAGAGGCCAAGTTAATGCCATCTAGAGTAACTATATCTTTAGACAGTGAGTCTCTAAGGTTTTTGGGGCCAAGAACAAGAATTTGGTTTTTTTCTGAGTTTAACATCAGAAAATTGCAGGTGATCCAGGATTGTATGTCCTTAAGACATGTTTGTAATTTAGATAATTGATTAATTTCTTTGGGCTTGATTGATAGATATAACTGCGTATCATCTGCATAACAGTGAAAGTTATTGGAGTGATTCCTAATAATGTTGCCTAATGGGAGCATATATAAAGTAAATAGTATTGGTCCAAGTACAGAACCTTGTGGAACTCCATGACTAACTGTAGTATTTATTTTTTCAAGATTCATCGTTAACTTGTACAAACGGCGAGCGATCTGATAAATATGACTTAAACCAGCTTAGTGCGGTTCCTTTAATGCCAATTTGATGCTCAAGTCTCCCCAAAAGAATATTATGGTCAATGGTGTCAAATGCAGCACTAAGATCTAATAATACAAGTACAGAGACAAGTCCATTGTCAGAAGCAGTCAGAAGGTCATTATTAACTTTAACCAGAGCTGTCTCTGTGCTATGATGAACTCTAAATCCTGACTGAAAATCCTCAAATAAACTATTGTTAAGTAGAAAGTCACACAACACTTTGGCGACTACTTTCTCCAGAATCTTAGAGAGGAAGGGGAGGTTAGAAATCGGTCTATAGTTGGCTAAAACCCCGGGTCAAGAGTGGACTTTTTAAGAAGGGGTTTAATTACAGCTACTTTAAAGGACTGTGGTACATATCCTGATAATAAAGAAAGATTAATCATATCCAGTAAAGAAGTGCCAATTAAGGGAACAACTTCTTTAAGCAGTCTAGTTGGGATTGGGTCTAATAGACAGGTTGATGGCTTCAATGAAGAAATGATTGAAGTTAACTGATGAAGATCGATAGCAGAAAAACAGTCTAAATATACATCTAAGTTTACATTGACAGAAGTCCCTGAACTTGGAGAGCCACTGATAACTGTTGATGGCAGTTGGTGATTAATTTTTTCTCTAATAGTAATAATTTTATTATAGAAGAAGCTCATGAAGTCATTGCTACTTAAGTTTATGGGGATATGTGGCTCAATAGAGCTGTGACTCTGTCAGCCTGGCTACAGTGCTGAAGAGGAACCTAGGGTTGTTCTTATTTTCTTCTATTAGTGCTGAGTAATAGGCTCCTCTGGCATTACGGAGGGCCTTTCTATACATTTTAAGATTATCAAGCCAATTTGAGCGATATTCTGATAATTTATTCTGAAGAGCGCCATTTCCTTTCGGATTTCCTAGCTATTTGTTTTAACTGGCGGGTTTGGTGGTTATACCAAGGTGCTAGTCTCCTATGTTTTAATAATTTCCTTTTTATAGGAGCGATAGAGTCTAATGTTGATCGTAGTGAGCCTGTAGCACTATTGACAAGTTTATCAATTTCAGATGGACTAAAGTCATTATAGGACTATGTTAAATTCAGACATGGCATTGAATTAAACACTGAAGGAATCTCCTCCTTAAATTTAGCTACAGCACTGTCAGATAGACATCTGCTGTAGGAAGTTTTGCCTAATGGCTTATAATCTAATAGTATGAATTCAAAAGTTATTAAATAATGGTCAGATAGGAAAGGATTATGTTGGAAGACTATTAAATGTTCAATATCAATGCCATATGATAAAACAAGGTCAAGAGTGTGATTAAAACAATGAGTTGGTTTATTTACACTCTGACAGAAGCCAATTGAGTCTATTAATGATATAAATGCATTACTAAGGCTGTCATTGTTAACATCCACATGAATATTAAAATCACCTACAATAATTACTTTATCTGATTTAAGGACTAAACTTGATAAAAACTCTGAGAATTCAGATATAAAATCAGAATACGGTCCAGGAGCGCGGTACACTATAACAAATAGAACTGGCTGTAGTGTTTTCCAGTTTGGGTGAGAAAGACTAAGAACAAGGCTTTCAAATGAATTATAATTTAGTTTAGGTTTAGGGTCCATTAAAACGCTTGAATCATATATGGCTGCTACTCCACCTCCTCGGCCTGTGCCTCGAGGAATGTGAGTATTAATATGACTGGGGGGGGTGGATTCATTTAGGCTAACATACTCCTCGTGGGACAACCAGGTCTCAGTAAGACAAAGTAAATCAATATCATAATCTGATATTAATATATTCACTAAAACAGCTTTAGAGGTAAGTAATTCTGAAACATATATTTAATAATCAGCTGCTCAGCGTATTACTAATCATTAACCTTTATTAGTTATTGATCTGCAGTCGGAAAGAAACTGATTATCATACAAATTAAATAGTTATTATAAGTGTGTATGATTGATGCAGGCTGATGACCTTTGACCTTTAACAGTCAGGCGGCCTTGTACGTGATAGGACCACTGAGTATCTCCTTTCAAATAACTTTATTTAAATGAACATCCACTTCACAACCTTCACACAGTGACACTCGGTCCCAGTGGTCCCAGTATAGAATATGTAGTATAAAATTTAGTGTAGGTTAGTGCATTATTATAAGTTCATAATGAAGTAATCACACAAAAGTTTGGATATTATGTTGTAAGCACTATGGTTTGTTCACACAGATAACTGGAAATCAAGTAGAGAGCACTATGTTTTAAGTAATGATGATTTTAAGTGTTAGGTAGAATAGATTTTATATAAGCTCACAATGATGTTAAATGAAGGCATTATGTTTTAATCAAAGATGAATGCATGATAAGCACAAATACTGTTGATGAAGTAGTAAGCACCATAGTTTTTAGTAAAGGTTTGATTTAATGTGTGGAACATACAGAATGTAGTTGTTGCAAAAAACAAGCACTAATTATACCAAATGTATATATGTGAGTGTAACACAAGTTTCTTATCATATTAGAAAGTTTATAAAGTTTTTAAAAAATACAGTAAAAGACATCTGTGACATAATGGTGTAAGAAAAAGGTAATAAATGTTTTTTAAAAAATAGAAGTACAGTAAACTAGATTCTAATGGTGTAATCCTGATGAAAGGAGAGTAAAAAGAAAATGTCATGGTCTACTAGTGTAGGCCATGAAGCCTGCAGGTTCTATGATAAGAACATAGGCCCGACAGGTGCAGGATAATGAGGCAAATAAGACACCAGCGTTCTATGATAAGAACATAGGCCAAATATGTGCAGGATAATTAGGCTGATAAGACACTAGTAAAACAGAAAAACCACAGGTTGGTGGAACCTGAATTTTAGAGTCTTTCCAGAGTGGAATTTACACCATTATGTCATAGGTTGAAAAGGTAGAAGATGGGCAGGACTTGTGACAGAATGCAAGAGTATATTTTTAATAACCAAATGCCATCAACAGCTAGCAGTGGCTCTCCAAGTTCAGGAACTTTAACTAATGTAAACTCAGATATATATTTAGAATGTTTTTCTGCTATCAATCTTCATCAGTTAACTTTCTTTACTTCTTTACTAGATATGATTTATTTCCTTTTTCTTTTTTGTAAACAGCACTTATGAGATCTCTCATGTTTTAAAATCAATAGTTTCATTAAAACAAATGTATTAATATCACATCATATATGAAGTTAAGTAATAACATCTAATACAGACACTATTATGCACACAGTACCCACAACTACTGCAGTACTTGAAGTAGTTCTGCAGCTTCATGGAGTTAAAAACTGAAAGAATAAAATAAATGAATAGCTTCTGTGTTTCAGTGATAGAGAGAGAAATTATTTCCAGATTTATTCAGAGTGAAATATGATCTGATGATATTTAATAAAAGATCAAAAAGACTCGCTGACATTTCAGCTGAACCAAGAAGTTCACGTGATGAGACAGTCTGATATTTACTGTCACACCTGGACCTGGACCTGGACCCGGGTAACATCAGGAGTTTGTCTTATGCATTTATTTTTCACACATTCATTTTATGACGGAAACACCTCATTGATCTGGTTTCTGTTTCCTGAACTGAAGATTGATCACAAACAGTTTGAGAGGGTTTACAAACCGCCTTATCAGACCCTCACATCCAAACTGAGAGAGAGAGTCTATACTGCAGTCAGCCACCAGGGGGAGATAGAGAGAGAGAGAGTCTATACTGCAGTCAGCCACCAGGGGAGATAGAGAGAGAGAGAGAGTCTATACTGCAGTCAGCCACCAGGGGGAGATAGAGAGAGAGAGAGAGAGAGAGAGAGAGTCTATACTGCAGTCAGCCACCAGGGGGAGATAGAGAGAGAGAGAGAGAGTCTATACTGCAGTCAGCCACCAGGGGAGATAGAGAGAGTCTATACTGCAGTCAGCCACCAGGGGGAGAGAGAGAGAGAGAGAGAGTCTATACTGCAGTCAGCCACCAGGGGGAGATAGAGAGAGAGAGAGAGAGAGAGAGAGTCTATACTGCAGTCAGCCACCAGGGGGAGATAGAGAGAGAGTCTATACTGCAGTCAGCCACCAGGGGGAGAGAGAGAGAGAGTCTATACTGCAGTCAGCCACCAGGGGAGATAGAGAGAATAGAGAGAGAGTCTATACTGCAGTCAGCCACCAGGGGAGACAGAGAGGGTCTATACTGCAGTCAGCCACCAGGGGAGATAGATAGAGAGAGAGTCTATACTGCAGTCAGCCACCAGGGGGATAGAGAGAGAGAGTCTATACTGCAGTCAGCCACCAGGGGAGATAGAGAGAGAGAGAGAGAGAGGGGGTCTATACTGCAGTCAGCCACCAGGGGGAGAGAGAGAGAGAGAGAGAGAGAGAGAGAGAGTCTATACTGCAGTCAGCCACCAGGGGGAGATAGACAGGTAAAGGGTAAATAACATAAGGCCTTTCTGATTCATTTTGATAAATTAGGGGAATTAAACTCCCGGCTGGAGCCTTTCTGTGGATTCCAGTCGTTACCCTTGAACAAGGCACTGGTTTCTGTGCTCTGCTGCTCCCAGTACTGAGGATGAATCTCCCTGCAGTGATCAATAAAAGAGGTGGAGGTTTGAGCTCTTAGCATAAGTACATAATTAAAAATAATTATACAATACTATATATACAATTAATTATTATTATTATTAATAAAATGTTGTGATGTCAGACCAGATGTGATGATGTCACTGTGACGTGATGCACCACCTGCTGACTGACACATCACAGCTCATTATTAGATGTATTCATTATATTATTGATATCACATGTACATATGATGTAAATATCGATCACCATATTGATTTGTTATTTATCGTTCATCTGTATTTTATTAGTCTGCAGGGCGGGGCGGCAACTGCGCATGCTCATACCACACTCACTCTCTCACACACACACACACACACACACAAATCTCAGCATCTCCTCACTGATGACAAAGGGTCCTCGCGGGAGACGAGCCGCGCGTGACCGCTTCCTCTGTGCTCGTGCTGCCGCAGACAGAAGCAGACAGACAGACAGAGGACAGAGGGTGAGACAGACAGACAGACAGACAGCAGCGGCAGTGTGTCGGTCGGTGTGTGTCGGTGGTCGCTGAGGATGCGCGCGGTGGGCAGCGGCAGCAGCTCGCGGTGATCGTCGGTCGGTACCGGGAGGAGCAGCCGCAGTGGAGCGCGAGGAGCGGACATCATGAGCTGCAACTGGGGCACCGAGCTGTGGGTAAGATACACCCGTTCACACCTGTTCACACCGCTCGGCACTGAGAGCCGGTCACCTGCCGGTAACCTGCCGGTAACCGGGGCCCTGTCGGTGTGTGTGTGAGGCCCTCGTGCTTCTGTCTGCTCCTCCATAGCAACACTGTGAGTGACGACAGCGGCTCGCGCTCTGCGTCCTCCATGATGCTGCAGCAGCCCCCCCCCCCTTTATAAAACTAATAATATCGTCTGTATTTATTTACCTTTGTATTCATTTTCTTTACTTTCCCCTTTTAAAAATAATGTTTTGTTAATGAATTAATTCTATTTTAAATATTTCAATGTATTTATTGATTTTGTAAAAAAATGTTTACATTTCTGCTTAATTATCCAAATGAGGGTGATGTAATTCAAGGTGTGTCATGCAGTCAGCTTTCCACTTATTGATTGATTGACTTTAAATGCCCTTATCCTGCGGCTGTCCACTGATTGTTACAGCGACTCTGATTTGATGGATAAATGTTTTCTGGTTTTTCTTCTTATGTCTTCCACCTGCTCCAACTATCGCTGATTTACAGGGTTACCTGATGGACAGATTGCTGCCGCTAACGGCTGCTAACATTAACCAGGTTAATGGTTTGGTGTGCCGTAAGGCAGCCCTGCTAACAATACATCACATCTAGCATGGATTTTCCTACAAACACAATTCAGTCGGTGGATTATATACATGCCAAATTTATCACAACACTTGAGATTTTCATGAGACGTGTCCAGCACTATGTTCCAGACTGTGATTTCGGTAACATTTGAGGCAAAAACAAAGCAGCCCGATATGAGAGTAAAGTTTTGCTAACAGCCGGGCTGTGGCTCTCCGGTATAACATGGTAACGTAACACAGATAGTGATACTATTTGCTCGTACGTAACTTTGGAGGGTAAAAACTACCTAACTCTCCCAACAGCCTCAACTCCACGTTTGGGTAGAAAAAATAATCCAGCATTTATTAGTGTGCATGGTCCTGCTTGACCCCCATTGCTAATATTACTGATATTATTATTATTATTATTATTATTATTATTATAAGGTCTAGACCGTACTCATTATAACATTATTTAAATATCCCTCATCGTTGTGGCTATTATCGTCATCATCATCAGTGATTTCTTAATTATTTTTTGCCTTTTTTTTCAATTCAATTTTATTTGTATAGCGCCAATTCATAACAGAAGTTATCTCAGGACACTTTTCAAATAGAGCAGGTCTAGACCGAACTCCTTATAATTTATAATTTCATGCCTTTATTGGGTAGAGACAGCTGAAGGTCGACAGGAAAGGTTGGTAGAGAGAGAGGGGATGACACGCAGCAAAGAGCTACAGGTCAGATTCGAACCGGGCCGCTGCAGCAACTTTGTCTCTCTCTCTCTCTCTCTCTCTCTCTCTCTCTCTCTCTCTCTCCCCCACCTAGAGTTTGGGTCTGTCCGAGGTTTCTGCCTCTTAAAAGGAAGTTTTTCCTTGCCGCTGTCGTGCTTGCTCATGGTGGGAACTGCTGGGTCTCTGTAAATGTTATAAGGAGTTCTGAACCATCCAAGGAGGTGATATTAAGGGGGCTGGTGACTTGAGGTAGGTTCTTGTTGAAGACCATACAGTTTGACAGTGATCTGAATACTGAAGCTGAGTTGCAGGGAAGACAAGGCAGTGTTCACGGAGGGGCTGGATGTAGACAACAGGGTGTTGTCAGCATACAGGTAGATGTTAGAATGGCCAGCAGCACGAACAACATTATTTATGAATATTGTGAAGCGGGTTAGACCTAGAACAATATTATTTTCTGTCAATAGCGCAAAGAAGAGGTCTGGGTCATCCAGTCAAGCCGACTTATTATAAACCAGTTTGAGCAACTCCCCAAGCACCTCATTCTCCTCTACTGGCTGAAAGGAGAAGTGAAGGTTGCTTTGGTCGAGAGGACCGGCGCTAGGGACTGAATCAGCAGGGTTGACAATAGGAGTGGGTGTGGCAGCAACAAATAGATGACCAGCCTAAACAAAATGCTTATTGAAATGGTGTACCTTTACACTTTATGTGATGTAACAATGTCTTCTGTTTTGATTGCAGTCGGTAACAGATACAATGATTTAAAAAAATTTTTTTTTTAAACTGACTATGGTCAACGCTGCTCTTGAGGAATTGTTGTTTATAGTAACTGGATTTTGCTTTCATGATTGACTGGGCGCATTTGTTCCTTATTTACTTAAAGGACTGCCAGTCCGGTAGTTGGAGTACTTTGCTTTATGCCAGAGCAGGTGGTTTTGATGGATGAGCCCAAACAGATCGGAACTAAACCAGTGGCTATAGCGGTTTTTGATTCTACTTTTTTTTTATAGGAGCATGTTGACACTGATTAGATGGGCCAAATCCAGAAAGACAGAGGGGAGGGGTGGTGTTTTGTTGCCCAGCGCACAGCCAGAGGCACACATTCCCCAGTATGTTGCAGAGATATCCATACAGTCCATACACGGAGCTATCAGTCCTCCAGCATCAGCAAAAAGTGGTCCACACTTCATGTAAGATTCAGGTATGATCTGATATGGGTGTAAAGTGGTAGTATTATTTGAGCAGAATGCAGGAATGAACTGAATAATTGATGTCACACACAGAAACGGATAGTTAGACAGGTAGAAAAACGTGCTGCCATCTTGGCATCTTAGCCTGCTGCTAACAGCTGCTACCTGCTGCTAACTAAATTGCTCAGATATGAGGATTGTAGTCTGTTATAAATGTGCAGTGGTTGGCACTAATGGATGTTGTTTGGTTTTTTTTTAAATTTTGGTTGGGGAGTGTATTTGTCCCATTGTGGGATTTTTATGTTTACATTTGGACTGATTGTACTGTCAGTGGGTTAATTAAATTCAATTAAATTCAGTTCAATTCAGGGTCAATAAAATATTAATTTGATAAGACGTGGGAAATGAAACAGTGTGTAAGTATTAATAAAAAGTAGTGCTGCCCCTGAATAAAGATATTCCTAGTCTAGTAGTCGATCGTTTCTGATATTACTGTATTGATTATAACGTGCATGTGTGAACAGCAGCCTGTTAAATGCTAACAGAAACAGTGTTAATGATTGCAAATGTGTCAGAACAACCAGCAAGGAGACTGAACATCAAGTTAATGTCATCAAACAGTCTGGTTGTTCAACACAGAGAATAAATAACTTCCACCTTCACTGAAACAAATCCTGGAGGACTGATCGATACAATGAATGATGGATACATTAACAGTTACTGACTAATAGGGCTGCCCGGTAAGATCACCTGGTAGCGCTGCTGCCACATGTACCAACGCTGAGCCCTTGCTGCATCCCTTCTCTCTGCCCCCTTTTCCTTTCTATCTTAGCTGTCACTATCGAATAAAGGCAATAAAAACTCAAAAAATACATCAAACAGTATTAAAACAGTTACTGACTAATTAAGTGGCTCTCCTGTCAGTTCCCCGCTGGGTCCCTCTGCTCCTCCTCTAGTAGTGTTTAAACTCTTCCTGTCCTTCCAGCTCCCAGTCCGAGTAAAGACAGCTAATAGGACCACTAACTAGCTAATAGCAGCTAGTATAGTTAGCATGTAGCAGCGGTTAGAGACTTTGTTTTAAGAGAAAACGTCTGTGTTGCAACAATCCTCTGATACTTTAGTCCCTGAAACAAGGGCAGCAGCTCCTGAATGCAGTTTAACGGGGACTGATGGTTCAGACGATTAGGGGGCAGCAATCATTTTTATTGAAGTTTCAGGAAGTCCATCCTCTGTTTAGCTTTGTTGGGAATTTATGGTCCTGGGTGATTAAATTAAATTAAATTCAATTCAATTTTATTTGTATAGCGCCAATTCATAACAGAAGTTATCTCATGACACTTTTCAAATAGAGCAGGTCTAGACCGAACTCTTTAAAACATTAATTACAGAGACCCAACAGTACCACCATGAGCAAGACCTTGGAGACAAGGGCAAGGGAAACCTGCCTGTTAAAAGGCAGAAACCTAGGACAGATCCTCCGGTTCTAGGTGGGTGGTCTGTCTCGACCAGTTGGGGTGAGAGAGAGAGAGAGAGAGAGAGAGGCAGAGAGCGAGAGACAGACAGACCGACAGGTGCACAGCAACAACAGTATTGGCAATGGCAATCTAGCAGGACCATGGCAGGAGGCTCCACCAGGATCGACAAGAACCTGCGAGACGAGAAAGCACAAGAACTCCGAGGAAGAAGTGAAGTTAGTAACATGCATTAATGGAACATGAATGAGTGCAGAAAGAGAGAGGAAGAGAGGAGCTCAGTGCACCATGGGAAATCCCCCGATAGTCTAGGCCTATAGCAGCATAACTAAGGGATGGTTCAGGACTCACCTGATCCAGCCCTAACTATAAGCTTTATCAAAGAGGAATGTCTTAAGCCTACTCTTGAATGTGGAGAGGGTGTCTGCCTCCCGAACCACAACTGGAAATTGGTTCCACAGGAGAGGAGCTTGGTAATGTTGATGATGCTACCCAGGAAGCAGAAGACCCCACAGAGTCAACTGGGGAGTCACACAGGGTAATGTCTTTAGAGCTTCAGGTTGTTCCGGCTGCACCAGGTCACCAGCTGGTCTCCTCCTGTATGAACTCAGTGAGAGTGGTGTCGTCTGTGACCTTCAGGTTTATGACAGACTGATGACTGGAGGTGCAGCTGTTGGTGTACAGAGAGAAGAGCAAACAAGGACAGCTTTTGGGGGGATCTGGTGCTGAGGGTCCAATAGTGGGTCAGTCAAATGACTTCATGACAACAGAGGTCAGGGGTCTGTAGTTGTTGAATCCTCTGGCCCTCGGCTGTTTTGGGAACACTGGAGACAGCTAATCAGCTCAGTGCTTCAGGGTGGATGGAAAGATAGTCAAACGTTTTAATTTCTTAACCAATTTCATTAAAGAATCTTTATATTCAACACTTTGTGATAAGTGCGGACTACAATTAGTTTTATCTCCAGTCTGGATAGTTTGCTGTAATAGTGGCGAGACCCTCAAAAGAGGAGTGTCTGTAGGCTTACATGAACTGAATTACTGATTACATGAAGTGTTGGAAAATAATTCTGTCATAATATTGTTAATGTTATAAAGAGGGAGCAGACAGCAGAGAGCAGACAGACCGAGTAGAACACTGTACTTGAGTTGAAAACTTAAAAGTAGAACAGCGATACTTCTGCCTGCTTTGTCCACAGCACTGCTGTCTGTCTATCTGTCTGCTCTCTGCTGTCTGTCTGTTCTCTGCTGCCTGTCTGTAGATCTGAGTCCTGATCTCTCCTGCCAGACAGAACCTGGGTTGTTGGTCCCCAACAGTACTCACTGTTGGTAGCAGTCCTGAAAACAGTCCAGGATCCTCGTCCACTGCTGTAGTCCAGGAAGTGTCAGTGAACTCTTGTTCTGTTTCAGGATCAGTTTGATAACCTGGAGAAACACACAAGCTGGGGGATCGACTTCCTGGAGAGATACACAAAGTTCATTAAAGAGAGAGCCGACATCGAGCTGAGCTACGCCAAACAGATCAGGTACCAGCACCACCTGTACATCACCTATACGTCACCTGTATGTCACCTGCACGTCACATCTATATCACCTGTATGTCACCTGTACGTCACCTGTACGTCACCCGTACATCACCTATATGTCACCTGTACGTCACATCTATATCACCTGTACGTCACATCTATATCACTTGTATGTCACCTGTACGTCACCTGTACGTCACTCGTACATCACCTGTACATCACCTATATGTCACCTGTACGTCACATCTATATCACCTGTACGTCACATCTATATCACCTGTACGTCACATCTATATCACCTGCATGTCACCTGAAAGTGAACTGGAAGTTCTCCTGATCAGAATCAGAAATATTTTATTGATCCTCGGGAGGAATTTGTTAAATAATTGAGACAAATTTCATATCAACTTTAGAAAAAGCTCTACACATTAACTTCATTACAAACAGGTTCTGATCTGTTGTTTTAGCTGTTCATTGAATTGATTCTGGAAACAAGCACTATGAGATGTTATTAATATCTGACAGCACTGATGAGATCTACCTGACTGTCTCTCTCTCCAACTGTCTGCAGGAGTCTGTCTAAGAAGTATCATCCTAAGAGAAGCAGAGAGGATGAGAGCAGGTCAGTCAGCATGTTTCAGTTTTATGTTTCAGTCAGTGAAGTTCTTTTCAGAAAGTGGTTTTTTTTTTCAGCCGCGAGTATCGATACATTAAGTCCCATTCCAATCCCCCGTATTCCGCCTGGCACTCTGCTCGCTGCCCATTTCCCCCCGTTCGCTTTGCAGGAAGAACGATTAGGTCAGCCAGCCGCTAGTTTCGCTGTAGAGCATTTCTAGCAAGTTACCCTTCTAGATACTCCCTTTACACCAGAGATACTCATTGTGCGGCTCGCCAGCCACACGCGGCTCGTCAAGCTTTGATTGGTGGCTTGCATGTTAGCTTATAACAATATGGTAACACAGCCAATACATTTTTTCAAATGTGCTACATAAATATACAGTGAACACTGCACTGCATTATACTTCTCCTTTCACCTTTATTAATGGTGTTTCCTAAAGGGGGCACTGTCAAACCTGGCAACGCAGCCCGCTTATGGCATTGTTTACACTTGACTGCAGTGCACGCTTGCAGCCAGGTTATGTTAGCTCTGCTGGCCAGCATGAGATGCAGGCACAAAATGGATAGATTTCTAATAAAAAAAAGGGCAAAAACCAGATGGACAGACACACAGCATTGAAACGAATAGTGAGGAAAAAGAGTCTGAGGAAGCAGCGAAAATCAACATGAAGACGCCGGAGAGGGGACGAGCGGGCAAACGTCATTTGTTCCCAGTAAAAAACGAAAGGTACGAGGCATACAAGACGAGCACAGGAAATTTCAAGAGAAGTGGATAGACAAATTCTTATTTGTTCTTAATTGAAAATGTATTGGCTGTGTTGTTTCTTTTTTTGTTGGATGTCCAATTTATATGTAGAAATGCACATTTGCAAAGGTGACTTGGTATGTTGTCGTAAAAGTGGCTCTCCCCTTGATTTTGCTCTGCCAATGTGGCTCTTGTGAAAAAAATAGTGAGGATTACTGCTTTACACAGACGCAGACGTCTTCCTCTTCCTGTTTACACAGTCAGAGCGAGGAGATTCAAGAGAATGGCGGCGAATATAAATCCAGCACCTTCATGCTTAAAAGCAGATGTGTGGGAGCACTTTGGGTTTAAAAAGAATAAGGAAAGCAACCTCATATCTCCAGTGTCGAGCTAAAAAAGCTGTCAAAGAATCTGTTCAGAACAGGCCACTTGCTGCACTTTTTAACTCTCCATTGTTCATTGTAATACTGCACTTTATTTACTTTTCAAAGGCTTGTAAGCTAGAGTTTGCACTGTTTCAATAAATTAAACAAATTTTCTCACCACATCTGCATGCAAGCTGTAGACTCTCTGTCCAGTCAGAGCCATATATTGAATATATATTTCAGAGCAGGTCAAGACCGAACTCTTTATAACATTAATTACAGAGACCCAACAGTACCACCATGAGCAAGCACTTGGCGACAAGGGTAAGGAAAAACTGCCTGTTAAAAGGCAGAAACCTAGGACAGATCCTTTGGCTCTAGGTGGGTGGTCGTCTGTCTCGACCAGTTGGGGTGAGAGAGAGAGAGACAGAGAGAGAGAGAGAGAGAGACAGACAGACAGACAGACTGGTGCACAGCAACAACAGTATTGGTAATGGCAATCTAGCAGGACCACGGCAGGAGGCTCCACCAGGATCGACAAGAACCTGCGAGACGAGAAAGCACAAGAACTCCGAGGAAGAAGTGAAGTTAGTAACATGCTTTAATGGAACATGAATGAGTGCAGAAAGAGAGAGGAAGAGAGGAGCTCAGTGCACCATGGGAAATCCCCCGATAGGCCTATAGCAGCATAACTAAGGGATGGTTCAGGACTCACCTGATCCAGCCCTAACTATAAGCTTTATCAAAGAGGAATGTCTTAAGCCTACTCTTGAATGTGGTGAGGGTGTCTGCCTCCCGAACCACAACTGGAAGCTGATTCCACAGGAGAGGAGCTTGGTCTCACTCTTACAGTGTAACACATTATTATTTCACTGTGTCTCACTGTCTCTAACTGTCTTGCACTGTCTCTGTCTCACACTGTGTCTCTCACTGTCTCACACTGTGTCTCTCACTGTCTCTCACTGTCTCACACTGTCTCTCACTGTCTCTCACTGTCTCACACTGCCTCACACTGTCTCTCACTACCTCACACTGTCTCACACTGTCTCTCACTACCTCACACTGTCTCACACTGTCTCACACTGTTTCTCAGTGTTTCTCACTGTCTCTCACAATTTCACAATTCAAATGGCTTTATTGGCATGACGTAACACTGTACATATTGCCAAAGCAAGCGTTTGGAATTAAAAATAATAATAGTAACAATTAAGGAAAATATTTTTTACAATAAATTAATCATAATCTATACTGTTGGTAATACTGTAACTATGATTTACTCAATTACAATCACAGTCACAATCGATCAATCTCGGTCAATAAGTAATTAGTATCCTTGAGCAAGATACTGAACCCCAAATTGCTCCTGATGCAGTGTATCAGTGTGTGAATGTGTATGAATGTTAGTTTCTGTTCGATGGTTAGATGTTTACCATCACTGAGTGAATGTGTGTGTGTGTGTGTGTGTGTGTGTGTGTGTGTGTGTGTGTGTGTGTATGTATGTATGTATGTATGTGTATATATATATATATATTTAAAAAAACAACAACAACAACTAAAACAATCAATTATTTTATACATTTATCTGAGTTTCCACTGGTTGTCCTCAGTTCGTGGCATGAGGAGACATATTTTGCTGCAATAATTTGACTTTTGGGCATTTCTCCCAGTAAATAGGGGAGTTTCTGTGTGTCTGATAATAATTCGAATTCGGGGTATATTTGGGAAATGTTTGGGAATTGTTTTTCTCTTAAAGTTTTGAATTTAGGGCATGAGGTTAGAAAGTGCATCTCTGTCTCTACCTGTCCTCTGTCACACTGGGAGCAGAGTCTCTCCTTTTCTGGTAGCCAGTTCTGTCTGTGGCGACCCTTTTCAGGCTGTGTTCACTCAGTCTATATGCTGTCAACATTTTTCTTAATTTAGGACATTTTATTGTGGTCAGGTAATTTGCCAGTTTGAATCCTCTTTTTAGGGTCAGATAACATTGTAATTTACTTTGTGTTTTGGTCGTTTCTTTCCAGTATTCAATAGGTTTTTCTTTTTGCTTGTTGAAATTTGGTTTGGTCTGATTGAGTTGGTGTTGCTGTCCTGAGGCTGTTGGGGACATGTTACTGCAGAGAGCCTCAGGACCAGCTGGCTGAGGGGACTCTTCTCTGGTTTCAGCTCCCGGTATGTTAGGGCTTTGTGATTGTATGTCTGCTGGGTTTTGTTTAGGTTGTTCCATTTCTCCCAGAACTGGTTGGATTTGAGGGATTCCTCAATTTCACAGAACTGGTTCTTGCTGTGTTGTTCTTTCTTTGTTTTTTGGGTGTACTTGTATTGTTTCAGAGTGGCCTCATATTGACAGCGTATGTTGTGGTTATCTAGGTCTCTATGCTTTTCATTTGATAATTTCCTTAAAGTTTTTGCATTCAGTGTCAAACCATTTGTTATTGTTCATTTGTTGAGATTTTGGTTTGGAGGCTTTCAAATTAGACAATAGAGCCAAATGATGAAAAATGTAATTGATTTTGTCTACAGCAGAATTTACACCAGAATTATTATGGGGCAATGTTTCAGTTAGAAATAAATGAGTTAAATCATATATGTTTTGATTTTCCAGTGCCTTTTGGTACGCCCCCATGCTGTCAGGGGTCCATCTGTATGAGTATGTGCTGTTAAACAGTTCACAGGCACTAGGGGCTCCAGAGTTAGACTGGGCCCTTTTCAGATAGATTGTGATTTTGCTGTGGTCTGAGAGGGGTGTGAGGGGGCTGACTGTGAAAGCTCTTAGAGACATTGGATCTAGATCTGTAATGAAATAATCTACCGTACTACTGCCAAGAGCTGAGCTGTAAGTGTAGCGACCCAGAGAGTCCCCTCGTAGCCTGCAATTGACTGTGTACAGACCCAGTGTACGGCAGAGCTGTAAAAGCTGCATACCGCTTGTATTAGTAAGCTTGTCAAAGCTCTTTCTAGTAGGACATTCAGGGAGGGGGAAGCAGGTGCTTCCAGGTAACTGTCTCCCTAGGTGTTCATAGTGTCAGCTCTTTCCCCTGTTCGAGCGTTCAAGTCCCCACAAAGTAATACATTTCCCGTGGTTTTATAATGGTTAATTTCCTCCTCAAGAAAAGGGAAAATATCTGGGTTGTAGTAGGGGGATTCTGATGGAGGTATATAGATGGCACACATGTAGACATGTTGCTCAGCACAAATAATCTTTTTGTTAATTATCAACCATATATAAAATTCTTCTTTTTTAATAACTGTGATCGACTGGCTCAGTTCTGATTTACACCATATAATCATGGCTCCTGAATCTCTGCCTTGGGTTATTGTTCAGCTGTCAGGTCTGGATGTGGAGCTGCGGTGGTGGTTTCAGGTCTGGAGCTCCTAGTTGGAGGCTGGCTAGAGGTCGGGCTTTGGACAGGTGCAGGGGTGTGACTGGCGTCTTGGCTTGGGATGTGTGTATGGAGGCAGCTGGTTGATACGGGGGGGATTAGAGTCTACACCAGGCTGGGTGAGGGGGGGTGAGTCCTCAAGGAAAGGGCCCTGTTGTACTTCAGCACGTGTAGTGGGAGTTTGGCTGGATGTGGTCTGGGTCTGAAAGGTGAGCACAGGGGGTTGTGTGGAGTTCAGTCTGGCTTGTAGACTGAGCCCTGTTCTGTCTCTCTCATGTAGCTCTTCTCTCAGAGTAGCCAACTCAGTTCTGCAGTTGTCTCTGTCCTTCCTAAGTTCCTTCACCTCCTCACTGAGATGATCCAGCTGTCTTCTCTGACGAGCTAGTTCTTGTTGAAGCTCTCTCAGCTGTGAGTTGACATTGTTCTGTTCTTTCTTGGCCTGGAAGTCACTGACAGTAGGAGAAGTAGGCTGCTGTTGGTCTAGCTGCTCTCTGATCTGAACCAGTTCTATTTCCATCTGGGAGAAGTGTTCTCTTATGATGTCCAGGGCCTCAGAGTGCTGTAGCAGGGGAAGATCAGTGTCAGCATCGGTCGTCAATATGGCGGCGTTCTATTTGATAGTGACGTAGGTGGCATCTATGAATAAGCTTTGTCTAAGAGGAATGTCTTAAGCCTACTCTTGAATGGAAGCTGGTTCCACAGGAGAGGAGCTTGGTAACTGAAGGCTCTGGCTCCTGTTCTACTTTTAGAGACTATAGGAACCACAAGTAGCCCAGCATTCAGAGAACTTAGTGTTCTAGTGGGGTAATAGGGTACTATGAGCTCATTAAGATATGAAGGGGCCTGACCATGAAGAGCTTTATAGGTGAGGAGGAGATTTTTAAATTCTATTCTAAATTTTACAGGGAGCCAGTGCAGAGAAGCTAGTACAGGGAGATGTGATCTCTTTTTCTAGTTCCTGTCAATACTCGTGCTGCAGCGTTTATAATTAATTGGAGCGTTTTAATGGACTTATCGGGGCAACCTGATAATAAAGAGTTGCAGTAATCCAGCCTAGAAGTAACAAATGCATGGATTAGTTTTTCTGCATCTGTCTGTGATAGTATGTGTCTAATTTTTGTAATATTATGTAAATGAAAGAAGGCAGTCCTAGAGGTGTGCTTCATGTGGGAGTTAAAAGACAAATCCTGATCAAAGATAACTCCAAGATTCCTGACAGTGGTGCTAGAGGCCAAGGTAATGCCATCTAGAGTAACTATATGTTTAGACAGTGAGTCTCTAAAGTTTTTGGAGCCAAGAACAAGAATTTCGTTTTTTTCTGAGATTAACATCAGAAAATTGCAGCTCATCCAGGCTTTTATGTCCTTAAGACAAGTTTGTAATTTAGATAATTGATTTATTTCATCGGGCTTGATCGATAGATATAACTGCGTATCATCTGCATAACAGTGAAAGTTAATGGAGTGATTCCTAATAATGGTGCCTACACGGAGCATATATAAAGTAATTGGTATTGGTCCAAGTACAGAACCTTGTGGAACTCCATGACTAACTGTAGTATTTATGAAGATTCATCGTTAACATGTACAAACTGCGAGCGATCTGATAAATATGACTTAAACCAGCTTAGTGCGGTTCCTTTAATGCCAATTTGATGCTCAAGTCTCTGTAAAAGAATATTATGGTCAATGGTGTCAAATGCAGCACTAAGATCTAATAATACAAGTACAGAGACAAGTCCATTGTCAGAAGCAATCAGAAGGTCATTATTAACTTTAACCAGAGCTGTCTCTGTGCTATGATGAACTCTAAATCCTGACTGAAAATCCTTAAATAAACTATTGTTATGTAGAAAGTCACACAACTCTTTGGCGACTACCTTCTCCAGAATCTTAGAGAGGAAGGGGAGGTTAGAGATTGGTCTATAGTTAGCTTAAACCCCTGGGTCAAGAGTGGGCTTTTTAAGAAGGGGTTTAATTACAGCTACTTTAAAGGACTGTGGTACATATCCTGATAATAAAGAGAGATTAATCATATCCAGTAAAGAAGTGCCAATTAAGGGAACAACTTCTTTAAGCAGTCTAGTTGGGATCGGGTCTAATAGACAGGTTGATGGCTTCAATGAAGAAATTATTGAAGTTAACTGATGAAGATCGATAGCGGAAAAACAGTCTAAATATATATCTAAGTTTACATTAGCAATAGTCCCTGAACTTGGAGAGCCACTGATAACTGTTGATGGCAGTTGGTGATTAATTTTCTCTCTAATAGAAATAATTTTATTATAGAAGAAGCTCATAAAGTCGTTGCTACTTAAGTTTATGGGGATATGTGGCTCAATAGAGCTGTGACTCTCTGTCAGCCTGTCTACAGTGCTGAAGAGGAACCTAGGGTTAATCTTATTTTCTTCTATTAGTGCTGAGTAATAGGCTCCTCTGGCATTACGGAGGGCCTTTCTATAAGTTTTAAGATTATCTTGCCAAATTGAGCGATATTCTGATAATTTGGAAGAGCGCCATTTCCTTTCAGATTTCCTAGCTACTTGCTTTAACTGGCGGGTTTGGTGGTTGTACCACGGTGCTAGTCTCCTATGTTTTAATAATTTCCTTTTTATAGGAGCGATAGAGTCTAATGTTCTTCGTAGTGAGCCTGCAGCACTATCGTATTAATATGATTGGGGGAGGGGTGGATTCATTTAGGCTAACATACTCCTCGTGGGACAACCAGGTCTCAGTAAGACAAAGTAAACCAATATCATAATCTGATATTAATTCATTCACTAAAACAGCTTTTGAAGACAGAGACCTGATATTTAACAGCCCACATTTCATTCTCTTATTTTGTGCTACTGAGGAGTTGGTTTTAATTTTTATTAGATTTTTATGTTGAACTCCTCTTGTTTTTATTTCTTTAAATAATTTAGGTGGTCGGGGGACACACACAGTCTCTGGGGTTTTGGGTGGGTGACTGTTCTAAAGAAAGAGCAGAGAAGTGTGTAAGACAGCAGCTCTGCTTCCTGGTCCCAACTCTGGACTGTCAGGTTTTAGAAATAAACTTTGCCATATTTCTAGATAAGAGAGCCGCTCCATCCAAAGTGGGATGGATGCCGTCTCTCCTAATCAGACCAGGTTTTCCCCAAAAAGGCTTCCAGTTATCAATGAAGCCCACATCTTTTTCTGGACACCACCTCGACAGCCAGCGGTGGAATGACGACATGCGGCTATACATGTCATCACTGGTCACATTGGGGAGGGGTCCAGAGAAAACTACGGAGTCCGACATAGTTTTAGCATAATTACACACCGACTCCACATTAATTTTGGTGACCTCCGATTAGCGTAAACGGGTGTCATTACTGCCGACGTGGATAACAATCTTACCATATTTACGATTAGGTTTAGCCAGCAGTTTTAAATAGGATTCAATGTCGCCCGCTCTGGCCCCAGGGATACATTTAACTATTGCCGCTGCCTTCACTAACTTCACGTTTCTGACTATGGAGCTGCCAATTATCAGAGTTGGTTCCTCAGCGGGTGTATCGCTGAGTGGGGAAAATGTATTAGAAACGTGAAGGGGTTGGTGGTGACCTGTGGGCTTCGCCGTTCTAGTCTTCCTTCGCTCAGTCACCCAGCCTCCCTGTTTTCCCGGCTGCTCGGGATCTACCGGGGGAACTACCGGGGGAACTACCGGAGGACGGCTAGCAGAAGCTACCTTCGGTCGGACCGCGCCGGCTACTGGGGGCTGGCTAACTATAGCGGCTAAAGATAACTCTGTGGTGCAGCACCGTTCCTCTAACTCACTAAGCCTCGCCTCCAGCGCAGTAAATAAACTACACTTAATACATGTACCATTATCATTAAAGGAGGCAGAGGAATAACTGAACATCTGACACACTGAGCAGGACAGAGGAGAGGAAGAGGAAGAAGCCATAGCTAACTGCTAATGCAAATGAAGCTAGTGTGTATGAAAAACTTTTGAAAATAGCGAAAAGTTGCTAAAAGAAGGAGTAACTCCGAGTGTTTAGATTAGTGTTTATTAGCTTGAGTGTTTCAGTTGGGACTTGTTTTATAGTAATAAATGCAAAAACTTACGGATGTCAGTGTCCAGTAGTTTGCTGTTACTTGCTTTAGTCTCCCCTGTCCACTTCTTTGTTTGTTTTTTATTTTCTCCTTGTTTGTTTCTCTTCAGCTTGATGCTCTTTTTCTGAGCTCTGTTTTCTGAGCTCCTTCTTCCAACTGTATCTTTTTTCCTTCTTTCTCTTTCTTTCTCCTTCTTTTTCCTCTTTTTCTCTCTTCTGGTGTATTGTGGTCACTCCTTTTGCATTTTCCTCATAAAAAGTCAGTTTATCCAATTTTTGGACCGAAAACAAGCATTTTGTTTAGCAGCAAGCCTTAAACATGACTTCTGTATACAAAAACATTCCGCAATGTCTCTCACTGTCTCACACTGTCTCTCACTGCCTCACACTGTTTCTCAGTGTTTCTCAGTGTCCCTCACTGGGTCACACTGTTTCTCAGTGTCTCACACTGCCTCACACTGCCTCACATTGTCTCTCACTGTGTCACACTGTGTCACACTGCCTCACACTGTCTCTCATTGTCTTACACTGTCTCACACTGTCTCTCACACTATCTGATTGGTTGTTACAGGTACACCTGGTGTTTGGCATTTGCTGCGACTCTCCGGCAGCTGAATGAACTTTCGGTTCAGAGAGAAGAACTTGCTGAAAACTTGAACTCACAGATCGTATGTGAGCTGACACGATACACACAGGAACTGAAGACTGAGAGGAAGACTGTGAGTAAACAAATAAACACACAATAAACTAACTAACAAATTAACATTGAATTAAATTCATCACAGTTTATATTTTTATTGCAGCATTTCCAAGATGGCCGCCGCGCTCAACAGCACATTGAGGGCTCCTGGAAACAACTGGAGTCTGTAAGTGACCCCTGACCCCCACCCAACAACACTCCTCTCCACCCAACACACCTGACCCCAGAATTAAAATGAAAAAACAAAGTAAAGTTTTGATTTCAATGACCAGTTAAAATATGTTCAAAACTTAATATGTTTTACACTTCGATGATGATGTTTTTATTTACTTGCTGTTTACTTGTTCAGAGTAAACGTCGGTTTGAACGTGACTGTAAGGAGGCGGAGCGAGCTCAACACGTCTCTGACAGAATTGACCTTGACAACAAGACGGATGGAGAGAAGGTGGCTAAATATAAATAGTATACAGTATACAGACTGTATACATACAGTCGAGTGTGTAACAATGATTAATATGTTAGCTTATTAGCTAATGGATAATTGTTAGATCACCTTGTCAGCTTATATAGAGAATTGTTAGCTTAGTTGTTAGCTCAGAGTAATGTGTGTAACTGAGAGTCAGCTGACTCCAAGTAAGAATGGATCAACAACTTTCTTGTGATTGATCAACAATTCATCAGAGCTAAATTTATGCTTTGGTTTAAATGTCTGACTGTCTTTTTTTCTCTGTCTGACGGTCTGTCTGTCCCTTAGCGCTGCTCATTGAAGGTAAGGTCCTTTCATACATCAAATGTAAACTCAATGTATTTATTCCCTTTGTTTGCTATATTAACAGTGCATTCTATACTGTACAAACCATGTTTTTTATTAAAGGAATAGTTCAGAATATGTCTGTGTGTTCAGTACAGAGTGTTCAGAGTGAGGATGCGGTTAGCCTAGCTAAAACACAATTTCTTGTTTTAGAGGGAGTAAGTGCTGGAAGTATGTCTAATTCTATGACAGAAACCACAAACATTTATTATCTGGATTAAACTAATGAGAAACATGTCAATCACTAAGCTGTTGTTCAATATATTTGTGTATAAATTAAGCACAGCATTACTTCAGGCAGGCCATGTTGTCAAGCTCAGCTCTCAATTCAAGCTACATCAGCTGATCGCAGTTGACTGTAAACACCCTTCAAGCATCAAATTGGCAAATGTCATTCAGGGCACCTTATTTAAGCTGCTTTAGCCTGCCTACCTTTGCTGCTTCCTCTGCAAGCGTTTTGCAACCCAGCTCCTCCTTTTATGCTTTATCTGATTTAATCAATGTAGTTTCTGTTGCCATTGCTTGCTCTGTTCAATTCAATTCAATTCAATTCAATTGTGTTTGTGTAGTGCCAATTCATAACAGAAGTTATCTCAGGACACTTTTCAAATAGAGCAGGTCTAGACCGAACTCCTTATAACATTATTTACAGAGACCCAACAGTTCCCACCATGAGCAAGACCTTGGAGACAGCAGCAAGGAAACACTTCCTTTTAAGAAGCAGAAACCTTGGACAGAGGTGGTTGGCCATCTGCCTCGACCAGTTGGGTTCTGTACCCTGGGGGGTCTTTGCTGCTGCTCTCCTTGTCTTAAGCTTTCCACAAATGCACGTGGAAGGGCAAGGAAGTCCCAGAACAGAGCCATACCGCCAAATCAAATTTTGAATTTGGAAATAAAAGACAATAGTGGTCCTGACTGAACTAAAGTTTTTTTTCCCTCTGTTTGTGGGTTTCAGGCTCGTCAGACAGCTCAACAGAAAAAACAAGCTGCTGAAGAGTCAAGGAAAGACTATGTGACCAGTTTAAACCAGTTTAACCAGGACCAGCACCAGCACTACCACACACTGGTACCAGTTATATACCAGGTAAGCCAGCAGTAGCACACACTGTCACCAGTTATATACCAGGTACACCAGAAGTACCACTCACTGGTACCAATCCAATAACAGAGTGAATCAGTGGATGAATTTGTGTCTGTAGCGTATCCAGGACATGGAGGAGCGGCGGATCGAGAGAATCTGCGAATCGATGCGTTCGTCAGCGGAAGCTGAGAGGAAAGTTCTTCCTGTTGTGAGTCGCTGTCTGGATGCCATGATGGACGCTGCTGAGGGCATCCAGCCCAGGATGGTGAGTCGCCTCTGGGCTGAAATCTGGCTTCTTGTTGGGTGAAATCATCTTGGGAGGTTTTGATGTCGATGTTGTGAGACTGTTTGTTAAAAGAACCAGAGGAGCAGATCTCTTTCCTCAGAGTCCTTTAATGAAACCCAAGAGTGTTCCATCCTTAATGTGGAGCAGTAGACTGGCTCTCCACCCTCACATAGTTAATTATCAACAATATCCTTATTGAACAAGTACTAGAGCCTTGGATCATAAATGATCTTGGTCTAAACAAATTGATAGCATTGTGAATAAAATGGGAAGAGGGGTGTCAGTGGTAAGAGGTGTTTTAAAAGTTATGCTGCCAGATGTCATTAAACAAGCTTTAGCTCTGTCACAGCTGGATTACTGTTGAATGATTTGGTTGTAGCACGTCTCGCTACTACCGAGGGTTCTCTCAGCACACGGAACATCAAGACAACTTTATTTTTTTGTCAGCCATACACACTATCAATACAACTTAGCCCGGTTCAAAAGTCCATCAAGGTTTGCTCTTCTTGTCTCTTCTGTGTATCGGCCTCCACATCCAGTTCACTACTGCCTTCCCAGAGGTGAGTGTGATTACTCAATGAGTACCAGCTAAGATAATCACCTCACCTGGTGCTGCTCTCACAAGCCTTCCCCAAACCCCTCTCTCCTGCAGCTGAGTGCAAACCACACCCACCGCCACAATGGTCTTGTGCTTTACAACAACAACAATAGCAACAACTATACTAGTAGAAATGACTGATGTCTGTGTGATAACCTTAAACTAACATCATCTTAACAGTGTCTCAAAGACTACAGTTACTTCACCTATGTTAATCATAGCATAACAACGTCATAACCAAAATGAAAACACATCGGTTACATTAAGAGTAATGATACAGTCCTTTGCTCAGACGTTAACAGTGTTATCTGAAACTATCTATGCCCAGTATGTTACCAAACAGTTAACACTAGAACACTGCATTCTATGAATGCAGGGCTATGTGTGGTTCCTATAGTCTCTAAAAGTAGAACAGGAGCTAGAGCCTTCAGTTACCAAGCTCCTCTCCTGTGGAACCAGCTTCCAGTTGTGGTTCTGGAGGCAGACACCCTCTCCACATTTAAGAGTAGGCTTAAGACATTCCTCTTTGATAAAGCTTATAGTTAGGGCTGGATCAGGTGAGTCCTGAACCATCCCTTAGTTATGCTGCTATAGGCCTAGACTATCGGAGGGATTTCCCATGATGCACTGAGCTCCTCTCTTCCTCTCTCTTTCTGCACTCATTCATGTCCCATTAATGCATGTTACTAACTTCATTTCTTTCCCGGAGTTCTTGTGCTTTCTCGTCTTGCAGGTTCTCATGGATCCTGGTGGAGCCTCCTGTCATGGTCCTGCTTGACTGCCATTACTAATATTACTGATATTATTGTTATTATTATTACTACAGTTACTATTATTACTATTGTCACTGCTCATTGTCCCCCATCGTTATCGTTGTCATCTTCTTCATGTTCCTCATCATCATCAGTGCTTGCTCATGGTGGTACTATTGGGTCTCTGTAATTAATGTTATAAAGAGTTCGGTCTAGACCTGCTCTATTTGAAAAGTGTCCTGAGATAACTTCTGTTATGAATTGGCGCTATACAAATAAAATTGAATTGAATTGAATTGAATTGAATCAGTCGCTACTATTAGTGTAGTTGTTGCTACTGTTGTTGCTCTGCGTCTGTCTGTCTGTCTGTCTGTGTCTCTCTCTCTCTCTCTCTCTCTCTCTCTCTCACCCCAACTGGTTGAGACAGACGACCACCCACCTAGAGCTGAAGGATCTGTCCTAGGTTTCTGCCTCTTAACAGGCAGTTTTTCCTTGCCGCTGTCTCCAAGGTCTTGCTCATGGTGGTACTGTTGGGTCTCTGTAAATAATGTTATAAGGAGTTCGGTCTACACCTGCTCTATTTGAAAAGTGTTCTGAGATAAGTTCTGTTATGAATTGGCGCTATACAAATAAAGTTGAATTGAATTGAATTGAATTAAAGCCCCACAAACTGTCCTTCTGCCCTTTTAATTAAAATGCTCTGACTTCAGCCTGCCAGCTCCTAAACTTCTGCTTTTTACTCTTCCTATCATTTAATCAATGAAACCCCCTCACACATGGGGCAGGATGTGCAGCCCTTATATGATATTATCAACCGTTTGTTATGCTTCAACGCACAGGTGGCATTTATCATTTTATGTATGAGTCAAACTATGGACAAAAGTCAGAGATATATAAAAATGTTTTGTATCCTTATTTAAAGGACAAAGCATTGCATGGATGGTTTTAATACTATGAGACAAGATTATACATATATATGATGACTATATGATTAATTAAATATAAAGTCATCTACCTGTATTTATTTCATTTGCCAGCTGATGTCACAATGATTTTAGACTAAAGGTGAAAGATCCAAGGTTAAAGGTCAGATCGGACACTATGTGTGTGTCTGTGTGTAGGACACCCAGCAGGTGGTGGAGGTGTATAAATCCGGCTTCGACCCTCCAGGTGACGTTGAGTTTGAGGATTACAGCGCCACCATGAGGAGGAGCATCTCTGAGTCCAGTTACCTCGACAACCGTACTGAGGGGCGGAGACACAGCAGGAAGCTTTGGCCCTTCATACGGAAAAACAAAGTACACAAATACACACACATACACACAACAGGTACACACACCCCTGGAGGAGTCACCTGGCTGTACTGACCACACTTCTCTTGCTCTATTTTCTCTCTCTCTCTCTCTCTCTCTCTCTCTCTGTGCCTCATTCTCTCTCTCTGTGTGCCTCTCTCCCTCCCTCTGTCTCCCTCATTCTCTCTCTCTGTCTCTCTCTCTCTCTCTCTCACCCTCTCCAGCTGTTGACCCTCCTCTCCTCTCCCCGCCAGCCTCCCCCTCCACCCCCCACCTCACCTTCACCAGGGGGGGTAGCCAACAGTCCACAGTCCCCTCCCCCTGCTGCTAGAGAACCAATTACACAGCGGCTGAATGACCTTATGACTTCTGGCTCCAGAACCAGGAAGCAGTGTCTGCGCAGCCTCAAGAGAGGGGTACACAAACACACACACACACACACACACACACACACACACATACACACAGGTACACATATTTATGTGAATATTTTTTACCCTAAACAGTGTTTTCAATGTTTGTCTTTTTATTTCTCTTTCCTGCTCCTCTGTGATTGGACAGCTGTCACTCAAACTGGTAAAATAAAATAATAAAATAAAGGTATTAAATCACATGATGTTTATGTAATTTACTATAAAATAATTTAATAAAATAATGTCTGTTTTGGTGTAGGGCTCCAGTCCTGCAGACTGTAGTCATCTTCCTCCTGAACAGAGACGAAAGAAACTTCAAACCCGAATCAACAACATCAACCAGGAGATCCAGAGAGAGAGAGAGCAGAGGTAACACACACACACACACACAAACACACACACACAGCTGGTTGATGTAAACAGTATCTGGCTTTTATTTGCAGGTGATTTTACTTTATAAATTAGAATAAGACAATTCTATAAAAGTGACATTGTTTATCTTCAAATACATTTATTCTATAAAATACTAGCGAATCCCAAGTATTTGTTTCTTTATAGGATAAAACTGAAGACAAATGTATGATTTCAGAGTTCAGAGTCATTGTGTTTCTTTTCCAGCAGACAGACAGACCTCGCCCAGTTGGAGCTCAGTTTTGTTTGGACAGTGTTTAATATCTGTGTGTTGTTGCTAGCTGTGCTAGCTGTGTTAACATCTACATACTCCTCCTCACCTGCACAGGTGTCACCATGTCGTCTCGCCAGGTGACTGTTAAGCCATGCTGCGTCCGACCGTCTTGATTGCATTTGAACTTATAACAAAATGTAATTTAAATTTATAAGCCTTCAGATACCACACCTTTCAGGAGAGTGTAGGCGTTGTTAGCAGCAAAGCTTTAGTTAACAGATTTTATAACTTTAGAATTGGACCATTGACTGGTTAATGGTACAGTTAGGTCCATCCAGGGGTCCGTGTACCGATGGAGTTGCATACACCATTCGTATCGGTAAAACGTCACACCCTTAATCAATATCTATCTGGAAAGTCTTTCTCTCAGATAGTAGTTCTCGTTCTCAGAACAGGTGAAAACCTACAAGAACGACACAGAAACAGTTATAAACTCAAGGTAGCAATCAAAGTTCACATGGTCTGTCTGTCTGTCGCTCTCTCTCTCTCTCTCTCTCTCTCTCTCTCACCCCAACTGGTCGAGACAGACGACCACCCACCTAGAGCCGGAGGATCTGTCCTAGGTTTCTGCCTTTTAACAGGCAGTTTTTCCTTGCCCTTGTCGCCAAGTGCTTGCTCATGGTGGTACTGTTGGGTCTCTGTAATTAATGTTAAAGAGTTCGGTCTAGACCTGCTCTATTTGAAAAGTGTCCTGAGATAACTTCTGTTATGAATTGGCGCTATACAAATAAAATTGAATTGAATTGAATTGAAATGGTTTATTCCAGAAAATGGGCAGAAGTCAGAACCAGGAGAAAAGGTAAACTTTAACGTAGGGATCAGAGAAAGAATCGTAGGCCAAAGTTCAGACAGGAGGGTCATTGCTCTTTATGTATATCAATAGATAGATAGATATTCCTTTATTTGTCCCACTATGGGGAAATTCCAATGTAACAGCAGCAAAGTGGATAGAGAAAAAACAGTATAAACAGAGTAGGGAAAATAATAAAAATACTATGTACAAGAGAAAAAACAGTAAGAATCCACAACAACAAATAACACAAAATAGTAGCAGCAGTTGCACATGGGCAATAGATTGCACAGTATATAATAACAGCAACTGGAGAATTATCTCCATCAACCAATCAACCCCCTTAACACAACAAACAAACAAACATTCAGTTTTGACCGTTTGAAGGAATTTTTGTTGAACTTTTGGTAGAAAGTTGGTTACAAACTGTTTTGGGGTTTTTTTTGGATCAAAATGAAAATATGAGCTGTTGAGTACGGGCTGAATGTCTGAAGAGCAATCACATCTTTCATTATCACCATATTGTGATTGAAAGTGTGTATTAAGTGTTTTGTATTGTTGTGTTGCTTCAGAGATGCTCTGTTGAAGATGAGGGAAGTTTATGAACGAAGTCCTCAGATGGGTGATGCCGGTAGTTTGGAGCCTCGACTGGACGAAGTGAAACAAAGTCTGCAGAAACTGGAGGACGAGCTAAGGAGGCACCAGGTAAATAAAATATATACTCAAATGCATATATCATATAAACACAATGCACACACACTGCACCATACTGAAAACTGATCAACCAAGATAAATCTGAATATTAATGTGTGTATTAATGTGTCTGTAAATTACTGTGTGTATTAATGTGTGTATTACTGTGTGTGTAGGCGTGGCTGTCAGAGGCTGACAGCAGACTGTCTGATCACAGCAATAGAAGACAGAGTGGAGGTTGTGGGTTAAATTCCCAGGCCACAACACCAGGCAGCAGCAGCCTGAAACAGCTGGACAACCGCAGTCCAGCCAGCAGAGAGAGGTACTGATTACTAGATTACTGATAATTGATAATTAGTTATTGTTATCAGTCTGAAATGCAGAGTTGAAATGGATGTTATGGAATTACCTAAATATAATCTAATTTAGTCATATCCTTTGCATTCATTTCATGGGTTGAATTGTTTGAGTACTGTTTATTTTGTAACATTTTTAATTGCTAGGTATAGGGCTGTGGAAAGGAATCAGAATCAGTATCAGATATACTTTAATAATCCCGTGGGGAAATTACTTGTGGGGGGAAAATGGAGGGGAGAAAAACAAGAGGAGAGGGGAGGAGAAAAAAGCAGCTCCCAGACTCTGCTCCTGTAGGGGAGTACAGTGTGGGACTTCAGCAACATAAGCACATATGATCACACTTTACAACATAAAACTCAAAACAACTTGCAACGGGGAGGTGGGAAAGGGGGGTGGAGGCGTACGAGCGCAGACAGGCAGCCGCGGCGCAGCCAGCATCGGCACAGCCAGCATCGGCGCAGCCAGCATCGGCGCAGCCAGCGGAACCCCGCTTGTCGCACTGAGGGTAAAAAGCGGCAAAGGCGGGGGGGGGAATGCAGATGCAGATTAGATTATGATTGTTTGGGTAAGGGTGAGTAGTCACATTTCAATGGACACGACTTGCTCTGATTGTCCATTCTGGTCTTCAAATCGATGTATAACTTATAAGTTCTGTAAGTGAATGAATAAATAAAACAATGATCGGATAAAAGGGGGCGGCTGTGGCTCAGAGGAAGAGCGGGTCGTTCCTTAATCAGAAGGTTGTGGGTTCGATCCCTGACTCGTGGTGCCACATGTTGAAGTATCCTTGAGCAAGATACTGAACCCCAAATTGTTCCTGATGCCGTGTATCAGTGTGTATGAATGTTAGTTTATGTTCGATGGTTAGATGTTTACCATCACTGAGTGTGTGTGAAAGGGTGAATGTGGCACGTAGTGTAAAAGTGCTTTGAGTGGTCGGAAGACTAGAAAGGCGCTATACAAGTACAGGTCCATTTACCATTTACCATTTTTTGACCGCAGTGAAAATGTTTATTTGAAAGGCTAATTGCCAATAAATAAGGTTTTCACTGGACAAAAATGTTTTGTTTTTGATGATTTACTTTTGGACTTTGCTCTCGAGTTACTGGAATTGGATGATGCAAAATGGAAATTATCTTACAGCGACACCACTGGCATGTAAAACTACAACCATTGTCCCTGTTTGCCTTTGAGTCTCGTTCTACTTTTGACATTTTCAGACTCTAAACATTATTAAACTCTCTCTCTCTCTCTCTCTCTCTCTCTCTCTCTCTCTTCTACTTCTCTGACTGTCTCTTTCCTTAGTCCTGATGGCAGCTATACTGAAGACCACAGTGCAGAGCTTCACTTTAAGTCTCGTAGTTCAGAGTTTGACGACGACTTTGATGATGAAGAACCATTACCGAGTATCGGCACCTGCAAGTCCCTTTACCCATTCCAAGGTACCAAGTATGTTTTATTGCACTGCCTGTACATCACTTGGTGTACAAGAACACAGTCATTTCACCTGTTGTTGTTTCCCAGGTAACCATACGTGTTACCGGAGAAGACTTTAGACAAATTTCTTTGTTTGATTCGACACTAAAATGCTCAAGTTGGCACAGAATCTGTACCTGTGTGCAGGGACAGTATCCAGTGACAGTGCAGGGGCAGTATCCAGTGACTGTGCAGGGACAGTATCCAGTGACTGTGCAGGGACAGTGTCCACTGACAGTGCAGTGACAGTATCTAATGACAGTGCGAAACAGTATCCAATGAATGCAGGGACAGTATCCAATGACAGTGTAGGGACAGACAGTGCAGGAACAGTATCCAATGACAGTGCAGGGACAGTATCCAATGACAGTGCAGGAACAGTATCTAATGACAGTGCAGGGACAGTATCCAATAGACAGTATCCAATGACAGTGCAGGGACAGTATCTAATGAAATATTTCTGATTAATCAGACCACATTGTAAATGATTTTATGGTTCTACTCTGGTTGTCTGGGGTCTTAACTGCAGGTCAAAATGAAGGCACTCTGTCAATGGTGGAGGGAGAGCTACTTTCTGTGGTGGAAGAAGACAAAGGTGACGGCTGGACCAGAGTACGGAGGAACTTGGAGGAGGAGGGATATGTCCCCACCTCCTACATCAAAGTCTTCCTGGACAGCAGTGCCAAAGGTGCCATGACCTACATATGACCTATATATGACTTATATATGACCTACATATGACCTATAAATGACCTACATATGACTACATATGACTTATGACCTACATATGACTACATATGACTTATATATGATCTACATACGACCAACATATGACTTATATATGTCCTATTTATGTCCCATTATGCGGCTGTGGCTCAGAGGCAGAGTGGGTCGTTCCTTAAGCGGAACGTTGTGGGTTCGATCCCCGGCTCCTGGTGCCACATGTCTAAGTATCCTTGAGCAAGATGCTGAACCCCAAATTGCTCCAGATGCCGTGCATCGGTGTGTGAATGTGTATGAATGTTAGTTGAAAGGGTGAATGTGGTGAAAAGGCGCTATACAAGTACAGGTCCATTTACCATTACATATGACATATATGACTCATATAAGACCTACATATGACTTAGATATGACCTTTATATGACTTACATATGACCTACATGACTTGTACATGTCCTATATATGACCTACATATGACTAATATATGTCCTATATATGACCTACATATGCCTTATATATGTCCTATATACGACCTACATATGATTTGTATATGACCTACATATGACTTATATATGACCTATATATGACTTATATATGTCCTATATATGACCTACATATGATTTGTATATGACCTACATATGACTTATATATGACCTATATATGACTTATATATGTCTTATATATGACTTATATATGTCCTACATATGCCTACATATGACTTATATATGACCTACATATGACCTACATATAACTTACAGGTAATATAATCATATGATCTATATGAGAGATGTGACAGACAGATAGTTAGAGATGCTCTTTGGCTACACTGAACATGTAGCGTATGCGGACAGCTCACAGAGCGAATGTGCCACAGAATGTATCGTTATATTCGTCTCCTGTTAATAAAGAGACAATATATATCCTGTCTCCTGTTAATAAAGAGACATTATATATTCTGTCTCCTGTTAATAAAGAGACATTATATATTCTTCTCCTGTTAATAAAGAGACATTGTATATTCTTCTCCTGTTAATAAAGAGACATTATATATTCTTCTCCTGTTAATAAAGAGACATTGTATATTCTGTTTCCTGTTAATAAAGAGACATTATATATTCTGTCTCCTGTTAATAAAGAGACATTATATATTCTTCTCCTGTTAATAAAGAGACATTATATATTCTGTCTCCTGTTAATAAAGAGACATTATATATTCTTCTCCTGTTAATAAAGAGACATTGTATATTCTGTCTCCTGTTAATAAAGAGACATTATATATTCTGTCTCCTGTTAATAAAGAGACATTGTATATTCTGTCTCCTGTTAATAAAGAGACATTATATATTCTGTCTCCTGTTAATAAAGAGACATTATATATTCTTCTCCTGTTAATAAAGAGACATTGTATATTCTTCTCCTTTTAATAAAGAGACATTATATATTCTTCTCCTGTTAATAAAGAGACATTGTATATTCTGTCTCCTGTTAATAAAGAGACATTATATATTCTGTCTCCTGTTAATAAAGAGACATTGTATATTCTGTCTCCTGTTAATAAAGAGACATTATATATTCTGTCTCCTGTTAATAAAGAGACATTATATATTCTTCTCCTGTTAATAAAGAGACATTGTATATTCTTCTCCTTTTAATAAAGAGACATTGTATATTCTTCTCCTGTTAATAAAGAGACATTGTATATTCTGTCTCCTGTTAATAAAGAGACATTATATATTCTGTCTCCTGTTAATAAAGATACATTACATATGCTGTCTCCTGTTAACAAAGAGACATTATTTACTCTGTCTCATGTTAATAAAGAGACATTATTTACTCTGTCTCCTGTTAATAAAGAGACAATATATACTCTGTCTCCTCTAAGGAACCTGGTCTATGTCCTGACTGCACTGCATTATTAGAAACTAAGATTAACTGGTCACCCCAACTGTGACCTTCTGACACAGGGAGGAGGAGGTTGGCTAATGTGTAATATCTCCTTGTCTTTGTAAAATTGAAACTGATAATACAGCAGTCCAACAATGTCAAAAGGAGATAGCTCCCTCTATTGTTTAAAAAGAGTATCACGATTAATTTTCACCATATATCGATCCTATGGGAAACAATAAATAATAATAATTATAAACAATAAGCACGAATTATTTTCTGTATAATCTTAGTTTAATTAAAAAAAGACACTTTATAACAATTTTTTGTGTAAAAGGGCTATGCACACCTTGCTTAGTAGCAATGGCAAAGTAATTACTCATTAATTACTCAGCACTCTCTCACCTGGGGTTGTTTGCAGAAGTCGGTCCGCAAACGCTACGTGTTCAATGTAGATATTATATTAGATATTATAGATGTGAAAGATGTTATTTCCTAATGAATCTGTTTTCATTTATGTCAAATATAAAACTGATCTTCATCAGCTCCGTCATCAGTGTGCAGTTTGTTTGTGGATTCAGATGGATTTTATTTAAAGGGTCATTGTTGTGTTGTTACCATCAGTGTCAAAACACATTACACACAATATACACAATATTCACATTATACACAATATACTCAATATTCACATTATACACAATATACACATTATATACAATATACACAATATAAACATTTCACACAATATACACAATATTCACATTTCACACAATATACACAATATTCACATTATACACATTACACACAATATACACAACATACACATTTCACACAATATACACATTACACGCAATATACACATTACACACACTATACACAATACACACAATATACACATGAAACTGTGTTAATGATGGAAATGAAAGCAGCTGAAATGTTTGTTCAATCAGCAGCAGATCGTCTCTTTCTACCATCACACCAACATTTAAACTCAGTGTTTTCACTCAGGGGCCAAATGACACTACTTGGCCATCATTATGTGGACACCAGATATGTTTAAAATATCAATTATTGTGATTATAAATCAAGTTGTAACTAACTTCCAGATGAACCTGTTAATCTGTCACCAACATGAAGTTACATTTAGTCAACTCTTCTTAATGCTTTGATGTTTTTTGTATTTTTATTTTCATATCATCACCTGATAATTGAATATTTCAAACATCATTAACAATCGTTTTCATTAGTGAACATTTCAAAGGTGACGTCTCGTTCAAAACCCAAACACATTCAGTTTCCTTTTATTTAAAACAGAACAAGATCAGATTTCTGTCTGATAAAATGTTTTAATACATACTAATAAAGTTCATAACTGTAACAAATGTTTGATAAATCATTCACAGAAGTATTGTTATTATTGTTATTAGTAGTATTATTAGTAAGAGTAGTGGTTGTAGTATTAAATATAACTTTTTGTTATTCAGTTTGAGCTTACTGAGTGTAGTTTTAGTTAAGTTGTTTGTGCTGCAGCGGGCAGCAGACCTACTGTCTCACTCTACCAGCTCTAACATATCTACCTGTCTGTCTCTCTGTCTCTCTGTCTGTCTGCCTGTCTATCTCGTAGGCTTTGTGCAGAGTAGTCGGCTAGTCTAGCACAGTAATCGACCAGGGGGGATGTCTCGCCACAAGAAGTGATGTAAAGGAAAGAGCTCTGAGGAAGTCTGGTAACTGCTTTTCATTGGACAGTTTGACATTTCTCAGCCAATCAGACGAGAGACTGCTGTTGACTTGTTGTAGACACTGATCCATACCATCTGCATTTACTGTAGCTCAGATGATCACATCAGTCATTATTCATCATCAGCTCAGATCTTTATTTGTGTTTTACATACTCAACAAAAATAATTAAACATAATAAAAAACTAAACAAAACCCTGATATTCTCATATAATTCAGATCTTTGAGGCCAAAAGTATGAATTTGTCTTCAAACATTTGCTCTGATGTGAAAACCGAGTTTCTGTAATTGATCAATATTCACTGACAAACTTACCTGATATCAGTTTTTTCACCTGCTGTATTAAAACTATGATCAAATATGAAAAATCTGAATATAAACACTTTTAGATATGAATGTTTGTAAAAATACTTTATTGAAAAGAAAATGTGAAGTGGTGGAGAGGACGATGCTTCCTGTTGGCCGATGAGATCAATAAAGGAATATCTGGTTTCTGTCCACAGTACATCTCACCCCAGTGATGTCACAGAGTACTTCAGTACACTGTACATCACTGTGGGTGTGGTCAGAAGTGAAACTGCTGTAAAGTTTAAACAGTTTATACTGCATAAAGCCCTGCCCCCTCATACCTGCAGATATTACCCCAACCCCCTGATTAACCAGCCCATATTAACCCTGCCCCCGCTTGTTGATCAGTGGTCATGTTATTGATTGATTGTGTGAAATGTGAAACTTTTTTATTTTATAGTAAGATATTGATCAGTTATTAATTTTTTTATTGAGACGTGAGACTGCTGATCACGCTCTTTTCAACTTCCTGTATGTTAAACTTTCAAAATAAAGTACACTCTGAATCAAACACTGAGTTTCTGTCGCCACTCACCTTTTCAGTTCAATTCAATGGACTTTTATTTGTAGGGTTAGGGTTTATAACAGAAGTTATCTCAGGACACTCTTCAAATAGAGCAGGTCTAGACAGACTCCATATAACATTATTTACAGAGACCCAACAGTTCCCACCATGAGCAAGACCTTGGAGACAAGGGCAAGGAAACACTGCCTTTTAAGAGACAGGAACCTAGGACAGGCCCCTCGGTGGGTGGGAGAGAGAGAGAGAGATCAGAATCAGAATTATGTTTATTGCCAAGTAGGTTTATTCAACTACACTAATAGAAGTGACTGGCAATGATAATAGTAATAATAGTAACTGTAGCAGAGGTGTCAAAAGTATTCACATTCATCACCCAAGCAGAAGTACAGATACTAGGGTTTAAAAAGACCTTTGTAGAAGTTGAAGTATCAACTCAAGCTTTTACTCAAGTAGAAGTGTAAAAGTACTGGCTTCAAAACTACTTAAAGTAAAAAAGTAAAAGTAATGTAAAGGGGGGGAAAAAAGCCATCAAATGTTATAGGCCCCACGCCACAGAGGCCTATAGGCACTACACGACCCCCCCCCAGAAAACATCATCTTTCTAAAGGCCTTAATGACTATAATGTTATATTAAAATGTTAATATTGAAACATTTGGGATGCACTTGGCTACCTGTTTCAGCCTCATACATGCCCAATGAAAATGAATGCATTTTAGTATAATGCAAATACATTAAAGAACCATATATGTGTGCTAGTGCTCCTGAGCATTAACATGTGTTTCATGGACTGGAAGATATGATGACTAGTTGTATGCCTATAAGTATTGTAATAGTGCAAAAAGTCAAACTTCAGAGGCATGTTTTCAATACCCTTTATTTGAATGTAAATGAACATCCAAGCTTAGCTGCAGGTGATTAATCAAAAAAATCCAACATCATTCCCTCCATCCCACTTTGTGAGAGTGAGTGTGTGTGTGTGTGTGCGTGTTAGGATGTACATCAGTTAAGCTCAGTACCTGCAACAAAGAGTTACCAATAGACTTTTTTTCGTCCACCATTCAAGTTTTCGTCCCTCTTTCAACATATCAGGACATAAATAATATGTTATAATAACATATTTAATGTTTTACCAAAAAAACATGTAACTTTAGTGGCTCTTACATCTGTGATGAGTTGTAGGTGCCTGAAATATTCATTTACCTGTTTTACAACTAACTACGAACTCCACACTGAACAGCCAGAAAAAAATATTGTAGCAAAGCATGGAAGATGATCTCTCAATCTCTGAGTTCACTTACAAAGTTGGGTGTGTCATGAGATCCTCTCCATGTGTGTTTGTGTGAGTGAGTGAGTGAGTGAGTGAGGATGTACATCAGCTCAGTACCTGCAACAAAGAGTTACCAGTAGGCTTTGTTCAGCTGCAAAAGCAGCTGGTTCTCAAAGTTATTTGAGCCAATGCATGCTCTTCTTGGCCTGAAGATCAGCCCTGCAACACTAAACAACACTTTCACACGCTGCTGAGGCAGGGAGTGCCGTATTAAGCTTAAGTGATAGCTGGCACACATCAGGGAAAGACTTGAGTACCTCCACTGTATCTCTGGGGCACCCCAGGTATGTGTCCAACTGCTGGGTCGTTTCAAGAGGGCCGGTCCTCTTCAAGGAGGAAAAGAAGTCCTCTTCCTCAGATAATTGGGAGCCCTCACTAACGTGATTCTCAGCCTGACAGTCCAGGTGGCTTCTGATATAGTCAAGGCCTGTGAAATAAAAAACAAAAATCAGGACAAATTAGACCATATGACAGTATTGTAACTGTGTATTGTGTATTGGATAGTACTTTGTGTGTGTGTGTGTGTGTGTGTGTGTGTGTGTGTGTGTGTGTGTGTGCCATTAAATGTCATTTCAAACTAATTTCACTGCTTCCATGGAAATTACATATATTAAGGGCAAGTTGAGAAGTGAGACACTTACCAAGTTTGAGGATATTGTCGTCACTTGTTCAGCAGGTCTTAAATTTGGGAACTAGAATGGCTGCGGCTATCATCTCTGGATCTGCAAGCATCTCTCCGAACCGTTTTTCATGACCCGAAAGAAGTGCAGCAATCAAAGGCTCACAGAACTTGGAGGCGACTTGAAAGTGCTGGAGCTTGGTCCTCAGTAAAGTTATTGTGGGGACCAACCATCCCATCTGCACACTGGTTTCTCCCTGAAGAATATCAAGTGCCTTTGCAACTGGGCTCATGGTCTTCACATATTCTGCAAGAAATGCAAGTTCAACTGGAGTAAACCTGTACAAAGAAGAAAAGAAAAACACAACATGGAACATTTACCCTACTTTATGTAGCACCTTCAACCGGAGGAACTGATAATTAAAAAGGGAAAAATATTGTCATCTGAGACTTTTAGAAATGTAGTTGTGTTGCTACAAATCACATTCGTAAATATGGGGACTGCATATTGGCATGGTGTATACATGTATTGTACCATATTCAAAGTATAAAAATGTGACTTAATCTAAATTTAATCGCTTCATTAACTGAAAGACATAAACTCTGAAGGCTTTCAGGAAGTTTGATCTGTTGTCAGTTGTAGTGCGAACGATCTTCTCTCTGATATTTAATTCTGTGTGAATGTCATTTAGGGCACCAGCCAGGGCAGAAAAAGTGTGTGACCCTCTAAGTTGCTTGCATGCCAAGGCGGCACAGGATCTCAGCATTGACTGGGGATTAAACCAGTGCGCAGTGACACCAATGAAACTGCGACGGTGTGCCGTCCAGCAGTCTGTTGTTGTTGCTATGAACTGAACATTACTAAGGGCTGCTTTCAGTTTTCTTTTCATTTCGACTGAAGCCTTTGTGACTTTGTTTACAACAGTATTGCGTGTCATTACATTTGTATTTGGCTGAAGATGTTTCACAAGATCAATGAAGCCCTATTGCTGAACAATGTGTGCTGGGTGCAAGCCTTGGACGACGAAATTGAGGACTGCTTTATCCACACTGGCCTGGGACACTTTTTGAGTCTCCCACAGCTTGGTTTGTTTGGAAGGTGAACATTCAGTGGATGACTTCCTTTTGAGGACTGCTGAAGTAAGTTGTGAGTACCTCTCTAGACAAGTGGGGTGTTTCTTCTGTGGAGAAAACAAATGCACAGGCACTGATTGAGATTCATATTATTTCTCTCAAACCACAAACTCAGACTATCAAGGACTTCCACTGTATGAAATGTCATGCTTGAAGTTCATGAATGAAGGTCAGACTACAAGTTGGGGAGCAGTTTCACTGGTCTACGCTATTATGTTGAGCAGACCAGAATATTGCCACTTAAAGCTGTTTTAGGACCACAAGCAACTGGCATGACTGAACAGTAACATTATTTATGAAATAATCCAATAAAATTCATTCAATTTGGCTGATAGGTGGTGGTTACCGCCTAACAAGGAGCCATAGTGCATGCCCCACATAGGCGCATGCACTCTCATACACAAACAGGATAATGCCAATCTGTGGTAAGAACACGCTTTATCAACCAGCTGTAGACTGTAGACTTGAGCTTTGCACAATTAACTATTGCGTATAGCAATAACATAAGCTCAGACAACATTTGGTTAAAGACGAATTTCAAATCTCACATAGAGCCCACCAAACAAACTTGCAACGTTGAATCATAGCCTATTGCTGCTAGCAAGCAAACCATGTCTTGGCAATGAAATTTACCATTAAGACGTAACTAAGTTACTACAATATTTTATCAATAATCGACTGATGGAGGTTCCGGTATGGCGGCAAACTGAGTGGACGTGTGTTAACCTGCTCGCTAGACAAGTCTAAGGTAATGCCGGTGTCACAAAAAAAAAGTCAGTCAAGGGCGAAATAAAACTTTGCAAGCCAAATTGTCGGACTTCACGAGGCCGAGTGCTAGCAAGAAATCTTCTGCTAACATGGAAGTCATGGACACCGACGCTAGTTCAACTCCGGAGGATAAATCACTGGATAAAAGCAAGGATACGGCGGCTGGAGAGCCCGGTCCTATGTCGGCTGCCATTCTGACTGCTATTAGCGACATGAAGACAGAGTTTTCCACCAGGTTTGACGGCGTATTGTCAGCTATTGAAAGTGTCAGGAAAGACATCACTGACTGCGCAGAGCGTGTCACAGAGGCAGAAACAAGGACTTCAACAGCTGAAGACAATGTCAACTCACTCCAAACATAGGTACGAGTCCAAGAAAAAAAAAAGGACTTAGAAGTAAAGCTATTGGACCTGGAGATGAGATCGAGGCGCTCCAATTTGAGGCTTGTCAGTTTACCGGAGGGAGCGGAGGGTGAGGACGCATGTGCCTTTTTGGAGAGCTGGCTCCTGGACGCACTGGAGCTGCCGCCGGGGCGCACAAAACTAGCGGTGGAGAGGGCGCACAGAATCGGGCCAAGAGCACACAACAATCCTTCCCCCCGAACACTGATAATGAAGTTTTTAAACTTCAGAGATAAAGAATTAGTGTCGAGAGCAGCCAAGGCAAAAAGAAAAGTGAGATACAAGAACCAAACAGTGAGGTTTTACCAAGACGTGGCGGCAGATGTTCACAAGAAGCAAAAAGAGTTTGACACGGTGAGACGGCAGCTCCGTTCAATGGGACTCCGATATGGCATCATCCCCCCTGCCCGACTGATAGTGACCTACAAGGAAAGGTCCCACATCTTCAACAACCACGTCGAGGCAGAGGACTTCATCAAACGGATCAGGTCTGAAGAGGGACCAGACTGAGTTATTAAGGATCTGGAGTGCCGCAGCTTACAAAGCAGAAGGTAATAGCTGACGAGGAAACAAAAGACTCAAGATTGAGCCAAGCCGACAAAAACTACACTGTGAAATATATACCGCTGTTTAATAGTGTTTATTACAGTACGTTCAGGGCTTAACTGTTATACTGCCGTGTTAATCTCCACCTTCTACTTACCTCATGAATAAGCTCTTTGGGTATTCATTTTTCCTCTTTTTTTTCCTGCTCTCTTTTATAGAGAGCAGAATGTATCTTTGTGGCAACGGTCACTTTGTTAACTTTACAGTATTTGGAGTTGTATTATCCCACTTGTTATTTCCTGTTCAGATTTTCCTAGAACAACAGTGATTTCTAAGAGTAAAACTTGACTTAGTTCATAGTAAAAGTAATAAGTCCATTAAAACGCTCCAATTAATTCAGAACGCTGCAGCACGAGTACTGACAGGAACTAGAAAAAGAGATCACATCTCTCCTGTACTAGCTACTCTGCATTGGCTCCCTATAAAATGTAGAATTTAATTTAAAATCCTCCTCCTCACCTATAAAGCTCTTCATGGTCAGGCCCCTTCATATCTTAAAGAGCTCATAGTACCCTATTACCCCACTAGAACACTACGTTCTCTGAATGCTGGGCTACTTGTGGTTCCTATAGTCTCTAAAAGTAGAACAGGAGCCAGAGCCTTCAGTTACCAAGCTCCACTCCTGTGGAACCAGCTTCCAGTTGTGGTTCGGGAGGCAGACACCCTCACTACATTCAAGAGTAGGCTTAAGACATTCCTCTTTGATAAAGCTTATAGTTAGGGCTGGATCAGGTGAGTCCTAAACCATCCCTTAATTATGCTGCTATAGGCCTAGACTATCGGGGGATTTCCCATGGTGCACTGAGCTACTCTCTTCCTCTCTCTTTCTGCACTCATTCATGTCCCTTTAATGCATGTTACTAACTCCACTTCTTCCCCGGAGTTCTTGTGCTTTCTCGTCTCGCAGGTTCTCATGGATCCTGGTGGAGCCTCCTGCCATGGTCCTGCTTGACTGCCATTGCCAATACTGTTGTTGCTGTGCACCTGTCTGTCTGTCTGTCGCTCTCTCTCTCTCTCTCTCTCTCTCTCTCTCTCTCACCCCAACTGGTCGAGACAGACGACCACCCACCTAGAGCCGGAGGATCTGTCCTAGGTTTCTGCCTTTTAACAGGCAGTTTTTCCTTGCCCTTGTCGCCAAGTGCTTGCTCATGGTGGTACTGTTGGGTCTCTGTAATTAATGTTAAAGAGTTCGGTCTAGACCTGCTCTATTTGAAAAGTGTCCTGAGATAACTTCTGTTATGAATTGGCGCTATACAAATAAAATTGAATTGAATTGAATTGAATTAATGTTGACCGTAGTGAGCCTGTAGCACTATCGACAAGATTATCAATTTCAGAGGGACTAAAGTCGTTATAGGACTCTGTTAAATTCAGACATGGCATTGAATTAAACACTGAAGGAATCTCCTCCTTAAATTTAGCTACAGCACTGTCAGATAGACATCTGCTGTAGGAAGTTTTGCCTAATGGCTTATAATCTAATAGTATGAATTCAAAAGTTATTAAATAATGGTCAGATAGGAAAGGATTATGTGGGAAGACTATTAAATGTTCAATATCAATGCCATATGATAAAACAAGGTCAAGAGTGTGATTAAAACAATGGGTTGGTTTATTTACACTCTGACAGAAGCCAATTGAGTCTATTAATGATATGAATGCATTACTAAGGCTGTCATTGTCAACATCCACATGAATATTAAAATCACCTAGAATAATTACTTTATCTGATTTAAGGACTAAACTTGATAGAAACTCTGAGAATTCAGATATAAAATCAGAGTACGGTCCAGGAGCGCGGTACACTATAACAAATAGAACTGGCTGCAGTGTTTTCCAGTTTGGGTGAGAAAGACTAAGAACAAGGCTTTCAAATGAATTATAATTTAGTTTAGGTTTAGGGTCCATTAAAACGCTCAAATCATATATGGCTGCCACTCCACCTCCTCGGCCTGTGCCTCGAGGAATGTGAGTATTAATATGACTGGGGGAGGGTGGATTCATTTAGGCTAACATACTCCTCGTGGGACAACCAGGTCTCAGTAAGACAAAGTAAATCAATATCATAGTCTGATATAAATATATTAACTAAAACAGCTTTAGAGGACAGAGACCTGATATTTAACAGCCCACATTTCATTCTCTTATTTTGTGCTACTGAGGAGTTAGTTTTAATTTTTATTAGATTTTTATGTTGAACTCCTGTTTTTATTTCTTTAAATAATTTAGGTGGTCGGGGGACAGACACAGTCTCTATGGGGTTTTGGGTGGGTGACTGTTCTAAAGAAAGAGCAGAGAAGTGTGTAAGACAGCAGCTCTGCTTCCTGGTCCTAAATCTGGACTGTCAGGTTTTAGAAATAAACTTCGCCATATTTCTAGATAAGAGAGCTGCTCCATCCAAAGTGGGATGGATGCCGTCTCTCCTAATCAGACCAGGTTTTCCCCAAAAAGGCTTCCAGTTATCAGTGAAGCCCACATCGTTTGCTGGACACCACCTCGACAGCCAGCGGTGGAATGACGACATGCGGCTATACATGTCATCACTGGTCACATTGGGGAGGGGTCCAGAGAAAACTACGGAGTCCGACATTGTCTTAGCATAATTACACATTAATCTTAGTGACCTCCGATTGGCGTAAACGGGTGTCATTACCGCCGACGTGGATAACAATCTTACTGTATTTACGTTTACCTTTAGCCAGCAGTTTTAAATTTGATTCAATGTCGCCTGCTCTGGCCCCAGGGATACATTTAACTATGGCCGCTGGCTTCGCTAACTTCACGTTTCTGACTATGGAGCTGCCAATTATCAGAGTTGGTTCCTCAGCGGGTGTATCGCTGAGTGGGGAAAATGTATTAGAAACGTGAAGGGGTTGGTGGTGACCTGTGGGCTTCGCCGTTTTAGTCTTCTTTCGCTCAGTCACCCAGCCTCCCTGTCTTCCCGGCTGCTCGGGAACTACCGGGGGATCTATAGAGCTAACAGAAGCAACCTTCGGTCGGACCGCACCGGCTACTGGGGGCTGGCTAACTATAGCGGCTAAAGATAACTCTGTGGTGCAGCACCGTTCCTCTAACTCACTAAGCCTCGCCTCCAGCGCAGTAAATAAACTACATTTAATACAGGTACCATTATCATTAAAGGAGGCAGAGGAATAACTGAACATCTGACACACTGAGCAGGACAGAGGAGAGAGAGAGGGAGAAGCCATAGCTAACTGCTAATGCTAATGAAGCTAGCGTGTATGAAAAAACTTTGAAAGTAGTGAAAAGTCCCTAAAAGAAGGAGAAACTCTGAGTGTTTAGGTAGAATTAGTCTACGTTTAAATGTTAAGCGTGTAAATAACCGCTGTAACGAATAAAACAAATTTAGATTTAGCGTTCACTGACAGAGCTACAGCACCAAACAGTGTACACAGAGCAGGAAGTAAACCGGAAATGAGTCAGTACGCTTACCGTAGCACGTCACAGTCGTTGTGAGTAATGGTAATGGCTGACATCACATCCCTCCTGTACTAGCTTCTCTGCACTGGCACCCTGTAAAATTTAGAACAGAATTTAAAATCCTCCTCCTCACCTACAAAGCTCTTCATGGTCAGGCCCCTTCATATCTTAAAGAGCTCATAGTACCCTATTACTCTACTAGAACACTATGTTCTCTGAATGCTGGGCTACTTGTGGTTCCTATAATCTCTAAAAGTAGAACAGGAGCCAGAGCCTTCAGTTACCAAGCTCCTCTCCTGTGGAACCAGCTTCTAGTTGTGGTTTGGGAGGCAGACACCCTCTCCACATTCAAGAGTAGGCTTAAGACATTCCTCTTTGATAAAGCTTATAGTTAGGGCTGGATCAGGTGAGTCCTGAACCATCCCTTAGTTATGCTACTATAGGCCTAGACTATCAGGGGATTTCCCATGATGCACTGGGCTCCTCTCTTCCTCTCTCTCTCTTTCTGCACTCATTCATGTCCCAATGCATGTTACTAGCTCTTTCCTTTACATCACTTCTTGTGGCGAGACATCCCTCCTGGTCGAATTACTGTTCTAGACTAGCCGACTACTCTGCACAAAGCCTACGAGATAGACAGACAGAGAGACAGACGTGCATTAATGCATGTCACTAACTTCACTTCTTCCCCGGAGTTCTTGTGCCTTCTTGTCTCGCAGGTTCTCATGGATCCTGGTGGAGCCTCCTGCCATGGTCCTGCTTGATTGCCATTGCTAATATCACAGATATTATTGTTATTATTACTACAGATCAGAGGTGTCAAGTAACGAAGTACAAAAACTTTGTCACCTTACTTAAGTAAAATTTTTGGGTATCTATACTTTTCTTGAGTAATTATTTTTCTGCCAACTTTTTACTTCTACTCCTTACATTTTCACGTGATTATCTGTCCTTTCTACTCCTTACATTTTACAAACAGCCTCGTTACTCGTATTTCATTTTGGTTGTTTTCATCGTTTATAAACATAAAGTGAATTTGATTGATTGGATGAGAAGTATCAACATACACCATTCCGACACACTATTAGTCTGTACGCGATCTATCACCCCTGCATGTTACAAATCACGTCACACGCAAGCAAGCTTGTAGGCAGCGGTTCTATGGAGTTGTAGTTCAAGGTTTGAAACTGCAGTGTCGCGCTGCCGTCACTACTTCTTCGTCCACCAGCCCTGCCGGACATGCTCCATTTTGAAAATGTCCGAACCAAGCACCAGCGAGGAGGTTGCTAGCCAGGAAGACCAGCCAACTCTTGTACATCCCTGGCCATACCTGGAAGAATTTTTCGAAACTGTTGGATCCAAAAACAACTCATTTAGAATGTGCTGCAAGCTCTGCGCTTCCAAGTACCATGAGCTAATGGCTTTCAAAAACTTGCCGTCTAATTTGAAAAAGCATATTGAGGTAAGCTGAAAGTTCGTTATTATCTGTCGATATTTATTTATTTTTTTTCTCCAAAAATATCTTTATTTATTTCCAGACATAATAACACATACATATATCAAACACGACCAAGACATGACAACAAAACACAACAACAGAATAAGAGAAAAAAATAAAAATAAAAATAACAACTAGACTACACAATAAAAAAAAAATGAAAGAAATACAAATAATACATAAGAAAATGAAACTAAATAAGAAGGGAGAGAATAAGTAGAAAACCAACCACACATTGCTCATATTCACAAGTAAGCATTTATGATGCATAAATTGGATAGTGGTCATTCAACACCAGACCGTGATCGTTTCCCAAAGGAACTGCAGAGGGCCAGTTATGGGTCCTCCCCAGCTGGTTCCACTAAATGAGACAAGTCTTTGTTTGCAAGAAAGTTTTTAAAGGGGCCCCAGATGTTATCAAAAATTGGTTGCTTACCCCTGATTGCATACGTAATCTTTTCTAAGGGCAGAGTCGTTGTTAGTTCTGAAAGCCATTTACCTATCCTTGGTCTATCTACCTCTTTCCAAGCAATTGCAATGACTCTTTTTGCCAACAACAGGCCTATATCTAGAAATATTCTATGCTTCTTTCTTATGTTACACTTAGCTGGATAAATGCCCAATAGAAAAACTTTTGGTTCCAACTGTAAATTTATCTCTAACATTTCCTCAATACACTGTTTCACTTCTTCCCAGAATTTCTTTATTTGAGAACACTGCCACAAACAATGGAAAATCGTGCCCTTTTCTTTATCACATTTTATACAAACATGACATATGTCACCATTGAATTTATTAAGTTTAACTGGAGTTATATAAGAACGCATCAACCAGTTGTACTGCAGAAATCTTAAACGTGTGTTCACTGTTTGTACTTGTGCTTTGATACACGCCCTCTCCCACTCCTCGATGGAGATATTCTCCCTTAGGTCCTCTCTCCAGGACTCAAGCTTTTTTACTGATGTTTCTGAAGATTCACCAACCAGTTCCTCATATATTTTGGAAATCAAGCCTCTCCCCTGGCAGTCTTTCACCATCATTTCTTCAAGTGTTGATAGGCTTGGAATGGACAAGGACTGTTTTTGTTGTGTTCTAATAAAATCTCTCAATTGTAAATATCTAAAGAAGTGGCTACGAGCTATGTTGTGTTTGGCAACAATTTCATCAAAAGATATCAGATATTTATCATCAAGGAAGAGATAATTTCCCCATATTGGACTAAATAGTGAGAGCGAGTCAACTACTTTGAGATATTTCTTAACTTGTTGCCACACACTAATCATGTTTTTAGTCATAGGATTCTTGGTATTCTTTTTTTATTTCTTAAAATTGAGTACAGATAAGCAGGCAAAGGCAGTTTCAGTGTATAACCCTCTATATCTCTCCAAAGTGGCATATTCTCCTCCACATAGTAGAACATCAGTGTTCTCAGTTGCGCTGCCCAGTAGTACCATAGTGGGTTTGGGCATTTGGGTGGGTTTCAATTGAATTGAATTGAATTGAGTTTAAGCCCCCCTCTATCATACGGCAAGTACAACAATGATAGGTGCAGCCTGGGGCGTCTTTTGTTCCAAAGAAACTTGATGAAAAGTGTCTTCAGTTGAGAAAATAAGTTGTTTGGTGGTGGCAGAGGTAAATTTTGAAACAAATACAACAGTTTAGGAAGTACATTCATTTTGAAAGTGTTTATTCTCCCCATTTATGACATTGGTAAAGCAGCCCATCTATCTAAAGAATTTGAGACATCTTGCATAACATAGTTTCTATGATATTGTTAAGCAATGGAACAATTTGAATGCCTAAGTAAGTGAAGCAATTGACTACCCTAAATTGTGCAACTACGTTGGATGGATTTTCCCTGTCTATTTTATTTAATAGCATAATAGATGTTTTAGACTTATTAATCTTATAACCTGAAATCTTACTGAATACCCCAATCAAATCTAACAGGGCCGGGATGGATTTATTGGTATTTGAGAAAAACAATTATGTCATCTCCATATAAGGCTATACGGTGCTCAGTCTGTCCTATGGTTATCCCAGAAATGTTATCATGTGACCTCACTGCAATTGCCAAAGGTTCGATTGCCAAAATGAACAGTAATGGAGACAGAGGGTCCCCTTGTCTACACCCTCGATTTATTTTTATAGTTTTTGAGATATTGCTGTTAGTCAAAATTTGTGCCTACGGTTCCTTATAAAGTAATCTTATCCAATTACAAAAATTCTATCCCAAACCAAAGCGTGCCAGAATCTCAAACAGATAGGACCATTCCACTCTGTCAGGCGCTTTTTCCGTGTCGAGTGACAGTAAAGCAGTGTCTGGCACCCCATTTTTGGTGACGAAGAATATTCAAAATCCTTCTGACATTATGGAAGCCTTGTCTGCCACAAATGAACCCGTTCTGATCCCCCCCCAATTATTTTAGGTATTATTTCTTCGATTCTTTTTGCCAAAATCTTACAAAGTATTTTCAAATCTGCGTTTAGCAGACTAATGGGTCTCCAAATTTCACATTTATTATTTGGTTTACCTGCCTTCGGGAGCAGAGAAATCAATGCTCCTCTTAGAGACAATGGCAAGGTGTCTTTTTGGAAGGACTCTGTAAACAATTTAAAACTGGAGTCAGCAATTTACTTTTAAATTTTTTAGAGATTTCAATTGGTAGGCCATCAGGTCCGGGAGTTTTTCCTGCTTTAATACTATCAATTGCAGCAGACAATTCCTCTACCGTAATATCTTTCTCCAAATTTATCCTAAGGTTTTCTGGTACATTGGGTATATTTATTTTAAAAATACTTTTAGTTCCGAATTGTCATTAATTAATTCTGAACTGTAAAGACCTTCATAAAAATTCCTGAAAGATTCATTTATTTCTGTTGGATCAAAAATGGTCTCTCCTTGATCACTCTGCAGTGAGGTGATAGCCCTTTCACACTGTAGCTGCTTGAGACGCCAAGCAAGTACTTTCCCAGGTTTTTCACCCTGATCATTAAAGGACTGCTTAAGTCTCAACAGACTGGCCAACGCTTTTGATGCAGATAATTCGTTGTATTGAGCTCTAAGCAGCAATAGATTTTGATGAGATTCTGCTGACCTTGCTCTATAATACTCATTTTCTATTTCCTTTATCTTTATCTCTAAATTTTTTGCCTTTTGAAAAGTCAGTTTTGCTTTGGAGCTTGTGATGCTGATTATTTGGCCTCTAATAAAAGCTTTAAAGGCCTCCCATCTCGTGCTTGCTGATGTTTCTGTTGTATTAGTTTCAAAATACAGACCAATTTGTTCATCCAAAAAAGAGACAAAGCAAGGGTCAGCCAACCATTTTTGTTTGCAACGCCAAATACTAGCGTCTTTCACTAGCTTTGAGTCTTGATATACCTATGAATTGGGAGCATGGTCTGAAATTAGAACAGCATCATAAGAGCACGCCTTGATTTTATGCCTTAGCTCTGCAGATATCAAAAAGAAGTCAATTCTTGAATAGGATTTGTGTACACCAGAGTAACACGAAAATTTTAAATCTTCCCTCCAGATATCTATTAAGTTCAATTCTTTCATGAAGTGTTGTATAATTGCCCTGCTACGAATGTGAGACTCCACGGCTCCAGAGGTCCTATCTTTTGTCGGATCTAATGCACAGTTGAAATCGCCTGCCACCACACATTTACCAGGAAGAGTGGACAAAGCAAGGAATACATTTTGAAAAAAGTTGGGGTCATCTGTATTTGGTGCATATATGTTTGCCAAAATAATTTGCTCTTTTAGTAATGTTCCCTGAATGATAAGGTATCGTCCAAATTTGTCTTTCATAACCTTATTTACCTGGAGTGGTATTGACTCATGCACCAAGGTAGTGACACCTCTAGCTTGTGAGTTAAACGATGCAGAAAAGACCTTGCCTCTCCACCTCCTAATTTTCAGATCATCATTGTATGCCAAGTGTGTTTCCTGAAGAAACTCAATGTTAGACTGCATTGATTTTATCCTGTTCATGACTTGTTTGACTTTCTTAAGTTTTCGTAACCCCCTGCAGTTCCATGATGTAATTTTAATTTTTATCTCACTAGACATTTGGTATAGTTTGTATAGTTATACTCCCTAAACATTTAAATGTGTCTGTAAAAAAACAAAAATGAAACAAACAAAAAACAAACATAAATAATACTGACAAACACTATACATACATCCAAACAATCCCCCATATCCAGGACAATTATCCTGAATATCATCCCCTATAATCTCAAAACTTCCAGATAGCTGTTAACTGTTGAACCTTAAAACTTTCTTTCATAAACACCCTCCTTTTAATTCAATTTTCAATTCAATTTTATTTGTATAGCGCCAATTCATAACAGAAGTTATCTCAGGACACTTTTCAAATAGAGCAGGTCTAGACCGAACTCTTTAACATTAATTACAGAGACCCAACAGTACCACCATGAGCAAGCACTTGGCGACAAGGGCAAGGAAAAACTGCCTGTTAAAAGGCAGAAACCTAGGACAGATCCTCCGGCTCTAGGTGGGTGGTCGTCTGTCTCGACCAGTTGGGGTGAGAGAGAGAGAGAGAGAGAGAGAGAGAGGCAGAGAGAGAGGCAGAGAGAGAGAGCGAGAGACAGACAGACAGACAGGTGCACAGCAACAACAGTATTGGCAATGGCAGTCAAGCAGGACCATGGCAGGAGGCTCCACCAGGATCCATGAGAACGCACGAGAACTCCGGGGAAGAAGTGGAGTTAGTAACATGCATTAATGGGACATGAATGAGTGCAGAAAGAGAGAGGAAGAGAGTAGCTCAGTGCACCATGGGAAATCCCCCGATAGTCTAGGCCTATAGCAGCATAACTAAGGGATGGTTCAGGACTCACCTGATCCAGCCCTAACTATAAGCTTTATCAAAGAGGAATGTCTTAAGCCTACTCTTGAATGTGGTGAGGGTGTCTGCCTCCCGAACCACAACTGGAAGCTGGTTCCACAGGAGAGGAGCTTGGTAACTGAAGGCTCTGGCTCCTGTTCTACTTTTAGAGACTATAGGAACCACAAGTAGCCCAGCATTCCGAGAACGTAATGTTCTAGTGGGGTAATAGGATACTATGAGCTCTTTAAGATATGAAGGGGCCTGACCATGAAGAGCTTTATAGGTGAGGAGGAGTATTTTAAATTCAATTCTACATTTTATAGGGAGCCAATGCAGAGTAGCTAGTACAGGAGAGATGTGATCTCTTTTTCTAGTTCCTGTCAGTACTCGTGCTGCAGCGTTCTGAATTAATTGGAGCGTTTTAATGGACTTATTGGGGCAACCTGATAATAAAGAGTTGCAGTAATCCAGCCTTGAAGTAACAAATGCATGGATTAGTTTTTCTGCATCTGTCTGTGATAGTATGTGTCTAATTTTTCTAATATTACGTAAATGAAAGAAGGCAGTCCTAGAGGTCTGCTTTATGTGGGAGTTAAATGACAAATCCTGATCAAAGATAACTCCAAGATTCCTGACAGTGGTGCTAGAGGCCAAGTTAATGCCATCTAGAGTGACTATATCTTTAGACAATGAGTCTCTAAGGTTTTTGGGGCCAAGAACAAGAAATTCGGTTTTTTCTGAGTTTAACATCAGAAAATTGCAGGTCATCCAGGATTTTATGTCCTTAAGACATGTTTGTAATTTAGATAATTGATTAATTTCATTGGGTTTGATTGATAGATATAACTGCGTATCATCTGCATAACAGTGAAAGTTAATGGAGTGATTCCTAATAATGTTGCCTAAAGGGAGCATATATAAAGTAAATAGTATTGGTCCAAGTACAGAACCTTGTGGAACTCCATGACTAACTTTAGTATTTATGGAGGATTCATCGTTAACATGTACAAACTGAGAACGATCTGATAAGTATGACTTAAACCAGGTTAGGGCAGTTCCTTTAATGCCAATTTGATGCTCAAGTCTCTGTAAAAGAATATCATGGTCAATGGTGTCAAATGCAGATGATGCGATGAAGATCGATAGCAGAAAAACAGTCTAAATATACATCTAAGTTTACATTGACAGAAGTCCCTGAACTTGGAGAGCCACTGATAACCGTTGATGGCAGTTGGTGATTAATTTTTTCTCTAATAGTAATAATTTTATTATAGAAGAAGCTCATGAAGTCATTGCTACTTAAGTTTATGGGGATATGTGGCTCGATAGAGCTGTGACTCTCTGTCAGCCTGGCTACAGTGCTGAAGAGGAACCTAGGGTTGTTCTTATTTTCTTCTATTAGTGCTGAGTAATAGGCTCCTCTGGCATTACGGAGGGCCTTTCTATAAATCTTAAGATCATCTTGCCAATTTGAGCGATATTCTGATAATTTGGAAGAGCGCCATTTCCTTTCAGATTTCCTAGCTATTTGCTTTAACTGGCGGGTTTGGTGGTTATACCAAGGTGCTAGTCTCCTATGTTTTAATAATTTCCTTTTTATAGGAGCGATAGAGTCTAATGTTGATCGTAGTGAGCCTGTAGCACTATCGACAAGATTATCAATTTCAGAGGGACTAAAGTTGTTATAGGACTCTGTTAAATTCAGACATGGCATTGAATTAAACAATGAAGGAATCTCCTCCTTAAATTTAGCTACAGCACTGTCAGATAGACATCTGCTGTAGGAAGTTTTGCCTAATGGCTTATAATCTAATAGTATGAATTCAAAAGTTATTAAATAATGGTCAGATAGGAAAGGATTATGTGGGAAGACTATTAAATGTTCAATATCAATGCCATATGATAAAACAAGGTCAAGAGTGTGATTAAAACAATGAGTTGGTTTATTTACACTCTGACAGAAGCCAATTGAGTCTATTAATAATATAAATGCATTACTAGGGCTGTCATTGTCAACATCCACATGAATATTAAAATCACCTAGAATAATTACTTTATCTGATTTAAGGACTAAACTTGATAGAAACTCTGAAAATTCAGGTATAAAATCAGAGTACGGTCCAGGAGCACGGTACACTATAACAAATAGAACTGGCTGCAGTGTTTTCCAGTTTGGGTGAGAAAGACTAAGAACAAGGCTTTCAAATGAATTATAATTTAGTTTAGGTTTAGGGTCCATTAAAACGCTCAAATCATATATAGCTGCTACTCCACCTCCTCGGCCTGTGCCTCGAGGAATGTGAGTATTAATATGACTGGGGGGGGTGGATTCATTTAGCCTAACATACTCCTCGTGGGACAACCAGGTCTCAGTAAGACAAAGTAAATCAATATCATAGTCTGATATTAATTCATTCACTAAAACAGCTTTAGAGGACAGAGACCTGATATTTAACAGCCCACATTTCATTCTCTTATTTTGTGCTACTGAGGAGTTAGTTTTAATTTTTATTAGATTTTTATGTTGAACTCCTCTTGTTTTTATTTCTTTAAATAATTTAGGTGGTCGGGGGACAGACACAGTCTCTATGGGGTTTTGGGTGGGTGACTGTTCTAAAGAAAGAGCAGAGAAGTGTGTAAGACAGCAGCTCTGCTTCCTGGTCCTAACTCTGGACTGTCAGGTTTTAGAAATAAACTTCGCCATGTTGCTAGATAAGAGAGCCGCTCCGTCCAAAGTGGGATGGATGCCGTCTCTCTTAATCTTAGTGACCTCCGATTGGCGTAAACGGGTGTCGTTACCGCCGACGTAGATAACAATCTTACTGTATTTACGTTTACCTTTAGCCAGCAGTTTTAAATTTGATTCAATGTCGCCCGCTCTGGCCCCAGGGATACATTTAACTATGGCCGCTGGCTTCGCTAACTTCACGTTTCTGACTATGGAGCTGCCAATTATCAGAGTTGGTTCCTCAGCGGGTGTATCGCTGAGTGGGGAAAATGTATTGGAAACGTGAAGGGGTTGGTGGTGAACTGTGGGCTTCGCCGTTCTAGTCTTCCTTCGCTCAGTCACCCAGCCTCCCTGTCTTCCCGGCTGCTCGGGAACTACCGGGGGAACTACAGAGCTAACAGAAGCTACCTTCGGTCGGACCGCACCGGCTACCGGGGGCTGGCTAACAATAGCGGCTAAAGATATCTCAGTGGTGCGGTACCGTTCCTCTAACTCACTAAGCCTCGCCTCCAGCGCAGTAAATAAACTACATTTAATACAGGTACCATTATCATTAAAGGAGGCAGAGGAATAACTGAACATCTGACACACTGAGCAGGACAGAGCAGAGGGAGAGGGAGAAGCCATAGCTAACTGCTAATGCTAATGAAGCTAGCGTGTATGAAAAACTTTGAAAGTAGTGAAAAGTCGCTAAAAGAAGGAGTAACTCCGAGTGTTTAGGTAGAATTAGTCTACGTTTAAATGTTAAGCGGGAAAATAACCGCTGTAACGAGTAAAACAAATTTAGATTTAGCGTTCACTGACAGCACCAAACAGTGTACACAGACCAGGAAGTAAACCGGAAATGAGTCAGTACGCTTACCGTAGCACGTCACCAACCTACACTTACTTTAACTACACTTACTAGTTGGGCTAGTTATCTAGCTTGTGATACTATTGTGAATTCTGTTTACATAGCTGATTGCTTTTGATTGGACAGTGATTTCTAGCAACAGATTTACTCATTAAACTTTTACTCACATATCTTTGTTTGAATGTTTCAACTTGATTTAGTTTGAAAGTAGTTAGTGAGAACTGAGGAGGGATTTATGAATAGTTGCTACCGTCCAGAGTCCTGATCTTAAAGCTAGTCAGACCATAAAACAGCTGGAACTGCATCAATACATTCAATGAATGAAATTCATTGTATTTATTTACATAATTGGTCAGTAGTTTCTATGTTTAATGATTCTGAAGAAAAGGTTAAGTGTTAAAATCTAAAAACAGAAAATGAATGATGTGATTTATTTATATCTGAATCATCTCAACAGATTAACTTTATCACACACACACACACACACACACACAGGAGGAGGAGCCAATGGACAGTGAGTGATGTCATGTGTCTCCATGGTAACTGTTGTGTTGTTAGTAACTGGTGTTTTGAACAGTCAGTCATGGAGGATCAGAAAGTTCAGACCTGCGACTTTTACAGAACGGATCCAAACCTGCCGCACAGGTTCAACAACCCGGACTGTTTCCATGGTAGCAGGTACAGCACAGTACTACTACACTACTTCTACAATCTGATAGGGTTATGCTGCAATTAACTAGTTAGAAACTGTTTACTTCAGAAGGTCTGAAACACCAATACTGTTAGTACTTCTCTAGCGTTACTACTGTTAGTACTCCTTATTTGAACTGTTTCTAATATTACTAACACATTACTACTACTGTGCTGTGTAACATTCAGTAATGTAATGACTGCTAGAGTATTAGTGTTTAACTGTTAGTAATATTACTGCTCTTAATATCCCCAATACTAGGCTACATGTTGTACTGCATATACTAGTACTTCTTTTACTATATGTTGTACTGCAACTGTAACTGCTGTTTGTGTTTCAGTCAGAAAATCAGTCACCCACTTTATCGAACATCGAACCAAACTTATGGCAGCAAGATGCCGACTGTGCATGAGATCCAGGTGAGAGACTGACAGACAGAAAGACAGACAGAGAGACATAATTTAATATACAGACACATATTGACCTTTGACCTCAACACTTATTAACAAGAAGTTGAACACAGCCAGCAGTAAACATGTTTGTTTTGAATATTACCGTAGAAAATAAATCATCTTTAAAATGTAAAGAGTTGATTTATTACAAATATCACAAAAAAACAGTTACCTGTTTCATTAAAATTATGAAATGTTGTTCAGTTACTATGGCAACAGAACATGTAACATATAATTATCTATTATTTGCTAATTGCTTTGGCAACAACATGTTTTTTATTCATGCCAATACAGCTCTTTGAATTGAAACAGGACAATGTAATGAGTCTTTGGTTGTTGTTTCAGACTGTGTTTAAAGCGAACTCCAGTCACTTCTCGAAGGCAATGCTGCGGAGTGGGATGTACCGCGATCATGGCTTCAACACGTCTGTGGAGAGGAGCAGAGTAATGGTTTCCACAGTAACCCAGCACAACAGAGTCAACCACCATTGTTTCTGTCACTTTGGAAACCAAAGTACTCACCATGATGGAAACAAGTAACAAAACAGTCTGTAATCGTTAATAAAAGAGTGAAGTAAGACTGTTGATCTATGGATGAATTATATATTTAACGGTTTCATTCTCCCACAATGCATCTGTCCACCATCAGTGCATTTAGTAGCCATTCCTCACTACAACAGGCCAGAAATCAGCTGCAAAGGGCAACTGTTAACTGATCTGACAGCAGTGACAGCTCTACTGTAAAACTGAGGTTTAACCAGCAGGTGGCAACATTGCTCTTTCATCAGCAGCAGCAGTGACCTACTGTCGGTTATCTAAAAACTAGTGCTGTCAAACGATTAAAATATTTAACCACGATTAATCGCATTAATGTCGTAGTTAACTCGCAATTAATCGCACATTTTATCTATTCTAAATGTCCCTTGATTTCTTTTTGTCCCATTATTTTTTCTCATTTTAATGCTCTTATCAACATGGAAAACTGGATCGGCTTGCTTTGTGCAAATGTTGTTTTTATTGGCATATACTGTAGTGTTCAATTTCACACTAACATTCTCACTTGGAGCAAATCTCTCACACAATGTAACACTGTACATCAATAAAAGGGTGAAAAAAATACTTTGTCACGAAAACAGCCCCTTCAACAGCCCTTTCTAAGGGATCAAAACAGGGCGATACAAAATAAAAATTACAAAGTGCACATGTAAGGTAAACTAGGACTCAGCCTATAGTGTAGTTAAACCATGGCTTAATACTTTTCTCAAGTTTGCTTTGAACATAGCAGTCAGGCTACTGCTCTTTATTCACCAGAGGCTCAACCCAGCCTCTTATTTCAGAAAGAATGAACAGTAACGGTTACCAATAAAAGGAAAGCCTACTACTTCTTTGCTTTGAGCCAGTTACTCAAACAGACAAGCCTGTTGATCTAATCGTTAAATTGGGTTTGCTTTAACGCCGTTAATAACGCGTTAAACTGACAGCACTACTAAAAACAAATATTAACTTCAAGGGAAATAACATCAAACTATGTCTGACATTGAAATTAAATAACAACAACAAACTCAATGAACAAATCCTCAATAACCAACAAATCAAATGAAAGGAGGAAATGTTCGCCTATTCTTCCCTTTTCACCATTGCTTATCAATTTAATTACTTTAATACATTTGGATCTACATATATTTATAGATACACCTATATCAGGCAGACAGTGAACATTTGGTCCTCAGAGTTGATGTGTTAGAAGCAGGAAAAATGTGCAGCGTGAGGATCTGAGCCACTCTGACAAGAACCACATTGTGATGGACGACTGGGTCAGAGCATCTCCAAACCTGCAGCTCTTGTGGGGGGTTCCCGGTCTGCAGAGGTCAGTACCTATCAAGCAGGCTAGCTCCACAGAATAAATCTCCATGGTAACTTATACCATAACATATCCTACTGCCCCCTATCCCGCTTTTGTGCAACCGGATCACAGATAAATTGAGCCAGGATAACCAAGATATCCCGGCTTAATCCCTTATCCTACTTTTGTGCAAAGGACCCCAGGTCTAGACCGAACTCCTTATAACATTATTTACAGAGACCCAACAGTTCCCAACATGAGCAAGCACTTGGCGACAGCAGCAAGGAAAAACTGCCTTTTAAGAGGTAGAAACCTAGGACAGACCCTTAGGCACTAGGTGGGTAGTCGTCTGTCTGCCTCGACCAGTTGGGGTGAGAGAGAGAGAGAGAGATAGAACCATCAGTGAGCAGACTGCTGAAACAATTAATGCTGGTTCTGATAGAAAGGGGTCAGAACACAGTGCAGAGCAGTCTGTTGGTCTGGGACTGTATAACATTATTAACACCACCAGAGTGCCCAGATAATGTCATAATTTTTCCCTAACTCAGTTAAAACCCTTGTCATCTAACCAAATACTTAAATACTTAAAACTAAATAGTTGGAATAACTAGTGGAGATTGAGCCTTTGAAAACATCATAAATTTGGTTCTTTATAAATTCAAATAAATTTAAATTAATTGAAATGACTCCAAATTCTATGTACAATGTGAACTGTACTGTATATCACCCTGTATCTTGTCTTTCGGTAAGGTTTTATTCAAGTCATCCATGAATGGTCTCAATCCAACCGTCACACACTCTTGTATGTGAAAGAGCCCAGATTGGCAGAAGCAGTATGGTTTTATCCCTGTTGGAGCACATAGTTACACATTCCTGAGTTGTGGGACAGTAAACAGACAGATAGTGTGGTGAGATGATCATGTCCTTGGCTTCTTAGTGAAGTCTCAACATCCTGCTGTTTACTTGGACATAGAGTGTAGTTAGAAACAGGGCTAAAGGTTGTATGCATATAATAGCCTCTTTAACAGTTGCGTATGGTTTTACACTGACCAGGTCAAAGGGTTGTATAGGTTCTTAAAAATTGCCATTACACATCATAGCCCTCATTCTTATACAAATATGTAATGAAATAATTTGTAAAATATTTGTGCTTTGAACCTTCACCCCATATACTGAAAAACACAAAATAAAACTTGCCTCTCAGATTAGAACCACCCTTAACTCTAACCCTGTGGAACAACATTGTTTGATGCTGCCAGGTAAATGATTTCTTACTTTGTACATCATTCATGTTAAATTCCATTTCTGTAAACTTTAAAGGTTTTGATGTTGTTATGAAAACGCATAATTATTAACTAACATTATGGCCCTTTGTTGCAGTATGTAGGGTGCTACACACAGTAATTATTCATTAAAGAATGTGCAACACTTTGTGGTTCACAATGTGCCTCCTTCTTCCTTCCTAGCTTTGCTTGCACATGTTTGATGTGAGCATTCCAGCTGATTTTGTGGTTTATTATACCATGGTCTGAATACTGTCCATTACGGAATAATCCTATTATTCTTGTCTGTGGTCAGTGACTTTGGTATAAAAGCATAATACTCTTCACGGTGTAAATAATCAGGAATTAATGGACTTCGTGTAGGCAACCAGTTCTGGCCTTGATGTAGTCAATTAATTCCTGAAAATGGACACCTCATTTGTTCAAATGTATTACTAATTTATTTGTCTCAAACCACCTTTTTTTTGGCTTTTATTGCCTTTATTTGATAGGACAGCTGAAGACAGACCAGAAAGGGGGACAGAGAGAGTGGGGATGACACGCAGCAAAGGGCTGCAGGTCGGATTCAAACCCTGGGACGCTGCAGCAAGGACTCAGCCTCAGTGCATGGGTCGCCAGCTCTACCACCTTTTTTAAAGTTCTTATTTGTAATATGAACTCCTCCAAAAGCTGCTGTTGTAAATCCCCAAAACAAAAAATATAATTTTACTTATTTATTATTCATTTTCTGTGAAATAACACCTAGTTTCTTCTTCTCTCACTGAAATGTTGATTTCTGTCCAACACTGTGTGTGTCAGATGGTCCTCAGCAAGGTTCACACACACACACACACACACACACACACACACACACACACACACACACACACACATGCAGATGGAGATGTTGTTTCCATGACAACCAAATGAGGAAAATGATGATTAATTTAGAGACATTTTTCCCCTCCATCTGTTTCTTCTTCTTCTTCTTCTTCTTCTCTTTGTGTCTCATTTAGACAGACAAACATCTATGACCTCTGACCTCTTCCTGTTTTCAATCCGAACGTGAAGAAGACTGATCAGAAATTTGTTTTTTTAAGTGTCACAACTTTTGTTGAGAGGAGTGATGGGCACAAACTAGCTGAGGCATGGTGAGAACCATTTGTAACAGAATGACCTAAAATCTGTGTTGAAAGCAGGAAGTCTTCAGAAAAACAGAAGAAATAAAAAAATATAAATCCACTGAGACATGATTTAATGATGAGCACTCTAAAAGGAGAGGGTTTTTTAAAGGCAGAGGGAGAGTCTTTAAAAAGACTTTACTCAGGTCTGACTAGGATCTACAGGAGGAGGATGTTTACACTGTCTCTGAGGGTTCTTCAGTGGATCCAAGCTCAGATTACACAGAACCAGATTCTTGTGCTCAGAGAACACAAACATGATCAATCTACAAAGAGGGAGACAAGAACTGTGATATTCTTAGATTTGATCTTCTTTTTCACACAGTGGGAGGTTTCCTACAGCACGGCAGGGTCCACCACTTCAGGTTTTTACTGTGACAATGGAGGTTATTATTAGGGCGTGTGTGGGGGAGCGTCTACCACCAACAGAGTGTACATAGATCACATGACCACCATCACACACACACTGTGAGCTGGAGGATCTTGTTTCCAGTTGGCTGATTTTTGGCGTCACATCAGCGAAGAAGAACAAGAAGGAGGAGAGAGAGGAGGGAGGGAGGAGGAAGAGCAGTAACGAGAGAGCAGAGAGAGGAGGGAGGGACGAGGAAAAGCAGAAACGAGAGAGCAGAGAGAGGAGGGAGGGAGGAGGAAGAGCAGGAACAAGAGAGCAGAAAGGAGCAGAGACAAATAACAGATATATAGATATAGATATAAATAGCTATAGATACAGATACATGTAGAGATATAGATAGAGAGATACATATACAGATATAGACACATAAATAAAGAGGTGAATATTTAACAGATGGAGTCTGAAGAGAATCTGATCAACGTTTTCCTGATGCTGTTCATCGGATCGCTGCTCACTGTGGTACATTTTCTTCTCTATATTAGATTCTACTGGATTCTGTTTTATGATGTTCTAGTCTCATATATTCATATTCTACTGTGTTCTGTTATGTTCTATTATATTCATATTCTACTATGTTCTGTTATGTTCTATTATATTCATATTCTATTATGGTATATTCATATTCTACTGTGTTATCTATGTTCTGTATATTTGTCACCTAGTTCTCTGATGTTTCTGTTTATTAGATTTTATGTGAGAGAACATTTCCGGTTTGTGACAAATTAAACATCTGATCAGATAGATCTGATCTGTGGATTATTGGATAAAATTTACATGGATTGAATAACACTGTAGTGCCTTGCTCAGTGACTCAGAGGGGATAGAACCTGCACACAGACCAGTTCTCTAATTGGATTTAGTGTTTAATCATCAGACATGAATAAATGTGTAAAAAATCTGGATTAACAGATTTCAGCAAATTAGTTCATTAACAGGTCGAGACAGACGACCACCCACCTAGAGCTGAAGGATCTGTCCTAGGTTTCTGCCTTTTAACAGGTTTTTCCTTGCCCTTGTCACCAAGTGCTTGCTCATGGTGGTACTGTTGGGTCTCTGTAAATAATGTTATAAGGAGTTCAGTCTAGACCTGCTCTATTTGAAAAGTGTCCTGAGATAACTTCTGTTATGAATTGGCGCTATACAAATAAAATTGAATTGAATTGAATTGAACAGACAGGATTACATATTCAGAAAGGCTGTACAGTTACTACTACAGTTTATACTACTACTGTTAATATACTACTACTGACACTACAGCATGAATACTACTACTGCTTATAATACTACTACTGATACTACTACTACTACTACGCCGATAAAAATAATATAATTGCGTAAGATAATAAACTGTAGAAAGAAATACTGAAAGAATGTCCATAAACTCTTCAGCTCCATTTTCTCTCTGAAACTTGTTGATTGATGAGGTTTTAATCATCATGACTCCTGTATGTACCTCTGCTTACCCTAATGCTAACACAGTGTCTTTACTTTGTTTGGTAGAAATACTTACAGTCCAACTACCTCCTCTCTGAAAATCATTGTTGCTCAGATCGTCATATAGCTTCTGTACACTGTAGCCCTAATTAGCTTCAAGATGTTGTATTAACAAGCTGCTTTAAAGTAAGTGATGTGATTAGAGAAGAAGACCGATTAATGATGTATTTCTTAAAGATTTGTCTAAGAATTAAATGTGAAGTTAAAGGAGAAAAAGGCTGAGGTTTGATCCCTGAGGAATTCCACAGAATATCAGAGTTCCTCAGGGATCAAACCTCGGCCTTTTTCTCTTTTTACTTTTTACTTTCAGAAATACATCATCATCATTAAATGCTGCTGACACAGTTCTATTTAATTTAATTAATTTGGATGAGTAACAGACACTGCAGAAGGGCCTTATTGATCAACCAGTTTAGCCAGTTTACCACAATCCGTAAATCCTGCTGGTCTCACTAAACAGCTCAGAAACATTAAAATAATACAGAATGAAATGAAGCACAAATTAATATGAGAATATATTTATTTTGTGTGTCCATAAAACATTTTTCTCACTTCATGTAGAAAAAAACCTTTTCTGTTCAACGGAAGTAATCAACCAGACATATTTTCTTCAAAATGACTTTGATTAAAGTAATAATAACTTTATAATTTCTTATCAATCCAAAAGCTAGACAGTTAAGTTTGAGTTTGACTTATTTCCTTATGGTTCTGAATTATGAGCAGAAAGACTGAATACTAAATGAGAGAATGAGGACAGTGTTTGTATTTTAACACATATTTAACACATTCTTTAATTTTCACGTCTTCAACACATTTGGTCAATTTAAAATTTTTAACACATTTAGTTCCAAACTTCCATCATATCAAGACTTCATCCATCCTCCTCTTCTATTTTTTTTAAGCTCTTTTCGGATCCTCAGTATACATATTGCAGATGCAATATGACAGATGCAGAAAAACTAATCTATGCATTTGTTACTTCTAGGCTGGATTACTGCAACTCTTTATTATCAGGTTGCCCCAATAAGTCCATTACAATTAATTAAAAAAGCTGCAGCAAGAGTACTGACAGGAACTAGGAAAAGAGATCACATCTCTCCTGTACTAGCTTCTCTGCGCTGGCTCCCTGTAAAATTTAGAATACAATTTAAAATTCTCCTACTCACCTACAAAGCTCTTCATGGTCAGGCCCCCTCATATCTTAAAGAGCTCACTTATACCCTATTACCCCACTAGAACACTACGTTCTCTGAATGCAGGGCTACTTGTGGTTCCTATAGTCTCTAAAAGTAGAACAGGAGCCAGAGCCTTCAGTTACCAAGCTCCTCTCCTGTGGAACCAGCTTCCAGTTGTGGTTCGGGAGGCTGACACCCTCACCACATTTAAGAGTAGGCTTAAGACGTTCTTCTTTGATAAAGCTTATAGTTAGGGTTGCCTCAGATGAGTCCTGAACCATCCCTTAGTTATGCTGCTATAGGCCTAGACTATCTGCGGATTTCCCATGATGCACTGAGCTCCTCTCTTCCTCTCTCTCTCTTTCTGCACTCATTCATGTCCCATTAATGCATGTTACTAACTTCACTTCTTCCCCGGAGTTCTTGTGCTTTCTCATCTCGCAGGTTCTCATGGATGCTGGTGGAGCCTCCTGCCATGGTCCTGCTTGCCTGCCATTGCTAATATCACTGCTATTACTGTTATTATTATTATTATTATTATTATTAACTACAGTTACTATTATTACTATTGTCCCTGCTCATTGTCCCCCATCATTGCTGTTGTCTTCATCATCTTCTTCATGTTCATCATCATCAGTCACTACTATTAGTGTAGTTGTTGCTACTGTTGTCTGTCTGTCTGTCTCTCTCTCTCTCTCTCTCTCTCACCCCAACTGGTCAAGACAGTTGACCACCCACCTAGAGCTGAAGGGTCTGTTCTAGGTTTCTGACTCTTAAAAGGCAGTGTTTTCTTGCCGCTGTCGCCAAGTGATTGCTCATGGTGGGAACTCTAAAGGGTGGGTCCCTCTAAATAATGTTAAAAGGAGTTCAGTCTAGACCTGCTCTATTTGAAGAGTGTCCTGAGATAACTTCTGTTATGAATTGGCGCTATACAAATAAAATTGAATTGAATTGAAATATTCATATATGTACATATAAATGACTTTATTTTTACTAATAAATAAATAAAGGAGAAGAGAGTTGATTCCTGCTAAAAGCAGCTGCTCTCAGTTCAGTTTCACTGCTTCATCAGTCAGATATATACTATACTACATAGTACAGTGTATAGGACTATTCATGAATATCAGTAACGTGGCCTTTTACATCATCCACTCTTTTCCCAGCTTACTAGCGCCATCTTGAGTACCTACCGAGTACCGGCATAGACAGTACTGACAAGCATAGCTCGCTACGATTTATGGATTCGTATGGATACAGTAAGTGACTATGAAAGACAACATTTTGCACCTCGATTGCCATGAAAAGAAACGCTACTTTCAAAAAATAGGCTAGGCTGCCAACGTTATAGTGTAAACAGATTAGCTAACCACTTGCTAATGTCACCAGTCTTAGGAGCACTTGAGTAATATCCGTGAGATATGTGGTAAATAACGTTAAAGGACAGAGAGCAGAGGGGAGGCTATGGCATTAACTCATTTACACTAAAACCATTAAAAACACACACACAAAAAGAGATGGTGGTGTTTTCGGGCTATAATCTTAAACTGGTTCTAAGCTTGATCAAATATCCTCAGCTAACGTTAATGACTGATGTGAAGTCTCTACCAGATATTGTAACACATTTTTATTAAACGATAAACTGACATTTCACGCTAGACTCATGCTGTTAGACACAGTATATAAACCAATTCACACTGATTGCTTAATTAATACTGTTTGGAAAGATTTGTATGTTATCATCTTTTTTTTAAATTTGGTGATTAGCGACAGCAAGCAGCTTGCGTTAGCTCGCTAACAATATATTTACATCCACTCACCACAGACAAAATGAGCACTGCACAGACGAGTGTTTGCAGTTGGTGTCCAACTGTGTCACCACCCCTGTCCTCTCCCGGCAGCTGATATGTGGCTGTCACAAAGTCTGACACCGCTGCGCTTCATTCAACCACATTGTAGTAATGCAAGTAACGCGCCACTTTACATTCTCAGTAATGGTAATGGCGTTGCAACGATGGGAAAAGTAATTGATTAGATTACTCCGTTACTGAAAAAATAACACCGTTAGTAACGTCGTTATACTTAAATGCCGTTACTCCCAACACTGTTTGCAACAGACTTAGCGATCTTGCCGAATCAGGTACTCAACATGGCGGCAGACAAGTTAGAATGTGAGTGACGTCAGGTGATATTCATGAATATGCAGTACTGTATGGAGTACAATTCAATTCAATTCAATTTTATTTGAATAGCGCCAATTCATAACAGAAGTCATCTCAGGACACTTTTCAAATAGAGCAGGTCTAGACTGAACTCTTTACTCTTTAGTACAGTCCATCGTATTGTACGTTTTACTATATGTAGTACAGTGTGTAGTGCTATATTTTCAATTCAATTCAATTTTATTTGTATAGCGCCAATTCATAACAGAAGTTATCTCAGGACACTTTTCAAATAGAGCAGGTCTAGACCGAACTCTTTAAAACATTAATTACAGAGACCCAACAGTACCACCATGAGCAAGCACTTGGCGACAAGGGCAAGGAAAAACTGCCTGTTAAAAGGCAGAAACCTAGGACAGATCCTCCGGCTCTAGGTGGGTGGTCGTCCGTCTCGACCAGTTGGGGTGAGAGAGAGAGAGAGAGAGAGAGAGAGAGAGAGAGAGAGACAGACAGACAGACAGACAGACAGACAGGTGCACAGCAACAACAGTATTGGCAATGACAATCTAGCAGGACCATGGCAGGAGGCTCCACCAGGATCGACAAGAATATGTAGTACTATGTAGTGATAATAGCAGGACTGGCAGGTTTGAAGTATGAAGTTTAACTGGCAGTCTCTCTATCTTTCTCTCTGTGTGATTGATTTATTGATTGATATATTTTCTGTGATGACTGCAAACAACTGTGCACTGCAGTAATTACAGTCATTAAAATTACGTCCATCCTACACGGTGGCCCTTTGATTTGTTGTCTAACAGGTAGGTCCTTCTGCCCCTGAGGAGGGCTGGCAGGTGTACAGTTCAGCTCAGGACTCTGAAGGTCGATGTGTTTGTACGGTGGTCGCTCCTCAGCAGACGGTCTGCTCCAGAGATGCTCGAACCAAACAGCTCAGACAGCTGCTGGAAAAGGTAAAAGAAATACTGTTAATAAAACTACAAATGGTACTGCTAAAAGTATTATAATATATATGTATATATGAATAGATGGTGATATATAACAAATCATAGTCAGTAAAAATCATAATTGTATGTTTGTGTCTTCCAGGTTCAGAATATGAGTCAGTCCATTGAGGTTCTGGACCAGCGCACTCAGAGAGATCTGCAGTTTGTAGAGAAAATGGAAGTTCAGCTGAACGGTCTAGAAAACAAATTCAAACAGGTGGAAGATGGACATGAGAACAACATCGCTAGACAGTACAAGGTACCACCCACATCATGACATCATGGCTTAAACTCAATCAACCACTCAAAGCTCTGTGTGAACTACATACAGAAAACTGAGAACGTGGACACGCTGTAAGTTTATCAAACCTAGGGGTGAAACCATCAGTGAGTGTGATATCTTACCATGTATCCACAGGGAAGCAACACGAACTGTATGTTTGCTCTTCAAGATGTTGTTTTATCTGTGTAACAACAAGTAATTGCGTATTGAGCTAGGAGTACTGCTGATCCATATTCTGTACTAGGGACAGAGGACTGCTCTGCTAATGTGTTGCTAATGTGAACCCTCTCTACACATCAGTCTTCAAAAATCTTTATGATTTATACCAACTGATAAAACTCAACTGAGCACTGTGTTACTGAAGTAATGATTTCATTTAGAACCAACAAAGAACCACGCGATGATGGACGTCCAGAAATTTCTCTTGTTGATCCCTTCTGTTTGTCTGTCAGTCCATAAAAGCAAAGATGGAGGAGTTACGTCCTCTGATCCCAGTCCTGGAGGCATACAAAGCGGACGCTCTGCTGGTCCAACAGTTTAAGGAGGAGGTGGCGAATGTGACAGAGCTGCTGGGAACGCTGCAGGAACAACTGGGAGGTCTGGACTATCAGGAGCTCCACAGCCGAGTGACGAGCCTGGAGGACCGACTGAGGGCCTGTATGCAGAGGCTGGGTGAGTAAATGACAGTCTAATAAACAAACACGCACACAGGAAATAAAAAAAAACCTGACCTCCAGTGATTGGCAGCTGTTTCTTTTATGTTGTCCACCTTGCTGTTTGCGTTTCAGCATGTGGGAAACTGACAGGAATCTCTGAGCCCATCACCATCAAGACCTCTGGATCGAGGTTTGGATCATGGATGACTGACCCGGTTGCTCCCACTGGAGACAACAGAGTGAGAATAACAATTCAATTCAATTCAATTCAATTTTATTTGTATAGCGCCAATTCATAACAGAAGTTATCTCAGGACACTTTTCAAATAGAGCAGGTCTAGACCGAACTCTTTAACATTAATTACAGAGACCCAACAGTTCCACCATGAGCAAGCACTTGGCGACAAGGGCAAGGAAAAACTGCCTGTTAAAAGGCAGAAACCTAGGACAGATCCTCCGGCTCTAGGTGGGTGGTCGTCTGTCTCGACCAGTTGGGGTGAGAGAGAGAGAGAGAGAGAGAGAGAGGCAGAGAGAGAGAGAGCGAGAGAGAGAGGCAGAGAGAGCGAGAGACAGACAGACAGACAGGTGCACAGCAACAACAGTATTGGCAATGGCAGTCAAGCAGGACCATGGCAGGAGGCTCCACCAGGATCCATGAGAACCTGCGAGACGAGAAAGCACAAGAACTCCAGGGAAGAAGTGGAGTTAGTAACATGCATTAATGGGACATGAATGAGTGCATAAAGAGAGAGGAAGGGAGGAGCTCAGTGCACCATGGGAAATCCCCCGATAGTCTAGGCCTATAGCAGCATAACTAAGGGATGGTTCAGGACTCACCTGATCCAGCCCTAACTATAAGCTTTATCAAAGAGGAATGTCTTAAGCCTACTCTTGAATGTGGTGAGGGTGTCTGCCTCCCGAACCACAACTGGAAGCTGGTTCCACAGGAGAGGAGCTTGGTAACTGAAGGCTCTGGCTCCTGTTCTACTTTTAGAGACTATAGGAACCACGAGTAGCCCAGCATTCAGAGAACGTAGTGTTCTAGTAGGGTAATAGGGTACTATGAGCTCTTTAAGATATGAAGGGGCCTGACCATGAAGAGCTTTATAGGTGAGGAGGAGGATTTTAAATTCAATTCTACATTTTACAGGGAGCCAATGCAGAGAAGCTAGTACAGGAGAGATGTGATCTCTTTTTCTAGTTCCTGTCAGTACTCGTGCTGCAGCGTTCTGAATTAATTGGAGCGTTTTAATGGACTTATTGGGGCAACCTGATAATAAAGAGTTGCAGTAATCCAGCCTTGAAGTAACAAATGCATGGATTAGTTTTTCTGCATCTGTCTGTGATAGGATGTGTCTAATTTTTCTAATATTACGTAAATGAAACAAGGCGGTCCTAGACGTCTGCTTTATGTGGGAGTTAAATGACAAATCCTGATCAAAGATAACTCCAAGATTCCTGACAGTGGTGCTAGAGGCCAAGTTAATGCCATCTAGAGTGACTATATCTTTAGACAATGAGTCTCTAAGGTTTTTGGGGCCAAGAACAAGAATTTCGTTTTTTTCTGAGTTTAACATCAGAAAATTGCAGGTCATCCAGGATTTTATGTCCGTAAGACATGTTTGTAATTTAGATAATTGATTAATTTCATTGGGTTTGATTGATAGATATAACTGCGTATCATCTGCGTAACAGTGAAAGTTAATGGAGTGATTCCTAATAATGTTGCCTAAAGGGAGCATATATAAAGTAAATAGTATTGGTCCAAGTACAGAACCTTGTGGAACTCCATGACTAACTGTAGTATTTATTGAAGATTCATTGTTAACATGTACAAACTGCGAGCGATCTGATAAATATGACTTCAACCAGCTTAGTGCGGTTCCTTTAATGCCAATTTGATGCTCAAGTCTCCCCAAAAGAATATTATGGTCAATGGTGTCAAATGCAGCACTAAGATATAATAATACAAGTACAGAGACAAGTCCATTGTCAGAAGCAGTCAGAAGGTCATTATTAACTTTAACCAGAGCTGTCTCTATGCTATGATGAACTCTAAATCCTGACTGAAAATCCTCAAATAAACTATTGTTATGTAGAAATTCACACAACTCTTTGGCGACTACTTTCTCCAGAATCTTAGAGAGGAAGGGGAGGTTAGAAATCGGTCTATAGTTGGCTAAAACCCCTGGGTCAAGAGTGGACTTTTTAAGAAGGGGTTTAATTACAGCTACTTTAAAGGACTGTGGTACATATCCTGATAATAAAGAAAGATTAATCATATCCAGTAAAGAAGTGCCAATTAAGGGAACAACTTCTTTAAGCAGCCTAGTTGGGATCGGGTCTAATAGACAGGTTGATGGCTTCGATGAAGAAATGATTGAAGTTAACTGATGAAGATCGATAGCAGAAAAACAGTCTAAATATATATCTAAGTTTACAATGACAGAAGTCCCTGAACTTGGAGAGCCACTGATAACTGTTGATGGCAGTTAGTGATTAATTTTTTCTCTAATAGTAATAATTTTATTATAGAAGAAGCTCATGAAGTCATTACTACTTAAGTTTATGGGGATATGTGGCTCAATAGAGCTGTGACTCTGTCAGCCTGGCTACAGTGCTGAAGAGGAACCTAGGGTTGTTCTTATTTTCTTCTATTAGTGCTGAGTAATAGGCTCCTCTGGCATTACGGAGGGCCTTTCTATAAATTTTAAGATTATCTTGCCAATTTGAGCGATATTCTGATAGTTTGGAAGAGCGCCATTTCCTTTCAGATTTTCTAGCTATTTGTTTTAACTGGCGGGTTTGGTGGTTATACCAAGGTGCTAGTCTCCTATGTTTTAATAATTTCCTTTTTATAGGAGCGATAGAGTCTAATGTTCATCGTAGTGAGCCTGTAGCACTATCGACAAGATTATCAATTTCAGAGGGACTAAAGTCGTTATAGGACTCTGTTAAATTCAGACATGGCATTGAATTAAACACTGAAGGAATCTCCTCCTTAAATTTAGCTACAGCACTGTCAGATAGACATCTGCTGTAGGAAGTTTTGCCTAATGGCTTATAATCTAATAGTATGAATTCAAAAGTTATTAAATAATGGTCAGATAGGAAAGGATTATGTGGGAAGACTATTAAATGTTCAATATCAATGCCATATGATAAAACAAGGTCAAGAGTGTGATTAAAACAATGAGTTGGTTTATTTACACTCTGACATAAGCCAATTGAGTCTATTAATGATATAAATGCGTTACTAAGACTGTCATTGTCAACATCCACATGAATATTAAAATCACCTACAATAATTACTTTATCTGATTTAAGGACTAAACTTGATAGAAACTCTGAGAATTCAGATATAAAATCAGAGTACGGTCCAGGAGCACGGTACACTATAACAAATAGAACTGGCTGCAGTGTTTTCCAGTTTGGGTGAGAAAGACTAAGAACAAGGCTTTCAAATGAATTATAATTTAGTTTAGGTTTAGGGTCCATTAAAACGCTCGAATCATATATGGCTGCGACTCCACCTCCTCGGCCAGTGCCTCGAGGAATGTGAGTATTAATATGACTGGGGGGGGTGGATTCATTTAGGCTAACATACTCCTCGTGGGACAACCAGGTCTCAGTAAGACAAAGTAAATCAATATCATAGTCTGATATTAATTCATTCACTAAAACAGCTTTAGAGGACAGAGACCTGATATTTAACAGCCCACATTTCATTCTCTTATTTTGTGCTACTGAGGAGTTAGTTTTAATTTTTATTAGACTTTTATGTTGAACTCCTCTTGTTTTTATTTCTTTAAATAATTTAGGTGGTCGGGGGACAGACACAGTCTCTATGGGGTTTTGGGTGGGTGACTGTTCTAAAGAAAGAGCAGAGAAGTGTGTAAGACAGCAGCTCTGCTTCCTAGTCCTAACTCTGGACTGTCAGGTTTTAGAAATAAACTTCGCCATATTTCTAGATAAGAGAGCCGCTCCATCCAAAGTGGGATGGATGCCGTCTCTCCTAATCAGACCAGGTTTTCCCCAAAAAGGCTTCCAGTTATCAATGAAACCCACATCGTTTGCTGGACACCACCTCGACAGCCAGCGGTGGAATGACGACATGCGGCTATACATGTCATCACTGGTCACATTGGGCAGGGGTCCAGAGAAAACTACGATGTCCGACATTGTCTTAGCATAATTACACACCGACTCCACATTAATCTTAGTGACCTCCGATTGGCGTAAACGGGTGTCATTACCGCCGACGTGGATAACAATCTTACTGTATTTACGTTTACCTTTAGCCAGCAGTTTTAAATTTGATTCAATGTCGCCCGCTCTGGCCCCAGGGATACATTTAACTATGGCCGCTGGCTTCGCTAACTTCACGTTTCTGACTATGGAGCTGCCAATTATCAGAGTTGGTTCCTCAGCGGGTGTATCGCTGAGTGGGGAAAATTTATTAGAAACGTGAAGGGGTTGGTGGTGACCTGTGGGCTTCGCCGTTCTAGTCTTCCTTCGCTCAGTCACCCAGCCTCCCTGTCTTCCCGGCTGCTCGGGAACTACCGGGGGATCTACAGAGCTAACAGAAGCTACCTTCGGTATGACCGCACCAGCTACCGGGAGCTGGCTAACTATAGCGGCTAAAGATATCTCAGTGGTGCAGTACCGTTCCTCTAACTCACTAAGCCTCGCCTCCAGCGCAGTAAATAAACTACATTTAATACAGGTACCATTATCATTAAAGGAGGCAGAGGAATAACTGAACATCTGACACACTGAGCAGGACAGAGGAGAGGGAGAGGGAGAAGCCATAGCTAACTGCTAATGCTAATGAAGCTAGCGTGTATGAAAAAACTTTGAAAGTAGTGAGAAGTCGCTAAAAGAAGGAGTAACTCCGAGTGTTTAAGTAGAACTAGTCTATGTTTAAATGTTAAGCGGGTAAGTAACCGCTGTAACGAGTAAAACAAATTTAGATTTAGCGTTCACTGACAGAGCTACAGCACCAAACAGTGTACACAGAGCAGGAAGTAAACCGGAAATGAGTCAGTACGCTTACCGTAGCACGTCACACAGTCCATATATATATATATATATATATATATATATATATATATATAAACCACAGTCAGCGTTCACTCCGGATTGAGATGAATCTTGATGAATTTTCTTACGGGTCAGGAACAGCCACAGATCAAGTTAAAAGCAGGAGAAGCAGGCAGGTTGATGGTTAGCATTAGCTGCTAAAGGTGAAGTTTTACTTGAACTGAGACTACAGTAATTATCAAACATCATAAAGAGGTTATTTGTATATTTTATGTAACACAGTCAACACATTATAAATTGATTGACTGATATATTATTTTTCTTTCTTCCCTTACAGGTTTGGTACATGGATGGTTACCATAACAACCGCTTTGTGAGGGAGTACCAGTCAATGTATGACTTCATGACGACAGATAACTTCACCTCTCACCGACTGCCTCACCCCTGGTCTGGTACTGGTCAGGTGGTTTATAATGGATCCATTTACTTCAACAAGTTTCAGAGTCACACCATCATCAAGTTTGACTTCAGCACTTCACTCATCAGCCGCTCTCGACAGCTTGACTTCGCCGGTTACAACAACATGTACCATTATTCTTGGGGGGGGCACTCAGATATCGACCTTATGGTGGATGAGGGGGGGCTCTGGGCCGTCTACGCCACAAATCAGAATGCTGGAAACATCGTTCTCAGCCAGTTAAACCCAAATACTCTGCAGATCATCCGTAGCTGGACCACCAACCACCCAAAACGTAGTGCTGGTGAGGCATTCATGATCTGTGGAACCCTGTATGTTACCAATGGATACTCGGGAGGAACTAAAGTATATTATGCCTACTCCACCAACTCCTCCACCTATGAGTACATCGATATTCCTCTGACCAATAAATACAGCCACCTGTCCATGCTCGACTACAACCCCCGAGACAGAGCACTATATGCCTGGAACAACGGCCACCAAGTCCTTTATAATGTTACTCTCTACCACATTATACAATAAGATTAAAGGTGCAAGTCCTGTATAATCTTAGACTCTACTACTTTACACAGTGAAAAATAAATTCATTAAAATTTGAGAATAGAAAAAAAACCTGCATCCTTTAGATCAGGCATCGACAAACACAAAGGTCAAACACCTATTGTATGATATTGTATTGTTTAGATTTAAAATGGTTCTAGCATTCCAAGTTCCCTTAATTGACTGACTGTGCAAAGTGTTAATCTTCCTGCTGTGCTCAGATCATTGAATATAATTAATATTTATGGATCCAATATATATTTAAAGAAAAAAGAAAAGAAAAAATCACAAGTTTGTATTTAGTTAATTAATTAATTAATTTTTTCTCTAGAAACATGTGGTTGGCCAAATAAGACATTATGGTGTGCCAACTTTGGCCAGCCCTGCATTAGATAAATCCTCAAGTAAATTTTTTTGACCACATGTTGTTTGAAGTTTGATGATACAAATGCACTTCAAATGTAAACACACATCACACAGAAATTCAACTTTCACAATAATAGACACTCAAATGGCACTGAAGAATGCTACACGTGTTATCAAGACTTTTTTCTGTGAGTGATATTTTCTGACTTTATGAAATCAGACGTACTGTTCTTACTCTTAAGTAATAATAATAATAATAATAATAATAACTCTTTTCTTACTGTTGTGCACAGTGATATAAAACATTTACGACTATTTGTTTTCTAATAATTCCTTCATTTTTAAAATTAGTTGTTGTAGGTTTAGCAAGTTTACCCCAAAATTTTTCTATCCATCTTTTGACGTGGTATCACCACACACTAGGAATACTGGGAGATGTAGACCCCTCAGCAGCCTCATTCACGAATCTGGTCCTCCTCAGCTGGTTTCTGAACAAATTAAGCTGAAGCTATAACATAAACATTACCGTATATGTTGTTGGTATTTATTCATCAACTTCATGTTAAAGTATTTTTTCATACAACTCTCAATTCTTCTGGTCTGCTGGTACATTCAGTCCTTCATTCAAAGCACTGTCCGCAACCGTCCATCTTTAGCTCAGGAGCCTCCAACACCAGGTCAGGCGTGTTGGTCAGAAGCATTAAAAGGATGTAATAATGGGAGACTACAGGTCCAAGTTTAAAACATATTCAGCTCAGTGATGATTTGTCACATTTCGAGGTCTTCAGTATTTCCTACTTTCTTTTGTTTTTCGTTTCTTGTGTTCTGGTACCTTCATTTAAATTTTTTTTTTACACATATACTATTTGAGTTTTCTGTGTAAATTTGATCTGTGTGTAGGAGTAAGTGAAAACAACACTGAAAATATATGAATTTATTGAAACTATTACAGTTGATTATAACAATAACTGAAATTTTCTATTGTTACTTCTTTGTGTTTTGTATTTCAGATACAGATTCGTACTCTATTTGATGTCAGACTTCTGTCTCTCGTTCCACAGTGCAGTAATTACGTGTTATGAACTGATGGGAACAGCAGGAGATGTTTTATTATACAACAAACTGCATGTAAAATTTTAAAGGATTGCTCAGTTTTTGTAGCCACTAGCCTTAACAACTGATGAGTTTTGGATTGCATCACAATCATGAGGTTTATTTTTCGTTTATTAGTTGTTGATTTTTTTACAAAAGTAAAATAAATAAAATTTACAGTTTAGCGCTTATCTTTGTGTGTTTCAAATGAGCTGATGTTGGTGCGAAATACTGTTACAAAGCCCTGAATCAATATTAAAAAACATTTCTTACATCTTCTTAACGGCCTTGCAATGCTGTATGTTTTTAACTGAACATATTTCAAAGCCGATGTCTGTTTGTAGTTCTCTCACTGGGGTGTATATATATATATATATGGCAATTCCTGAAAAGTCAGCTGAATGGCAGGAACAAGATCCAAGCCATCAACATGTACGCGCTACCAGTCATCAGATACCCTGCTGGGATCATAAGCTGGCCAAAGGAGGAAATAGAAGCCACAGATATCAAGACAAGAAAGCTCCTCACCATGCACAGAGGGTTTCACCCCAAATCCAGCACCCTGAGACTGTACGCTAAGTGGAAAGAGGGAGGCCGAGGACTAGTGAGCATCAAGGCCACTATCCATGATGAAACTCACATAAAAAATCCAAGAGTACATCAGAAAAATGGCCACAAAGGATGAACTGTTAAGTGAATGTCTCAGGCAACAGAAACCTGATAAGAGTGCAGAGGAATAGAGGTAAGTGCAACATTAGACATTGGTCTAATGAGCATATTTCTCCTCACAGGAACGTTGTAGAGACTTCATTTTTTCCTTCCGCTTCTTTGGGTGCCACTCTCGACTTCCTGTGATAACCGGAAGTGTAATTCCGGAAATACACATGGAAATCCTTGTATCTCAGCAACCGAAGGTTGTAGAGACTCGGGGATAGCTCTGGTGTGTTCAGCGTGGTCGAATTGTGTGGGAACCCTTCGGTTCGGGAGTTATTCCCGTTCGAGTGCCTCCATTCATTCTTAATGGTTGTTGGTTGGGCTTAGGCAAGTGTGTGGGAGTGGTTAGGTTCAGTATAAGGCTAACTGGGAAAGGTGGTGTTAGTTTGAGTGATATGTCAACTGTCACTGTGTCCAGTGCTAGGGTTGTGCCATAGGTATAGAGGTTAATGGAATCATGGGACCCCCTGCCAGGAAACTTTGAGATTGAATAATTCTGGATGGGAACATCCTAGAGACTTGAAACCAGTGTCTGTACCCCCATGCCACGCTATGGGCTTTCCATTGGTGCCGGTCTCAAGTGGGTGGGACCTTGCGTTCTTGAGTTACGCTCATTTTGTACGTTGAAAAGTCTGTATCTCGGCGAGCGAAGGGCGTAGAGACTCTGGGACAAGTCCTGTGTGTTCAGCTTGGTCGAATTATGTGGGCCGGAGGCCGTTTCCACGGAGGCCGTGTGTGCGAGCTTGCGTTCTTGAGTTGTTCAAGTAAACGTGCGCCCATTCATTGTTAATGGAGCAATGTGTTGTTGAAAAAAGTGTCAGCTCTAGTATGGGATTTTTCAGAAAGTGTGTAGGAGCACGTTTCAGGCCATTTTGAGTGGATTGGGATAGGTTTGTATTTTGACTTTTTTTTTGGAGTGTTTCATCCTGCAGCCCTTAGGGTTGCAGTAGGTAATAGGGTGTTAACCAGGATCACCGCCTGGTGATTGTGAATAACTTTGTCTGTGTTTGTGCTAGAGTGATGGAACTGGTGTGTAGGGTTAGGTCAAGATTAAAATGCAACACTCTGAAGAGTGCTACGAGGGGGCTCTGGCACAAGGTTACTATGATATGTATAAAACATTTCTCTGTCTTTTATTATAAACTAAATTCAGTTAAAAGGTATCCCTACTAAAGTAAAGAGAAAGTCTATTAAAAGTAAAAGATAAAAATAATTAGGAAAATTAAAATAATTCAAATAATAAAATGAGTATAATGATTAAAACAAATTTTAATTAAAAAGGACAGGATTGGTTCGACAACACAGGAAGGCAGCGGGAGTTATGTCACCAGCTAGTATGGTGTCATCCCCACATGTTAAAAGGTGGGGCACGCCTTCAAGATGGCTTAAGGGTGACTAAAATAAATAAAAATAATAAAAAGACTATTAAATAAATTAATATACTTAACAAATTAAGATAGAATTAAAAGTTTTATATATACAAAACAATAAGATACGCAACCATCATCAGTCATACTAATCTAAATATAAAAGTAAATATGAGTGGGCAAGCACATTAGCCTCCCAGGGACTATTTATAAAGCAATAATAAAAGGATAAGTAAAAGGGGTTAATAAATACAAAAACCATGCGATAAATATATTAAAAAAACATGTAAAATAAGTGCCATAGAAAGTAAGTGCTTGAAAATAAATTAGTATACACACAAGAGAGAGGGAGGGGGGAACATTTTTTTTTCCTCCCTTGTGTTTGTCCACCCATACACTACTCTACGCAGTCATACAATACAATCATTCCCAATATATATAAAAAAATAAAAAATTAAATTAAAAAATAATAAATGAATAAATAAATGAATTATTTGAATAGTCATCTCCATATACTCAGTCATGTATATAAAATTAAGAGATTTAAAATGCTGAGTGAAGCTAGTTGGAGGCATGCCCCCCTTTCCGTTAAAATAGAGCATCTAAAATCACAGCAGGCGCCCCTGTTCCCAGGTTCTCTAAAAGGATTCAAAAATCCCTCCCAATATGTCATGAAATTAAAAAAATAAGTAAAAATGAATCAAGAATAATAATAAAATTCATAATGCATGCAAAATGATTTTCAACAGTACCACTTAAATTTTATTAGTGGTACCGTTGATAAAATAGTTAAAAATAAAGCCATAAATAAATAAAATATCTACAGAATATAAAGGATAAAACAAAAATTCAATCAAGGTTAGTAAAAAAAACCACACACACATTAAAAAAACCACATAAAATAAATATTGATAAATAAATATGTAATAGAATTATAAAACAAACATAAGAGAAGGGCATATAAAATCCACAAGAGTTCTGGTTTAAGCTGTAAAAGGGAGGGCGCCATACTGCAAGCCATTACGCCCTCTGGGGGAGACACCACAAACTGCATTACGGTTAACAAAAGTCAAGGTTAAAAAGTGGATTTATTCATTCAGTATTTTTCATTTAGTCCATGTGGATCTATTGTTTTAAGTTTGTGTATCCACTTTCTCTCCGCCGCTCATCGCTGTGTCATTGTCCAAGTCCTGTCACTCTCCAGGCCAAAGCTTTGCAGGTTGTGTGGGCCATGGAGTTTAAAATGTAAATATAAAATGCTCATGCCATTGTGTGAATGTGAATGAATGGTGTGTGAATGTGTATGAATGAGTTAGTTTCTGTTCGATGGACTTTGCCATTACTGAGTGAATGTGTGTGAAAGGGTGAATGTGGCACGTAGTGTAAAAGCGCTTTGAGTGGTCGGAAGACTAGAAAGGCGCTATACAAGTACAGGTCCATTTACCATTTACCATTCCCGCTGTTCATTTTGTAGATGTGTTGTTTTATGCGTATATTGATTTTATTGCCCGTCTCCCCGACATATAACATATGGCAGGCCTTGCATCTAACAGCATAAACTGCATTCTTAGTTTGAGGTGTTAAGGCCCGCCATAGATTCACTCCATTTTGTGAGCGGTTGTTAAAAAGATGGGGGAGAAGGATAAAACCAATGTCCAATTCTCGAAGCGCTTCCCTAGTTCTGTCTGTATTGTTATTAAAAGCTGTGTGTATTAAAATGTCTTTTAAGTTTTTGTTATGGCGGTAGGCAGAGATCATACAGCACCCCTGCAGCGCGTCACAGCCCTCCCTCGCCCTCTCGAAACCTGTCTTAATTGTATTTAAAAGATTCTTGTGATAGTCAGAGTAAGTTAAAACCAATGGGACGAGGGATGGGCCGGGTAGATGCGCTTAAATATTTTCATAATTTTGTGTGAAGGTGCCGCCGACCTCCGCCTTAATGCTCCTAAGGAAGCGCCTCAAGTAACCCCTACACCTCAGCGCACTAAAAAGAGTCCGGGTGGACTCCTCCACATGCTCCAGGAAGGTGCAGATTCTGCGGAAGCGGATCAGCTGTGACTTAATCAGATCCCTGTACATGTGTTTAGGGTGGTCAGTGTCTTTGAAATAGACCTTGGTTGCTAAAGTTTTGCTCGGGCCACCGGAGTTGCAGAAGAAGACCTGTGTGTCCAAATATTCCACTGACTGTGCCTGTAAGCTATGTTTGAGTTTTATTTTAGGGTGATGTGTATTGAGGATGTGAAGAAATGTCAAAAATTCACTTTCAGATCCATCCCAGAGACCGAAGATGTCATCCAGGTAACGGTGATACAGGAGTGGTTGTTTGGTGAGTTTCTGGAGAACTGTATGTTCCCAGTCTGCTAAATAAATGTCTGCATATGAAGGTGAGTATTTCCGGCCCATGGCACAACCGCACAGCTGGAGATAGTGGCTATTGTTAAAAGTGAAATCGTTTCGGGTGAGTGTAATTTGCAATAACTGTATTATTTCTTTATCTGGTCTGGATGGGTCTGGGTGTTTATTGAAAATGTTTTGAATGGCAGCAATGCCGAGTGGTGTTTCTATGTTAGTATATAAAGATTCTATATCTATTGTAAAAAGGAGTGTGTGACTGGGTACCTGGAGGTGTTTTATTGTATTAACAAATGCATATGTGTCCTTAATATAACTAGGGTGAAGTTTGGAGAGTGGATTGATAAAATGGTCTATGTATTCTGTAATTGCATATGATTCCGAGCCGCAGTCACTGACTATAGTTTGACCGACCAGAACAACAGAAGGGACCGTCCACGTCTCAGGAGTTTTGTTTTGCATTGATGAATTTTCTGTTGTATAGTGTGTCTGTAATGTTCCTAATTAAAGTCTGGGTTTCTAATTGTAATGAGTGTGTGAGTGGTTTGTAATAAGTAGTATTGTTAAACTGTCTGTTAACTTCTAAAATGTAATTGTTTCTATCTTGTATGACTATTTGGCCCCCATTGTCTGCTGGTTTGATAACTATGTGTGTGTTATTACCTAATGTGTTGTTGTGTTTGTGTGATGTTTGCCCGTCTATGTGTAAGGGGGCGCCATTCCCTAAGTGCGTGTGTGTTCCTGTCTATTAATTCAATTCAATTCAATTCAATTTTATTTGTATAGCGCCAATTCATAACAGAAGTTATCTCAGGACACTTTTCAAATAGAGCAGGTCTAGACCGAACTC